ATGGTTGGCTTGATGCCGAGATGGTTGGCTTGATGCCGAGATGGTTGGCTTGATGCTGAGATGGTTCGCTTGATGCTGAGATGGTTCACTTGATGCTGAGATGGTTGGCTTGATGCTTAGAATTTGAGTGCTGCTCAAGCTACTCTAACTTCCCTCAACAAAATTTTCCCCTTGATGTTCTTCCTTCGTGTATTCCCAGCTGAGTTTTGTTTTGTCTCTAGCTGATCACTCTCCCTCTGGGTTGTCTTTCCCCTGTCCGAAGGAATCTGGTAAAGACAAAACTTTTCAGTTCTTGTTTAAAAATGTGAAAAGATACAAAATATGCTCCCATATTACTAGCATCACTTACTTGACAAGGGCACTTATTTTACCTGTCTCCATTTAAGATCTTGCACATGTCCAGGTTAGTTTTAGCTGATTATCTCCCTTCAATCCTGTCATACACATTAAAATTAAAATTTAAACTGTAAAACTAATTATTTTCTGTAACTAACTACTTTTTATACATAATCTGAAATAGGTTGAAGAAAAAAATATACACAAGGCTGGTTATAAAAACTTGGAGGCAACAACAGCCAAACTTTTACAAGTGCAAAAAGAGTTGTATGAAAACTCAGGTAAGAAAAAACATGACAGATTTCTACATGTGCTAGACATGGGTCAGCTGGCTGTAGGATCAACAAGATATTTCAGGCTTTACTTGTCACAACCCACATTAGAGCTTGGTTGGCGACCTGAAATCTACAAACTTTTAAACTTCATTTGTTGTCTATTACAGCAAATGACAAATTATAGAATTGCCAGGAAATTTGACAGAAAATTAAACACTATGGCCATAGTTGATCTGCAGAGTTATACAGAATATCAAGAAGAAATAAAAATGAAAATCGGGCAAAAGATTTTAGGGATAAAACACAAATTAATTTTATGTAAAATATTCGTATAAACTTTCCCTGTAAACATAGAATAAGAAAGTCTACATGTTGATATATCTTGAAACTTAGGATAAATGACATTTTTTGTTTAAAAGTTGCCATCATTATTGTACACATTAAACTTAACTTATGTTAGTACCTAAAACATCGAATTCTAAAAGGAATTAACAAAATCTAGCTTCAATCCTCACTAAAAAATATTTTAAAATTCTAAGCAATAACTAAAATTCAATCTTAACCTAACACTAACTTAACACTAACCTCAAAACCATACCTCACACTAAAGTTAAAATTGGCACTAAAAAACACAAATACTATGCCTAAATAGAATACTAAACCTAAAGCTAATTATAAACCTATAACTTATAATACTGTAACAGTAGAATAAGGTATAAAGATGTATAATGTTTTGTTAATACCTCAGTTCAGTAGTTTTAACACAATATATACTAGACAGCTAAAATATACCTTGCAATGAACCAGAGCAGTTTTTTCATGAAAAGTATCATACAAAGTCAAACTGAAAGTTTAAGGCATATCAATATTTAACTTAAACAAGACTGAAAAGCAAAAAAATTATTTAACTTGTATTAATATAACAGGGGTGTTCAATATAAAAGGTAATTTATAACATGTTTTCTTGTAGTCAACAGTCAAACAAAGAAGATAGACAACTCAAAAAGCAAACTGATTAAAGTTAATAAAAGTTCAAATATCGATAATTAAAAATCTGATTGCAATGATTATCAGTGCTACATACAAATAAGTGTTAGTTAATATTGACTCAAGTACAGATTTACCATACTTTATAAGTATTCAAAGACATTGTGAAAGACTAGAATGAAGCATTTAAAAAATAGAATTTGTGAAATGAAAGTACATAGAGAAACCTAAATAATTTGCATAAACAAAACACAATCAGTTGATATGTTAGTAAGGAAAAGATTTTGAAATTGTAGAAATACAAAAAATTAATAGCAGCTGCAGTATACAAGGATTATACTCAAGTATATTTATGGAATATGATAAATTACTTGATAATTAAAATATCCACAATCATTTGAATGAGTATATTAAGCATTTTAGAATTACCATCAAAAGCACAAATAAAGAAAGATAAACATATTTCAATGTGGAAATAATTGTGAGATAAATCATAATAAATGTGACTAAAAATGTCATACAGCAAAAGCAAAGTTTCAGTAAGTGTAAATAGTAATCAAAAACAGTAATTATGTATAGCTCAAATTTGTCAAAAGAATATGCACAAGAGAGAACTAGAGAAATGCTTATTGTTTTATCTACACATTAAAAAGTATAACTTTGAAATTCACATAAAGGAATAAAAAAAGCTGAAATAAATGTATATAATTTAGTCAAGAAATTCATAGAAATTAAATGCCATCAAAATTTAAAATGTACTAGCATAGAGCAAGCTCAGACAAGAATTCAAACAAAAGTTTAAGTAAACTGATGAAAGAAATGGAGCAATATACATATACCCAACACAAGCTTATGAAAATGCAAATGTAATGTAACGGTTAACCTTAATCTGGTTACTAACTAGAGGGAATAGTAATTTCTACTAAAATTGAAAGAAAAGTAAGCAGGTTGTTTGAAAATACATTGTTAAAATTTATTGAGCTAATTGAACAATTAAGCTTAACAGAAACTTGTTTTACACTAATAAAAATTTTAAATTTCAACAAAATAAAGAGAAAGCCACTGAACAACAAAATGCAAAAAGAAATATAAAATGACAAAAGAAAGACATTTTTCATACTTAGCTAAATATAGATATAAATACATGTTTTAAATTGCTGTAAAAGAATGTTCAAAAGAAATTTTAATAGAATATTACTCTTGCATTTGCAAGAATCTTGTCTATGAATTATTTTTACAAATAAAATTAAAGTAAAATATTTTTATAACCATAAATATCAATTAAAAAAGACATTGTTAAAAGTGTTAAAAGAATTGGGAAAATGAAGGGATTTCTAGTGAATAAGAATAAACACAAGGCAGGAATTCAAATGTTTTTGTTAATTAAGAAAGTTACAAGACAAACATTAAATTTATATACAAGACATAATTTATTCTTTTGTGATTAATCATAACTGCATAACATAATGTTCTCATTAAAGTAGAGAATGTATAAAATGCTGGAAATTAAATATATTAGGTCTAGAATAAAAAGGAAAAGGCTTAAAAGCAGAAAGAAATTTAATATGAAAATGAATAATACATTAAGAGAAAATGGTAACCTGTGTAGAAGTTATCTATGCAAATGGAAACATTAAAAATGAGTAAGTTTGTATGCCTAAACTTTTAAAACCAGTTCTTAATAACTTAATACTGCTCAAATAATAACCCTGTGGAAAATGTTTGTATTTTGTATGGTTAGTAGATAAAAAAAACATGCAATGGTAGAGAATTTAAGAGATTTAACTAAAAAATTAACTTGTATCAAACAAAAAATATAATTTCAATATTTAGATAAGAGTTTCATAATATGTACTATTTAGGCTATAGTTTCTTTCTATAGTATAGAGTTTATAAAATGATTCAAAATGTTAGTGAGTACAAATAAAAGAAAATGGTACTAATATATCAATTTAATATACTTTATAAACTAAATGAAAGAACAGGGGAAGCAACTCAATAAATTTAAAAATGCAAAAGATTGAGTAAATTTTGATCTATGAGATATGCTCAATAAAACAAATCAAACCCTAAAATATATTTCTGTGCCTAACTGAGTATGACATACTCCCTACACATAATTCGTGTCTAAATTTGATAAACGTTATATGAATAAATAAAAATGTTTTTGGAAATAAAATTAAAGGGAGATTATAAAAATAGTGGTTTACTAAAATAAAGCAAGGTTAACCACTACAATCATATTTAATTAAATCTATAAAATTATTATAAATAATTACATAATAATACCTAAGCCTGTAATTTGGATAGAAATATAATGCATATTATAAAGAAGGAAATTAAAATAATTTAATACAACTTATCTTGTCAAAAAGTATTGACACATCTTTTCAGTTTAGCAGTCAGGTTAGATCTGTCAATTTCTTTAGGTCCTCACATTACGAGGTGATGGCGGCAAATGTGGTCATTGGGTGACTGCTTAACGTCGGTCACTTTTTTCAGTTGACGAATGCTCACTTGGTTTTTTGACCAATCGCAATATAGAATCACAGAAAGTTTCATCGAAATGTAGGCCTACGTATAGAATTTCAAATGTAAACAAGATACGACCGTGAACCTAATATTTACATAATGTATGTCTAAAACTGTTGTTACCGAACTCTTACACACGTAGACTAGGCCCATTCTATAAAACAGAAGGGTCACTAAAGTTACACACTACACACGTAGACTACACAATAAAAGTAACACTAACATGTTATATACACACGTTACCCTTACCAGAAGGGTTGCAACTACGAAACATTCTCCTAGCGTGTAATTATAACATTCATAGACTACTTTAAGACTTTCTTCCAGGCATCTCTTCGGGGGGGGGGGGGGGGGGGGTGTCTGCCCCCCCCCCCCCCCCCCCAAACGAAATGGAATTTATATAGAAAACATATACTTTTGACAGTGTCCGCCCGCAGTAAAGTTTCTCTGTTGTGAATAACAGAGCTATCATACTCTGTACTATAAAGAAAGGTCTATGGTATTCCATACCGGCCATACACGGGCACACATTAGTCCGTGTTTTGCTTTGAAAATAGAGATTATAAAGAGTGTCGCATATAGGCTAAATACTAAATAGCATAGGACAAGTAATTTGACGTTATGTGGTCAAGTTACCCCACCCCCACCCCCCCCCCCCTTTCAAAACTTTAAATAACATAAAGCAAGGTTTTACTATCTTTAAATAAAATATATACAAAATACACACTGTAAATGGAGTTTTATATTATTGATAAGCATCATAAATTTAATTATTTCAAGATTTATTTAGGGGCCTAATTTAAGAAATGATTCAATGTTTTTTATTTGTGAAAAATATTTTTATCTGCTACATTTTAGATCTGACTTTTTAAATAGTTTTCCAAGTAATTCAAGATTGCAAGTATTGGCACATTACAAAATATAGCTTGTATTTAGTTTGTATTCTGTAACAATTATGTTATTTATTTTCTAATTCTAGTTAACAGGGATTCAAGAGTCGATTCTAAATATTATCCCTAGCTTTGTTTAAACGATTTCTTAAATTTTTACCCCCTCGTTCACACTTCTATGTTTTTTAGTTTCAGTTGCACCTGTGTGACTACTAGATCTCTACTTCACGTTACAAATTGCCCCCCCCCCCCCCCATTTTAACCCTTAGGTTGTTTACGTAGGACCGCTTACATTAAGCATCTAATCTAGTAGTAGCCTAGTCTAGTATTGTAGGCATACAAAAAATCAGACTAGTAACATCTCATATTAGGCAGTACTATATAATATATAATTGATATATTAAATATTAATTATTATTTATTAGCTTAGGTACTAGCTCTGCTAGTTTGTTGGTAGTGGTAGGCCTAACTACTAGACTACTTAAATTAGTAATCAGGGTTTATATGAGTTATGGTTCCTTAATTATTACATCTGTAGAGTTTGATAAATGATAAGTTTCCCCCCCCCCCCCCCCATCATTGTTTTATTGTCAACATGAATGAATTTATTATTTTAATAGTTTTGAATATATGGATAATTGTTTTGCATTGTTCTTGAAGATACAACATATTTCATCATATGCTGTTAAGGAAATGGAACAGTCTGAAGTTAAATAAAAATTGACAGCGACTCCACCATCAAAGGCAGAGGAATTAAATGTGTAAATAAAAGCTTGTAAGAAGCTGTGATAATGGGCAATAAGCAAAACAAAATGCAACGAAAGGGTAGGTATTTTTTATAGCTAATCAATAAAATTATTAAATATTTTAGGAATTTATTACACTTGTTAACTACCAGTGTTTCTTCCAGACTTTTTTCTCCGGGGGGTGGGGGGGTGTAGACGGAGACTGTTAAAAGTATATATTTTCTATATAAATTATATAAATCCATTCCCGAAGAGATGTCTGGAAGAAACTCTGTTAACTACATGCTTTCACTGAAGAGAGATGTAACCAAAGGCATAAGATAAAAGTGAAAGTGTTTTACAAGTTGGGTGGGGGAACATAGGAGGGTGATTATCTTAACCTATTAATTGGATTTCCTGGTTTTTAAAACATTTAAAGAAAATGTTTTTAGTAATAATTAAAATTTAAAAATAATTGGGTCCCGATAAATTGTAGTAACTAAAGTACTGTATTGCAGACTTGCTGTCTTATTCTTTTGTTAATCTTCCACTACAATAATCATTTAATTAGAACCTTTAACTTTTGTTAACTATGCCTATGAATGTGTCACATCTAAGAGTACGTCAGTTTTTTTTATCAACTTAAAGTTACTATGTTAAAATTGTAGGTTAAAGATTATCGCAAGTAGAATTGAGACATCATGGACATGAGTTAATCACATTGTATGCCTAACCGTCAGCACAACCAGGAAAAGCTGGTGATAATGTGCAACAAAAGTGTCCCCGATGTTGAGTGAAATATATCTGTTTCAAACTTAAAATAGTCCTTCAATTTAACTAGCCTTTTCCTTTTTAATTTTTGGCAAAAATAAAATGGAGAAATGATTGTTCGTAAAAGTTTTCCAACTTTTTTCGGAAAAAACAATACAGTCTGCGGGAAAAACCTGATTTCTATTGAAATGCGGAAAAGTTATATCTCTGTAATAAATTAGGATTTGATCTATATAGTCATAATAGCAAATTTTTGGTTCAGGGTGACTGGTCTAGATTCAATAAATATTTTGATTTTTTTGTGATTAGATTATTCAAGCTATGAATTTATAAGAAGACAATGTGAAGTTTAAAAGTGTATATGTATAGATTGCCAACAAGTTTGTTTAAAAGTAGTAACAGAATTTTTAATTTTTTTTTTCAGTTGATGGTCAAGATAACCATGATAAAGGTTTGTGGTTTAATTTCACAGCTAACCTAGCATTATTTTACTGTCATGATGTAATCTACCTTTTTTTTTATTAATTGTAATATCGGAAGGGATTTTCTCAAATATAATTATTAAAGATTTATGTGTGAGAAATGAACTGCACATTGACTGAGACTTCAGTCTTCTTTCTGAATGTGCCTTGATCTTTTTCTTCTTCTTCTTCGTTCTTAATTATTAGTGTTGAAGGGGATCGAGATTTATCTGCCAGTGGGTTTGAACTCGAGACTGTTCGAATGTATCAACCATGAGCTTTTTGCAGACTCGACCACGCCTCCAACACAATTAAGCGTTACGTGTCAACTGGTTATGCGCCATTGAGGCCATTGACTCCGATTTCAGCCTGCTTTCCTTTTTGGATTTGCTTCCATAGCCTTTGTCCAACCAAGAACAAACTACAAGGCAGCAGTTGTTTTAATTTTGGAGTTGTCTCTCCTAGAAGAGTGGCTGTCCCCAGCTAACGAGCCTCATCTGCCCGAGGGTTCGAACTCGAGACTTTTCGGTTTACCAACCATGAGCTTTACCGACTCGGAAGGGATTTTCTCAAATATAATTATTAAAGGTTTATGTGTGAGAAATGAAGTGCACATTGACTGAGACTTCAGTCTTCTTTCTGAATGTGCCTTGAAAGTTTTTGTCCATCTAAGAACAGTATGTGAGGCAGCAGCTGCTAGATTTAGTTTTCTCTACGAGCTAATGAGTCATAAGTCCAACTCAGGACTTTAGGGTGTACAATCATTTGCAATCCCTCTAGACCACACTGTCCCCTAATATATCTACCTAATAGCTAGCAAAGAGCCGGATCTGCTGATGATTTTGTTGATTTTTTTAGGCTCTGTTGTTTAGTTTTTGAGGAAACAGAAAATTTGAAGCCTTTTGCTGCTTACCTAAGGATAAAATCCATCAGAATGTGTGTTACATGCGATCACTTTCAGCTTTAATCAAGTAGAAAACTATGGGTCCAGACCTGTTTAAAAAAAATGTTTTTAATGTACATTGTAAAACCTTATCTAGTTTCAAGTGGTATAGAGTTGGCCATTCTTTGAGACTTATTCCAAAATATGTACAGCAGTAAAAATATGTATCCAGGCTTTGATGTCATATTATTGTTTTTGTATATAGAAGAGGCTTCTCCCTTTATAATGTTGAAAATTGTTCGTGAATATCCTTCTGGAACCCAAGAGGTAGATAAAGAAATCAGAACTGGCTCAAATATACAGGTATTGAATGTCACACTTGATGTAGTTTCATTTCTAGTGTCTGCATTAGTTTAGGCAAAAGGATTTTTTATTAGTTTTAATTAATCAGAACAGTTCATATGATAGCTACATTTATGAACACTTAAAAATTAATAATAATCTAAATAAAAATTAGCATAGATTCAGTGAGTTAGAAAAAAAATTTCAAAATGATAAAATAGTAAAACATTTATTTTAATTATTTCAATATAATTACAATGTTGGTAATATGTTGGTCTAGAAATGTAGATTAACAAAGCCTTGTCAATACTTGTATTACATACAAAATATAGCCACCAAATCATTCTTTAGTTAATTTTTTATCCAGGTGAAAAATTTCAAAAATGATCTTCAAAAGATGCTTGATATCCCTGCTGAAAACCTTTTAATTTACCGACACAATGGCAAGGCAAAGTTACCAAATGTTGGCACTTTAAGTAAACTGGGCTTAAAAGATGGTGACATATTGCGTGTAAGAGATGGCAGAGAAAAGTACCAAAATTAAATGATAATAAATTTAGAACTAGTTTATTAAATTATTGCGTTTTCTTGCACTTTAGAAAACTGGAAGTTTTGTTTTCCTTTGAGCCTTTGGCTCTTGTTAGGAATATCAAGGCACTAACTTACATCTGACACAAGATACCAATGAATTGTTTCTCAAAAAAATTTTATTTATATGATGTGTTCCGGAAATATTTTTTACTTTTTACACTAATAAAATCAAAACTATTATAGAACTATAAAATTGTTCATTGTGAATGCCATATACATTACAGTTTAAATGGTCTGAACTTCTGCTGTTATATTATCATCATTATATACATTCCCCTGCAAATAGCAGTCATATATTTCTCTGATGCTGAAAATAGATTTGAACTTAATTAATTATTTAATTGGGAGACTAGGTTGTAGCACTGTTTTAGTTCATTAATTAATTATTTAATTGGGAGACTAGGTTGTAGCACTGTTTTAGTTCATGTCACAAGTTGTTACATCTCCATTTATTTCTTACCTCGTAAAAAAACATTTTGTTCTAAAAACAGTGAGTGATGAACCCGCTGCATAACTTAGCTGAGATTATGTCATTTAAAGCCTAACTAAGTCTCCTTTAGTATGTATTGTCAGATTTTATGTAGATTAATTTATCTTTAAAAATTTTGAATTTACTTTTTGTGTAACTTTGGTTCCATTTTATTTTACTTGATATTATTTATTTACATTCTTTGCTGTCATCTTATTTGAGTGTTTGCAAACAACTTTCACCTTTACAATGACAATCTGCTTTGACTACATGTATTATGTAATCCATTCCTAGGATTATAAAATAAAGCCTAACATGTGACAGGTTTTAATAAATGTCCCAGTTGTAAATGTTATACTCACCTATGTACAAATAAATTGTTATAAAAAAGGTTCTTGCAGAATTTTTTTTTTTTCTAGATATTTGTCAGACCCATCTTTGAAATGAAAAACCATGTTAAAATTCAAAGCAGCCTAACTAAACAATTGGGATGGCATGGTCTAGCAGTTGAGCTCTAAACTGCTAACCTGATTGTCTCTAGTTGATTCCGGGTTCAAAGTAAAATTTCCTTTATTCCATCCATGGTTACCTAACGCATGTAAGGGAAAGTAAAGGTGGCTGGGCAAAGTGCTGACCATATTTTCCCTTCATATGCCAAGGTCACAACAGGTGAACTCTACTTGCCCGATTGACCATCAGGTTTGAAAAGGGATCTTTATTTTAATATTACCATGTTGCAACATGAAATTTTACAGCACAACTACAATTTCAGAATGGGCTTGTACTTGTAGGAAAGTAAGTGGAAAGTAAAATCCTATGCTGTTTGCTGGATCAGATAAGTTAGATTTAGAAATATGGTAATAGATTGTTCCCTGTTAGCATGCACAGTAGATTCCCATCTAAGCTTGTCAGAACTCTATATCATCTACTAATCCATTAGTGATGTTATGAATTTTTCACAATCACATTTTCAACCATTACACCCTAATCTAAGATTGATAACAAAGCTTGATTTACCTCCAGATGTTGTGAAATACTTCAAGATTATTTTATCATTTACTTAGGTTAGTCCACACTTATTAAACTATTTTCTTTTTCATTTATTTGTCATGTTAAGATTGAAATTAACAGAATTAAGTATTAGATGTCAAGTTGTTATGCACCATGTTGACTACGATTTCAGCCTTTTCTTTTAGGATTTGCTTCCATAGCCTTTGTCCAACCAAGAAACCAAGAACAAACTACAAGGCAGCAGTTGTTTAATTTTGGATTTGTCTTGCTTTAAAGAGGTGCTATCCCCATCTATTGAGCTCCATTTGCCCAGGGGTTCGAACTTGAGATTTTTCGGTCTAGCAACCATATTTACTTACTTGAACATGCTGAACTCCCCTTATTTAACTATGGAATTTTATTAGGGTGAGAGAACAAATGCTACGTCATTAATTGTAGATAAATTTGACTGGTTTGGATATCTCAATAACTTGGCAAGCAGTTATTACGATTTTTTGTATAGTTAGTGTAAGGCATGTCTTGAATAAACAATATTTTATTTTAGAGAACGGTAAAACAAGCTGATTTATATTTGGAATATATAAACTTTATTTTAGAAACAGAATGAAACAAACAAAAAAAAATGACAAAAATAAACAGACTATTGTAGATTATATTGTAAAAACTGGTGAACTGATAACAATTTTAATTTTTTAAAAGACGTATAACATTAATTTTACATCTAAATACTACAATTATTGATTTATAAAAAGGTATTACTTTTTATGGTAGTAAATTTTTTTACTTAATCCCTCTTTTTTCATTTAGTTTTATAACAAAGCTAACAATTGACCCTCAAACAGAAAATTAATCTCCTAGTGTACATATGTAACTTATGAAATAAAAATGATCATGAGCAAATATGCAAAACTGTATCTTAAAAAAATGAATACATTCTTCTGATTAACTGCATCAGTCTAATGTTTATGAATGAATGCAACAAAAAATTTACAATCTGAAACTTTAAAAATTCTAATCTATGAAGCCTTAATTTTGGTGGCCAAGATGAGTATAAAATTGTTTTGTTCAGTTAAAAACATGAACAAGTGGAGCAATAGCATTTCCATGGCAAAATGGACTGGGATAAACAGCAAAACATAATAAAGCACAGTCTCTTGTCCATGTTACAAGTAGTTTACATTGTAAAAAAATGTACAACAGGATATAATGTAATTTAAAGGTATTAATTCATTCTCTCGAGTAATGGTCAACAGCCCACCAAGTGTAGCAAAAAGCTAGAATAAAAGCTTACATTTTTTTTAATGGTCAAAAACTTAAGGTAAAAAAATATTTTCACATTTAAAAACTATGAGACTTTTTTAATAGTCATTTTAGAAATTAGGACACTATAAATTATTTAACTAGTATCTACTTATTGCCTGTATTAAAGCATTTTATTGATATATCCATTTTAATGATGATGGTACTTTTGAAATACGAAAGTTTCATTTTTTCCTAATTAACTTCTACTTTGCATTCAGCAAATTTACTTAAAATTATACACAAAAATTTAATGTGAAACAATTTTACTTAACAACAATATATAAAAGCAATCCTGAAGTTCAGTAGGTAAAAGGCCAGTACAAAGAACATAGGTAAATTTTCATAAACTATATTTTACATTCACCAATAATATGCTTAGAAGTGTGACACAATGAAACATATTTTTTACAATATGTAGAACAGGAATAAAGAGCAAATACAGATAGTATAGATATAAGGCTGACTGAAACATTGCTGTAAAAGATTTGAATGTAAGATGTATAAAAAGTGTATGGACACAAGAGAAATAGAATATAATGGAATGTAGAAACAACACTGTGATTAGGCCTGCTTTAAATTACATTTTACAAACATCTCAGAGAGTAAAAACAAATTTCCTTTTCTTCATGGCGTGTAAATTATTTTTGTAAATTACATTAAACTTAGATACTAAATTAACCTGAAGACAACTAACAAAATTATTTTAAAAAAACATGTTATTGGCACACATTGTTTTGGAATGGTAAAATAGAAAAAAACATGTTGGATAGAACAATTCAATAAGCCTTTGATGTACGTGTTCAACCTTCAATCAGTTAAAACTTTTTATGTACATATTAAAAAGATCATAAACACATACAGAAACAGTAAAAAAGAATAACCAAGGGCCATGTCTGATGCTAAAATAATTGATAGTTCACCGTTGTCACTACTTAATTTTAAAGTTTGAAATTTGAACAATAAAATACATTTCTCGACTCACATAGAATGGTATAAAACAATTACTAAATGAATTTTTTTCATCAATATTTACACAACTATAAAGCTGTAGTAAAAAGTTAATATAGAATATTATACAGTCATTATATACATCATCCTGTTTCAACCTTTTACTGCATATATTCACACTTTCATTTCAACCTGATATCATTTATTTATGCTAGAAATTCTGCTACAAATGTAGGTGTATTTGTTGAGTCAAGTAAGACAATTTTAATATATAAATGTTACAGGGATTAAATAGTTTTTAAGGAGAAATTACTAGATATGTAATGCTGGCAGATCTCAGGTAATATTGTATAGAATATTGCAATGAAAGATGTTTTAAACATGCTACTGAATTCACAGTAAATGTCTGCAGCAATGTTTAATTTTGTACCACTCCATTTAAACATGCTTCTGAATTCACAGTAAATGTCTGCAGCAAATTTTAATTTTGTAACTATCTGCCATGAGAAATTGAATTTTGCACAGATTTGATGCAAGATATTAAAACATCTGCATTAAACAAATGATATTGAGCATTTCTTTAATATGTTAAGTAGACTTTAATAATGGCTTAATCTTTTTTTATTTTAATTTTTTTCTGTAATACAGTTGAAGGCTATTAACATCAAAGAAAAATATAAAATAAATGCAAACAATGCTGCTAATAAGTATCAAATATACAGGGCTGAAAACATCATAAGTATTGTTGCTATGGGAATTCTCCAAGTTGAGGGAGTAAACACTCTGCTACAAGAAACTTGCTATATTAAAATCTTCTCAAGTGTGTACAAGCCAAAGCATACTTCAGATTTTTTACCCCTTTTTTAAAATCTAGACTTCAATGCAGCATGTGTACAGATTGATAAAACTATGAGAAAATACTTGATATGACACCTAATTTATGCCTGGTCTATCTTCCTAGGCAGCTTATCAGAAACATCATTGAAAAATTGTTCCTACATTATAGCTCAGCATTTATACTAATGTCCCATGTGCCTCACTGCCCTTACCACCTTTAACAGCTTGCTCAATCTTGTCTAGCTCTTCCATACTCGGAGTCAGGAAAATGCTGCGTGGTTTAGCTTTAGGCACCTTTCTGTCATTAGCATGTATGTCTATGCATTCATCCTCATGCTCTTTTATTCTTTTCTTTGGCACTGTGGGGGGTGGATTTTCATTAGTGTACCTTGATTCATGTTTATGTGAGGCTGGAGGCATCCTGTCTTTTCTATTGTTGTTTTTAGTTTCTGTAAAATCAGAACAAAGTAAAATTTAATGTAAGTAGTGAATTGACTACAAAAAGTAGTAATGTTTTTATAGATATCAATGGGGATTTTTCTAAAAGTTTAATCAAATTATAGAAAAAAAATTAAGATAATTTCGAAGAAGATAAAGATGCTCCTGATTATAGTTGACTATTATATTATAAACGGAGTTCATGCAACAAAATTAAATTCCAGGAGTTTTATATAAATTTCAGGACATTTTTAAAAATAAGAAATCTGTATTGTATGGCAGCATTTACGTTAATCACAGACGCTCATAGTTAAACTGTTCACTAGGTTCACTCTAATTATAAACATGGTTGTTTTTTTCAATTTTACACAAGTGGAAATGAATTTCTTCAACATTAAACCAATTTAAACGTAATGATCTAAGTAAAGTTCCTTTTTGAACCTGACGGTCCATATGACAAGTGAAGTAGAGTTCACCTATTTCTGTGACCTTGGCGTCAGAAGGGATAGTGTGGTCAGCACTATGCCCAGCTGCCTTTACTTTCCCTAAAGTGAGTTAGGTACCCATCAGAGTTGGGTGGGCTCAGGAATGTTTAACATACTTGAACCCGAATTCAAAGTCAAGACTTTTGGATTAGCAGTCATATGCTCTACCATTTGACTGCTCTGTCCCTTAATGATTTAAGTTGCACTCTTTTTAGCGCAATTTCCATTCTGGAGAATTGCGTTTATTAACTCGTCTTTTCTGGGAATGAATGGATGAATGGATGGATGTGTGTCCGCAGCTTTAAGTCGTATCTCCTCCTCAACGAAGCAATATCGAGGACTAGTTCCAAAAGCAATTATGTTAAGCAAGTTACGAGGATGAACATAGGCCATAAAAATTCCGGGTTTCTTTCATGGATTTCCCGGAAAAGCCAAAAAACCTCAAAAAATGTAGTTTTTGGCCCATAACTCGGCAACCAGACCACTTAGCGACTTGAAACATGTACCAATCGATTCCTGCCATAATTTAGAACAATATTGCAGAAGAAAGTTTTCAAAAATATCCTTTCGTTTGGTCACAAAACATTTTTTTAATTAATTAAAATTTGGACCGAATTAGTAGGCATTTTATGCAACCACACCACACGCGTCATCACGTTCAATAGCTGCACCATCACGTTCAATGGCTGCGACGTCACGTTCGGTAGCTGGGCGCGCAATGGTTTTTAGTCATGTTACTCTATTGTAAATAAAACATGTAAAATACTGAAAAAAAAATTAATAAAAAACGTTTTAATAACTAACCAATAGTTTTACTAACCCTGCTCTTGATTTACGCTACGACAGAGCTATTTTTAGATAACACAAGGAAATTGCGCTAAAATTGTCACTAGACTTTTTTTAATTACTTGTTTATCAATGTAATGATAATGTCTTATATTCTTAAAGATGGACATGGTATAAATAATTTTAAACAGTAAGCCTGAAAGTTTTAATTCATGTGATGGTAAATATAATGGGTCTAGACCAGATTAGCTACAATATATTTTAATTAGTGTTTTGGAAATTAATGTTTGAAAAAACATTTAGTCAAAAATAACCATCTTGATCGTAGCTAAGCCACATAGTAATTTATGCTTTTAGCTTAATAGACCCCTATTACTAATTGCTGGTGTTGCACCCCCCCAACAAGACATGGTAGAAAGGTCATGGCCAGATCACTTAATAATATAAATCAGAAGACCTAGAGCATGTCATAGCAGGAACAGCATTGCTATTTGAGATTGGCTATGAAATCTCTTTTATTTTTCCAAAAATAAGCAGTATCAAACACGAACTCTGGATCATGGTGTGTTCACGAAAGCTGTCAATAAATTATAACTGGACTATCATGCATGCAAAATTAACCCAGGCTTAGGTGATGTATTTCTCTTTCAAAGAATGCAACTTTACCCTTTTTTTTTTTTTTTAACTGAAAAGATCAGCAGAAAATATGAACTGAAAATCACATCCCTGAAAAATGTGTGGTACTAGGCATATAAACATGCACACTCACCAAGACCCTAAATACGTTTTTCAAATTACCAGGGGGGGGGGGGGGGGGGGGGGGGGGAATAAAGGGACATCTAAAATGGCAATTGTTCATGCAATAGCATATGCTATAGGGCTGCTGATATATAAACTAATATGAACTCACAATGACCCTACAATATCTTAAATTTCCTGAGAATGCCAGGTGGTTTTTACAATTTTTTTAATTCTAGGAAGCTGCACAAACCCTGTATAAACTAGGTAAAAAGACTAATCTGTGTATGATAAAAATGTACTCTCAAGAGCTAGAACCAAAAAAAAAATGTTCTGAAACTATAAATGTATGATCTACCAGTCACGAGTGAGTTACCTGTGATCTGAGAAACCATGTACAGTGAATTGTTTTCTGGACCTTTGTATATAGGACTTTTTGCCTTCTGGATAGGGACTTCATAGTCATTGTCTTCCACCATTGATGAATCTGCTTCATCTGCTGGATTAAGTTTGGCAGCTTCTTTTTTTCTGAGGGGAGTACAACAAGTAAACTTGCATTACTGCATGTTTGCAGAGGTTATTTTATTGTGTTAATCATTAGTATCCTGAAGGAAAAAAGATTTCTACAATAAACAAATGGGATTAGTAAGTAACTTACGCATTGTAACTCTCCCCTTTCTTTTTTCTCTTCATACAAATGCATGTGACTACCAGGATGATGATGGCAATGACAACAGCACCAGCTACTGCTGCTGCCACCACAATAGTCAAATCTAGGGAGATTAATAAATACAGGAAAAATATTTTACTCAAGAAAATAGTTTTTAAACTCACATTTATTTACTATGTAAATAATATGGAGGGGATTTTCTCCAACACAATTATGTTATGCACCATATAACCTCTTGACTCATACTTTGTCAGCTTATTTTTTTTTTTATTTTCTTCCATAGGCTTTGTCACCCTAGAACATTCAGCAAGGCAGCAGTCATTTAATATTTAGAGTTTTCTTTCCTAGATGGATTACTGTCCCCAGCTAATGAGCATCATTTTCCTGGGGCAGGGTTCCCACATTTTTTTGACCAAAAAATTCCCTGCTATTTTACAAAATTCCCTGCTATTTTTGACAAAATTCCCTGCCACTTTTCATACATTTTTCACGCGCAAAACCACTCAGACAAAAAACTTGAAATGTGAAAATGAAAAATAACATACCATGTACAGCTTTTATTCCCTGAAATACTAATACCGGACATTACATTCCTAAACACGAAGTAAAAATATCTAGTAGTAACCTTGTTTAAATCCCACAATCTAATATGAATGTCGAGCTGTTTCCTTTGAATTTCTTTGTTTAACGACTCATCGAACAGCAAAACAAATGGCTGGTCATGGGTTTTTTCTCCAAAAGCGAGGCAAAATATGGAGCAATCCCAAAGCATGTTAGGTACATGGCTTTGGTCTCTCCAAGGCTCATATGCTTTGCAATATCACATGAGGGAAACATTCTTTGAAATGTGGCCACAACATCTGCTTGAGTGGAAAACGAGTAATGTGAATCCACACATTTTAAGGCCCATATGATCTCAGCATTTAGAGCCTCATTACCTGAGACAAAGGACCGCATTGAAGATGACGAAGTGGAAGGTGCCAATGACGAAGTGGAAGGTGCCAATGACGAAGTGGAAGGTGCCAATGATGAAGTGGAAGGTGCTACAGATGTAGCCTGAATGGTGGGTTTGTTTGAATTAAAAAAGGCAATGTAGGTATTGACCGGTGAAGGTTTACCTTCTCCAAGTGCTTTTTGCTCTTCATGTGTGAGGTGAGAGCTTGCCTTCCCATTGATTTGATGTTAACTGATTTGCTGCACAACCTGCAAAATGCTGAATAAACTGTCTTGTCACGGGCTATCCACAATTTGAACTCTGGATTGTCCAACCAGCAACTTTGGAATGAGGAATAACCCATGGTTCTAAAAAGAATTAAATGAAAAGTGAAAAGATCTAGAATCAAGACTCAATGTACAATAATGCACTTTTTAACAATTTACAAGCAAGACTAGAATACCATACAGGACTAACACTATTATTATAAAATAAATCTACCTAGATCAAAACTCTAGCACTTTCTTACATTAAATATTCTAAAACAATTCAGAAATTAATTTCTAATATCATAAATTAATAATTACTTCAGTAGTAATTTAATCTTCAAAAAAACAAAAGTCTAAACTCAGATCATTAGATCTAGATCTAGATCTACGTCCTTCAAACCAAACTAAAACGGCCCAGGGTCTAGATTATATCTAGATCTAGATTTAATTACTATTTATTAGGCATTATCTAGAGTCTAGATCTATTCCATCCTAGAATTAGAATTTTTAGTTTCTAGATCTAGAAATCTAGATCTAGATCTAGATCCAGTCTACAACTGTATGTATAACAATCCTTAGATACAGATCTAGTGAGTTAGATCTTACTAGACTCTCTAGATCTTAGCTAGATCATATTAGATATGGATTTATAAAAGCCTAGAATAAGAATTTAATTTAGAATCAAAATTAAACAGCTTTAATTGATGTATTTTAAAAAACTTACCTAGTCAATTCTCTGAACACAAGCTTGAAACAAGTAAAAAAAATTTAAAGTCCAAAAAATCTGAAGCCGTAGAATCTATCTATGATCGATCGAGCATCGCCAAAAATAGATCTATGAGAATATCCGTTGATGGGCCTTTTTATAGTCAATATGCCGTATCGCACAACGAGAACCGGCGAGATCAAGTTTTGTGCGCCAAAACTAGGCCCTAGGCCTAGGCTTGCCTTGATCACGAGACGTGGCGAGACTAGCGCTTGGATATGCCCATGCCCGGTCGAAATCTCGCGATACCCGGAATGTCTTTTTTTTTTTAAACCGGGATGCAAGATTTTCCCGGTTTTTTTTTTAATTTTTCCCGGTTTTTCATCATAATTCCCGGTTTTCACGACCGGGAAAATAAATTTTGAAATTCCCGGGTTTTTCCCGGTTTCTCGGCTGCGTGGGAACCCTGCTGGTGTCAAAGCTCTACTTTTGGAGTTAACGTGAGCTCTCCAGCCTGACCATGCTGTCCCCTTAAACTCCTAACAATATGTGACACTGGAAGCTCACTAAATGTCATAAATACACATAGCTATAATCTTTTCATAGTTTAAACATTTTCAGGTAAGGGATCACTCTTGAAAGGTATCCACTTAGATCAAGAAGTGGGGTGTATACAGACAGATAATTTTAATTAAAAGTCAACCTTTGTGAAAGCATTTGACAGGTTTGAACATTTATACTTTTAATTTAAACTTCATACAGGTTTTAAAAACATACTTAATTTTCAATGTCTACAAAATGTATACATTTACTGTAGTGTGGGTTAAAAAACAACTCAACTGGTAAATTACATTACAGTAGCTATTTTTGTAAGTTTAGTGCTTCTATTCTGTAAGCAAATGGTGAAAAAAACGAGGAATGGGCAAGAACCAAATAGTGTCTTTAAACTGAAAATATAAAATAGCAGAGATTTTCTAAAGCTAAAGTTTACCTATTGAAGCTTCAACAGCTTTCCCTGTAGCAGTTCCTTGCCACTTTGGCAGATCAGCTGAGGCAATACATTGAGCAGCAAGAGACTCCATGTTTAGGGAACATGTTGCTTGTATTTCTTCTATATTTACAACAATAGCCAGGTTAATATAGCTTCAACATCTTTATTCCTATATTGGTGTTTTTAACAAGTTATTTCAATGCATGTGTATCACACATTTTAACAAGGGCGATAATTATTGAAAACATTCTGAGACAAAAGAAAAAAAATGGTGTTTTTTAACAGGATACCTTTTGATTGAAACTTGAAAAATCCATTTGTATATACAGAGGTGGGCTTACTGCCGTCTGAAATCTAAGGTAAATAATACTTTTTTAATACACTGAAGCCATGTCAAAAAATGTCATGTCCAGTTCATACATTATGTCGGCTTGGGGTGCTTGATTATTTCATTTTAATCTGTAAAATCTTAAGCTAAAATATGTCAAGTTCCAGATCAGCTGTGTTTTTTACATGCAGTAAACAAAAATGTCAGTTTGACATGATAAAATGAAACAGTTCATACCTTCCAGTTAACACTGACTGCAGGAGAACCCAAGTCACTGAACTCACCACAAGAAAAAGTTACAGAATCTATGTCATTTTTCTGGGTAGTTACAGACAGTTTCTCAGACTTTAATGTTGGCGCTTCTGAAATAAAAGAGTGAGTGAAATAAGCATCCATTAATCCCTATTCCCTATGAATAATTTGTTATTTACTTCTACAGGCTTAAACAATAACAAACAGGGTACTTACTAGCAACAACAACATTGAAAGGTGTCTTTCGTGTGTTTTCAGGTAAACTTGTTGCAAACAGTCTGGTCTCATATATTGCACTATCTGTCAAATCCACATTTTTTATCTAAAAAGCATTTAAAGCATTTATTAAACATAAATAATCATTTACAAAGTGTTGGCAGTTTTTATTTGGATTGGACAATAAAAAATGTCAACAAACTTATTTAAACAGAAAATGTAAACTCACCAGAAAATGGCCTGAACTTGTGAGAGCATATTTTGATGGCATTGAGGTTGTATTTGATCCCTCTGTTATATCAAATAATGAAGTTTGACTTTTGTTGCTGTACAAGCTTATGATGACTAAGTCAGGACTCCTAATATATTCTGAATAAGGGTTTTCTATGACAAGGGTCCCACCAAATGACAAACAATGAGTTTTGTTGGACATAGCAGTTGCTCCAGGTACTGGTAGTAAAAGAGTAAAGATAAGTTTAGTTACATCCAAGACAACAAAAATAAATTAAACAAGTAAAAAGATTGGTTATATTTGTATCAATCAGCAATGCCACCAACAGGAATAGTCTCGAAATTCCTTTAACTAGGTTTAAAATCAATAGGGTTGTAAAAACTAGATTGTATGGTTTTTTTAAGACCTTACTAAAGATTACACATTTTATGTTTAAGTATTTATGGAAATAAATATAATTTTTTTTTTAACAAAATGAAATTTGTGAAGGTTTTTTTTTTGTTTTATTTTTATTGAAAATGTAAACAAACCTAGCTTAGCTAGAGTCATGTTTTTGAAAGTACAAGTTTATTAAAAAATATTTACAGGAAAAGTTTGAGTAAAAATGGCCCTAAATGCATGGCCTGTAATACAGCAAACCAAAACTTTTCTGGTGGTTAAATTCTAGGTTAAAGTAAATAAATGAAAAAAATGTTTAGGTTCTCTCCTTCTACAATTTTTATAATGCTGATACTTAGAAAATATTGGGGTTGTTTTTGTTTTGTTTTTTAGTGGCCACAATTAATGCAAAATTTACAAAAACGTTTTGTTCCTGTTTCAACAATAACATGGTCAAAGGCACCTAGTCAAACTTGGTTTTATGGTTTTACTAAAGAAAACTAAACAACCTAGGCAAACTAGGCAGAGATAGGTATGAAGATGTAAATAAATGAATGAATATCAGTGAAGACTCATGTGTCAAGAGATAAAATGGAACTAGTGAAGAGAGCTGACATTGTTTTGGAAAAACAAAATTGTTAAAAAGAAAGCAAGATTTGAGTTGAAAAAATGTATTGCAATAAAAATTGAGAATAAAAATGTATTTTTATTGCAAACTTTAAAATAAAAGATGAGGTTGTAAGTACTTACCACTAAAGCTGCACAATAGACAGTGAAGCAATGTTACTGCGATTGTTTTTAAAATACACCTCAACATGTTGATGCTTAGCTTTTTACCAATGCCTAAAATTTCAATAGATAAACACTTATAAATACATAGACTAATATAGTAGGAACAGTAATCCAATATGTATTAGTTGAGACTATTATTTCAATTAGTATGATGTAGATTTTGGCTAAAAATTTTAAATGTAAAGCTATATGTATTTTGCCATTTATGCACTCTTGGGCAAATATATTTTAGGCCACTATCCTGTTATGTTTTATCATATGAAAATCACTCATTTACCACTAGCTGTCATCTTGGCTTAGCAGTATTGTTTTACAATGCTCAAAAGATTAGTAATTTATAAAATAAATTATAAAAACTATAATAGAGCTTATAAAAAAAGTTTGTAATTAATTAAGATATTAAATCTTTATTTTGAAAAAAAAAAAATGTTTGAAAAACACTAAAAACAAATGGGAGTTCAACTAGAAAAAATTTGGCAGTTGAACTCAAGTAAATTAAGAACAAGTTTCTTGATTGGATGAAATTTGTTCCTAATTTACTTGAAGTTTTATTTCAAAAGTTAGATTAGGAAAGCTTTTCTTTTTATTAGGCTTAATTATAATTAAGAACAACACAAGATGAACTAATTATTTTTTTGACAAACTTAAGCTCCAACCAAGAGACCATATTAGGTTAACACAACTCTAATTAATAATTAAATGGGAAAAATATCTCATCATTAATTTACAATCTTTAAATAGCCCTTTTAGATCTTTCTCCTTTCTTTTGCCATATGTGACAGGTTTAATAATCTTTGTTTCCCTCCCTCCACCTTCCTTTTTACTAAGAAAATATTTATATAATCACGCTACAATGATCATAATTAAATATGTTTTTTTTGTAACATTAAATCAATGCATATCTAAATAGTCCACCAATAAAAAAGAACTCCAATTGTTTGGTAAAGAATAGATAATAAGACATTCTCCATTTTGGTAGAAGAAACTGTAGAACATAAATGGCCAAGAACTTTGGAAGACATGTACAAACACGTTGGGAAATACAAAGAGAACAAAACGAATGAATTACACCAGAAACATGGAAATAGAAGCTAAGGAAGAGATAAAACAGAAGATGAGTCAATTTCAGGATAAAAAAGAGAAAATAAACCTAAGTACACAATATTATATCAGGAAGTCACATATGAAATCTACTTCATCACTAGATCTTTTCTAAATATAATTACCAGTGAAGCAGAAAGAATGACAGATCTTAACAACTAACATACAACGTGGAGGCCAATGGGTCTAGTGCTTTGAAATTTTAAACTACCTCTTTCTTTAACATTAGCCTATTGACAAATGATGTCACGCACATCGCGAACTTGATGATGTCACGCACGTCGCGAACTTGGTGATGTTGTGCTTAGTGGGGGATGAAACGGCCGGGTTGAGAAAAATGATGCATTTCTTTTTTTAACAGACGAATTAGAGATAGATTCTAATTCTCCTAAGAATTATAGGTAGATCTAGATATTTTTAGAGGGAGATCTCATTATATAGTGTATGTTTTTTGTTGTTGTAATAATGGATGGTGGGGAGGGGTAAACATCTACCACTGAACAAATCGGAAACTGATGAAAGCAGAAAGCAAACAAAGCAAAAAAAAATTTAAAAAAAAACCATGTAGTATTCAAATAACTAATTAAACCTATTTTCATAAATACAATAATCTTAATTCAGAAAAAGTCTAGGCCTAAAACTAATGTCTACAGACAAAATAAACAACAAGGCTTAAATTGATCGCCCATAAATGACGTCATACTTGTCCCGACGATTTCTCTCTCCCCCAATCATTACTAAAAGCAAGATGATGATTTAATATCATATCGCAGTTCTACTATATCTTAACCCGTAATCACAATTTCTAACTAAAACTAATGTTCATAGTTTTGTTCTATAAAAATTAATTTTTTTTATTTTTACCCTGACCCCATCTCATATTTTGAGTATAACGTCATTTATGAGGAATATGGACGACCTAATAATTGACAAGTTAATCAGTAGGCCTTCAAAAGAGTTTAAATGTTGGACCTCTCAAAAGTTTTTGAAATCTTGGATGTACATACATACATAGCCTTCATTTCAATTGAAATTAAAGACAAGAATATATATTAAAAAAGATAGCTATGTATATTAAACAACAAAGTCAACACAATATACATACGAATAGATATTTTTATCAAGGGAAACTACTCTAAATTTGTTTTGGAAAGATGTTCGCTGCTTTTATTTACTAATATTTATCTCAAACACCTTGTTTAAAGTTAGTTTCATGATATTTAAAATTGTGTTGGTCATTGCTTGTTATTTTAAATCAATTAGCTGTTATATTGTGTAAAATTTGACTTAAATATACTTATTTAAACAAATATATTCTGAGTTACCTCTCCCGCACATTACTACTGCTGCTGAACTGATTACGCTAAAATGATAGATTACCAGTTTTACCTTAAAATCTAGCTAGATCTAGATCTAATAGAATACAGCAATATGGTGAGTCTAGCAGTCAAGCCAATCTAGCAAGTAGCTAAGTTGAGTAGTAAGTACTAAGCAGATTCTAGATCTAGTTAGGCTACTAGTAGTTAGTGAGTAGCTAGATCTAGATTCTAGATCTAGTCTAGAACTAGATTTTTAATTTATTTTCTTGATCTAGATTCTAGATCTATAATAGTAATAATAGTCTAGAGTCTAGACTAGAGATTAGCATCAGTCATCAGCTAGAATCTAGATCTACATCTAGAATCTAGATCTTCTTCTAAATTAAAATAAAAAAATTGAATCATCTATGTAAACTAAAATAATCTAAATAGGCCTATCTATTTTCTATTCAGTATTCATTCATATTTCATAATGTAATGTACGAAAAAGTTACCTTTAATAGAAGTATATTGTGATATATTTGTGTCAAATATTGTAGATAAATGAATAATAAACCTAAATCAATGGTTAAATATCAATATGGGTCAGAAATTGACTTTAAACAGCTGTGTTTGGGAGTAAGATTTGCTATATAAACAGCAGCCATTTGTAATATTGAGTGGCTTCCCCCTGATTCTCGCGCTATAAGTTTAGAAAAAAACTTAGACATGATGGCTGCTATAGTACATGAGCATGGTTGCATCTGTTGGAAACATCGCTAGTCTTCATTTATTACTGAAAAATTTTAATTCAATCGTTTAAAAACAGGTGCATAAATGAAACAAGGAAACATTTTTGTATTTTTCTAAGTATAAATCCTCCTCAAAATGTGAAATAATTATTAAAATTTAAGGTGTCACCTGTTATTCACATTACTAGTCGATGGCGATTTTACGTACCCAAAACGATAGATTACCATAATTTTAATTTATCCCAGAGTTATGTCATAACTTATGAGAGTATGATATTGATAATGTTAAATGATAAATGATAGTATTTCTCGCTAACCCGGAGGCGTGGCCGGTTGCTAACAACAATATGGCGCCCGGACCGGACGCTTGACTTCCGACGATTTTTCGGCCAAATTCAAGAGACCTTCTACTAATTAGTTTTTAAAATGTTTACCACGCGCAAAATGGCGGGACTTTCAGGTTATAACAACAAGCTATAGGTGGCAGGGCTATATATGCCAGAAAAGCATTTTAAAATTTGCGTTGGAGAATGAAGGCTAAATTTAAAAGTTGGTTTCATCAAAAATACTAGAACTTTTTAAATATAGATTTCCCTATTACAAAATTGATTTCCCTACTAAAGCATTATTAGTTTTATCAGTCTATGAAAAAATAAATCAAATATAGTCAACCCTTTTTTTTATAAGAGTGGCCAAAAAATGACAACCAAATTTTTTTAATTTTTTTGACCACGTGATTGCTATTTGATGATCACTAGTGGGGAACTCTGGGTACATGGCCACTTAAAAAGTCTAACCGCATTTGTGGTTCTCTTTAGCTTCAAGTGCCTTCAGGGGTAAGAAGAGTTGTCATGGAGAGATGTGTTGTCCATGGCAGTGAGTGTCAATAAATATTAAATTAAGTAATTTAGTTTAAAACGAACTAAAAACTTCAAAATTAGTCTCTAATGGATTAAATATGGATGTCTATCATTCAGTAGTAGTATTTCTCGCTAACCCGGAGGCGTGGCCGGTTGCTAACAACAATATGGCGCCCGGACCGGACGCTTGACTTCCGACGATTTTTCGGCCAAATTCCAGAGACCTTCTACTAATTAGTTTTTAAAATGTTTACCACGCGCAAAATGGCGGGACTTTCACGTTATAACAACAAGCTATAGGTGGCAGGGCTATATATGCCAGAAAAGCATTTTAAAATTTGCGTTGGAGAATGAAGGCTAAATTTAAAAGTTGGTTTCATCAAAAATACTAGAACTTTTTAAATATCGATTTCCATATTACAAAATTGATTTCCATAGTAAAGCATTATTACTTTTATCAGTCTATGAAAAAATAAATCAAATATCGTCAACACTTTTTTTATAACACCAGCTCCAAAAATGACAACCAAATTTTTTTTGAAAAATAAACCACGTGACCACTATTTGGAGATCACTAGCGAGGAACTCTTGTGCATGGCCACTTAAAAAGTCTAACCTGATTTGTGGTTTTCTTTACCTTCAAGGGTTAGAAGAGTTGTCATGGAGAGATGTGTTGGACATGGCAGTGATTGACAATAAATATTAAATTAAGTAATTTAGTTTCAAAAGAACTAAAAACTCCAAAGTTAGTGCCTAATGGATTAAATATGGATGTCTATTATTCAGTGGTCATGTTTAAATTGATAATTGCGTAAATTCTAGATTTAGTGAGAAAAACTATTCAGTAGTCATGTTTAATTTGAAATTTGGGTAAATTCTAGATTTAGTTTCATTCATTTCTTGTCACCGTTTTAAAATAAAGTTTTATTGTTGTTCTTAATCTTATACTCACACTATTAGGCATAATATGGCATATAGTATATAGTCCTATAGTCTCCTATTGTCTAGGTCTAGTTCGTATCAGTATAATTAAAATATTATTAATAGTAAACACAACACTGACAACATTCAGCACCCGGAAATTCAAACATCATCCTAGAAATCTAGTAGACTCAAAACAACCCATAGACTGTACTACAACATACTTCACCTATTTGAAGAATTTATTCCGCTTTTTTTTTCTACTGCATACTGCATAGGCCTCGCCACAAAGTTACAGAATTAAATGAAATAGCAGTAACCCATGCCTCAACTACTTAAGTTTTTTAGGCCATTATGATTTCAAAACGAAAGCTACTTATTAATCATCAAGATTCACTGCCCTCTTTCGTTTAAATTTAGACCATGGGCATAGTGGTTTTTTCCGAATGAGATCATCGTAACACAATTTTTTTTATTTTGCCAGATTTTTTGCTATAATACGAAATCATTCAAAAAAATATTTAGAATATAGATTCTAGAATCTATATCTAAATTACAAAGGCTATTATTGTGCATTAGAAGAGAAACCATTACCCAACAAATAATAAATATTGGAAATAATATTATGTAGCCCTAGATAAGAACTACTGCTCTTTTACAATTTTTTAATGTTTTATTTTATTGATTCCTCGTACATGACGCCTCGTTTGTCATTTGTTGAGACTTGACAACGTGTACCCAATCCCCAGCTAACGGATTTGATTTTAACTAAACTCATAGTCGTTGTTTTAGAACCGATGATAATGCAACACACAATACCGATATGACATGCAGTTTGACATAAGCAGATGCTTTTTATAGTTGTCTCACCTGGTTGGTATAGAAGGGGCTTTATATGCAGAAATGAGCCATATTTACACATGTCCTTATATCAATGATTGCGGCCCTTTTGGTCCAAGTCGTTCTTTTCGATTTTCGGCCCGTAGAGATGTTGACTGAACTTACAACTTCTAATAAAATTGAGGACAGCAGGGGGTCGCATTAAAGAAATTACTTTGTCTAATTTTTTTTCAAGCATCACTTTCGAAAAAAGTCTACTGCCCCCGGAAATTTGATTGCGCCCCCACCACCGAAAGTTTCAAGTCCCTCCCTCTCCAACAGAGAAAAATGTCAGAAAGAAACACTGGTGCACATGTCTAAATGTGGGCAAGTTGGATTTTTTAAAAATGTCCTATCTATAAATAGGCAATATGATTATAATTTTTAGCTTCCTATGAGCTTGAGCCAAAAATTTGCCCCAGCTGTGTGACTGCCTCAGTTGACTTCACTTTCTTGATAGATTGCTACACAATAGGATGAAACATTCCTAATCATTAGTTTATAATATAAAAAGGAAATAGAGTGTGTTGACACAAATGACTCATAATTTTTTCCATACGAGGGTTGGCGTGGCGGTCTATGAAAACATAATTTTATACTAAATTTATACAGTTATATGCCTTAGGTGTGGGTCAAACATGACATTTTTTTTGTGTATTAATTATTACAAGCCGACCCGCTGCGTATCATACGCCGCTATTTAGTTGTTTTTTTTTCTACTTTTCAGTAATTTATAATTTGTGAATTCGACAGTACCAATGCTGCCACTGAAAATATTTGCTTAAAAACACTAAACCCCCCCCCCCCCCACGTGAAAGCAGCCTCCTCTTAGTTACCTCCTCTAAGTTTAAAATCGTTTCAAACTAAATTATCTGCCCCTAATAGCCGTCACCAAACCCGTCTCTATGATTGTAAAATGTAAACAGCGTGAACCACAGCTCACCAGACCATGTGAGGGGGGGGGGGGTGGTGGTGGTAGCGATAGAGAGGAAGAGAGGGGACTGTAAGGCGCGTTTGCAGCTTGTTTTCTAACGGCTCCCAGAAGAGAATTATATATATACGAGCCGGCCCGCGGCATAACATACGCCGCTATTTAGTTGTTTCTAATTTTCAATAATTCATAATTTGTGAATTCGACAGTACCAACGCTGACACTGAAAATATTTCTTTAAAACACTATAAGTAGCTCGTTAAGGACCATAACCCCCCCCCCCCCCCCTTCCTTCCCCCCCCCCCCCCCTACGTTTAAAATCGTTGGCTCTGCTTGTAAACATTTAGAGTGAACACAGCTCACTAAAACCATGTAGGGGTAGGGAGGTAGGGAGAGCGTTTGCAGCTTGTTTTCTAACGGCTCGAAGAAGAGAATTATATATATAGATATAGATAGATAGATAGATAGATTACTGAAGGAGTCCATGAGAGTGCCAGCCGGTCAGTGGGCACTTGAAATCTTCGGGGGGGGGGGGCTAAAATTTTCGGGGGCTGGTGGACACTGTTAAAAATATTTTTTTTCTATATAAACTTCGTTCGGGGAGGGCGACAGATGCCTGGAAGAAACACTGCAGCCGGTTTTAATCCAGGGTTTCATTCTCCGGAGACGAACTTAAAACTTCCGGGGAAGCACTTAAATTTTCATGGGGAGGCAGCTGGTTAAACTTTAAGTATGTATTTTCTATAAGTATTTTTTCCTCCTATTTTGTCCTGGGGGGAAGCACTATTAACTATTCTCCTTTTCACTTTTTACTTCCAGATTTGCTTCCATAACTTTTGTCCACAACACGCTGGTTTGCAATATAATAAAAATTCATTATTTTGTTTTTGTGTGAACATATTTTGTTTTGTTCTCTGAACGTAGTTTTGTTGATGCACGGTTCATTTAGTGCACCAGTAAATATTTATGATTTATTATAGTCTAGATCTACCTAGTTTTTAAAGAGAGCAAATGAGTATCTACTTTCATAATTAAAAAGGTTATTTTAACATGAGTGTTCTGCTTGTTTTATTTCCCACTTTTATAAAAGTTTTATTTTGTTCATGTTTGTTTATGCTTAACTCACTTTTAACCCACATCTAATGCAGCTTTCCAGATTCATTCGTCTTCTCTTAGACATCAAAATCATGATCATATAAAAATTTCAATCACACGAACTCAATCATACAAGGAGCGATAAGAATACTATAACTATTAAATACTAATACTACTGATCACTATCAGTGTTTCTTCCAGAGTTTCTTCCAGGCATCTTTTCGGGGGGGCTTCGCCCCCCCGAAAAATTTTTACCGCCCCCCCGAACGAAATGAAATTTATATAATTTATATAGAAAATATATACTTTTAACAGTGTCCGCCCCCCCGAAGAAAGTTTACCGCCCCCCCGAAGATTTCAAGTGCCCCCCCGGAGAAAAAAGTCTGGAAGAAACACTGGTTTCTTCCACTTCCAGAAAGGAGGAAAGAGACACTGTTAAAACTGAAAGTATACATTTTCTACATAAATTTCATATCGTTCGGAGGGGGGCCGGTACTTTCTTCCAGGCATCTCCCCGAACTTAGAAGAAAGGGGCAGATTACTGCAATTCTCTTTAAGAGATCTCAAGCTACTGATCGAGTATTATTAAAAATTTTAAAGTAGGTATTCAAAATGAAATTTTTATAATGAAATTAAATAAAATTTAACACTTCCAGCTGATAGAGACTGTTTTCATCAGAACAGAAACACCAAATTTATTGGTGTATGTCCATTTTTAAAAAAGTTACGAATTTTTTAAAACTCAAAAAATGCGTTCACTTTTTGAGCAGTAAAGGGTCTATTTGAGACCCCTACTAACTTCTACAATAACTAAGTTAGAACTCTCAAATTTCTTGCACACACAGCCAGTAATACAAATAGCAAACCCAATTTTTTTCAAGGTAGTCAGACCGATATAAATAGAAAATTTATTCACATAAAAATGAGCCAAAGCACAATTTTACCGAAGTACGAAAAGGGAGACAAAAAGCTAATTTACAGTCATTTTTAAAAAAATCATAGAAAATCAACTAATTAAGCCACATTAATAATATAAATGTTCTAAGAAAGGAATTTCAAAGCATGTTAATATGAAACAAGCAGGTAAAGAATTAGTAAAGAAAGTAATTAGCGAGAGCAGATTCAGCAAGGTCAGTTTATAAAAATTTGAAATTTCATCCTTTTTCAAAAAATGATTTAAAAATATTTAGGTAAGGTATCTTAATAAATTTTACACCAACTTAAAGCATATGATGTTCTTAATATATAATAAACACAGAAACATAAAATAATCATTCTGCAAAACAATACAAGGCATCCTTCCTTAACGCCCAAAATCAAGAATTTTCATTACCTTGTAACCTAACATCTTGCAAAAAGTGTTCTTACTTTTAAGAAAGTAATATAAATTGTGTAGGATACATGTTAGCATTAATTTGTTATAAAAAAAACTAAATAACTATACTATTACTTTACTTATATACTATAATAATAAGAAATTCCATGCATTTTAAAAACTGATGAAGTAAGATTAATAGAGTTGTGATGTTCATCTAGTTTTGTTACTCTGGTTCTTAATCATGACTTGTTTAGCATAAATTTACTTGTTACTAGTATATTTATTTCTTCTAGTTAGTTATTGATCAAAGTCAACTTCTGGAAATGTCTAGGTCTTAACTTATACAATTATCAATATCTTAGAGCAGGTTAAAAAAGACAGGTCAATATCCTGATTGGGAAAGTTCTCTATGAGGTTGGGTAGCATTGTAATTAATAGTCAATATCCTGGTTGAGTTTGTCTTCTTCAAGGTTTGAAGTAGCATTGTAATAAATGATTGTGAACTGGCAGCACACATCAAGTTATGGAATCTAGTAAGGGATCCTTCCATTGGTCCAGAGTAGAGAAAATGTCTGTGAATAAAAACAATTAATTAGCATTTCAAATATACTGACTTATATAGCTGGCCTGTATATCTTTATACCAACTTAGATATCAATCATGTAACATTACATCATTATAAATAATAAGCAAAGTGCATACAATACTAACATTTGACATGGTTTCCTTCAAAAGTATTCAGGAGTCCTGTTGGTGCTTACACAAACAATACATATTTTTTGGCAGGCCTTTCAGTTTCCACTTTCTTTTATGCTAATATCTTGCTCTGTAAATAGAATAATAATAATAAAAGTAAGGCTGCTCAATGCTTTTTAGATATTAAATGTAAGCACTATAGATAGTTCTACAACTAAATATTAACATGAAAGCAATGGTGAATCTAACTAATCTAAGTAGATCTAGAATCTAGACTAAATCTAGAAACAACTTTGGACTAAACTATTATGGAAGGGGGGCTACATTCTATTTTAAGTCGTCTGTACAATAAATCTAGAGATTAAAAATGTAAAAGATCGTAATATTCTAAAATTTAATGTAACTACTGCACATATATAGAATAGTTAACTAATAAACTAGGAAAAACAAAAAAAAAGCAATGCTACAATAAATTGAAAGTATGCTGTTAACCGCTGCGGTAATATAATAGTTGAACCCAACACTACCAGAAAGTAAAAAAAAACATGGCGGACAGTCGGCTTGAAATATCGACAAAATATGGATAGTTTAATCGGCCGATGTTATTAACTAACATAATTTACTAAACCAAATTAAATTGTATCATCCTTTTAAACATCTTTTTGATTTAATTGTGCATTCCTTTTTTATTTCAGTGACCATAAATTAAATACAACGGACTTTTAAAAAAGGCTAGATAATTTTTTGGAAAAAAATTTTTTAATCGTGGAGCAATTACCGATAAGCGGACACTAATATTCAAATGTATTAAAGCAGCAGTTAATTATAAAAAAAATAGAATATAGCTAGTAATATAATGTGCATTCAACTTACCTGCACGTGCTTTTAAATCCACTGTAATCAACGAATAAACACAAAATCTGGTTCCGAACCGAGGTCGGGTGTTCCGGAATTCAACAAAATCTTGACTCAAGCCGGCGAAATTTAGATGCGGGTCGTCGCGATTTGTATACATTGGTTTCATTTACTGCGGTCCGACCCCATACATGGAGTGTTCATTAAATCGTAACAGTTTTATGGCAAATTGGATGCCCTTTCGGAATATACAACTTTGGCGGCTGTAAAATTATTTTTTCATGGAAAAAAAACATTTTAAAATTTTAAATTGATCATTTTTAGCATTTAGTTATATTATACAGCTGGTAAAGTTATACCATCTTACAGAGCTACCATTCTTCTTTCTAAATCAGTGGTTTCTAATTGCGTATGTGTTATGGGGTCGGACCGCCGCGCGATGCCGCAACGCGACCAAAAAATTTTAAAACCGGCTTAAATTTTTCGGCTCATTTAGAATACCTATTTAAAGTAAACAGGCCTACTCAATTTAACTCAACGAGACAATGGTACAGAAGAAAACTGGAAAATATGTTATGAACAGGACAGACATAAGATTCAAGAAATTGCCTGTGGCTTATAATTTACTTCGACAGAGAAACAAAAGACCAGTCTGTTGATGTCACACTCCTAGGGGGTGGGGGGCAGAGGAAATTTAGTGACAAGAGGTAGGGTTCAGAAAGGGTGCCGGTACAATTACATGTAGAAGCTAAATTTTGTAAATTGTATTATAAAAAATAAATAATACTCTAATTTTGCCAAGGCCCTGTCAAGATTTTAAAAATTACATTAGGTATTCTAAATGAGCCGAAAAATTTAAGCCGGTTTTAAAAATTTTTGGTCGCGTTGCGGCATCGCGCGGCGGTCCGACCCCATAATACATACGCAATTAGAAACCACTGATTTAGAAAGAAGAATGGTAGCTCTGTAAGATGGTATAACTTTGCCAGCTGTATAATATAATTAAATGCTAAAAATGTTCAATTTAAAATTTTAAAATGATTTTTTTCCATGAAAAAATAATTTTACAGCCGCCAAAGTTGTATATTCCGAAAGGGCATCCAATTTGCCATAAAACTGTTACGATTTAATGAACACTCCATGTATGGGGTCGGACCGCAGTAAATGAAACCAATGTATACAAATCGCGACGACCCGCATCTAAATTTCGCCGGCTCGAGTCAAGATTGTGTTGAATTCCGGAACACCCGACCTCGGTTCAAAGCAAGATTTTGTGTTTATGCGTTGATTACAGTGGATTTAAAAACACGTGCAGGTAAGTTGAATGCATATTATATTACTAGCTATATTCTATTTATTTATGATTAACTGCTGCTTTAATACATTTGAATATTAGTGTCCGCTTATCGGTAATTGCTCCACGCTTAAAAAAATTTTTTCCAAAAAATTATCTAGCCTTTTTTAAAAGTCAGTTGTATTTAATTTATGGTCACTGAAATAAAAAAGGAATGCGCAATTAAATCAAAAAGATGTTTAAAAGGATGATAGATTTTAATTTGTTTTAGTAAATTATGTTAGTTAATAACATCGGCCGATTAAACTATCAATATTTTGTCGATATTTCAAGCCGATTGTCCGCCATGTTTTTTTTTACTTTCTCGTAGTGTTGGGTTCAACTATTATATTACCGCAGCGGTTAACAGCATACTTTCAATTTATTGTAGCATTGTTTTCTTTTTGTCTTTCCTAGTTTCATAGTTAACTATTCTATATATGTGCAGTAGTTACATTAAATTTTAGAATATTACGATCTTTTACATTTTTTATCTCTAGATTTATTGTAAAGACGACTTAAAATAAAATGTAGCCCCCCTTCCATAATAGTTTAGTCCAAAGTTGTTTCTAGATTTAGTCTAGATCTACTTAGATTAGTTAGATTCACTATTGCTTTCATGTTAATATTTAGATCTAGTAGTATAACTATCTATAGTGCTTACATTTAATATCTAAAAAGCATTGAGCAGCCTTACTTTTAATATTATTATTATTATTCTATTTACAGAGTAAGATATTAGCATGAAAGAAAGGGGAAACTCATTGGCCTACCAAAATTTTTGTATTGTTGTGAAAGCAACAACAGGACTCCTGAATACTTTTGAAGGAAACCATATGTCAAATGTTAGTATTGTATGCACTTTGCTTATTATTTATAATGATGTAATGTTACATGATTGATATTTAAGTTGGTATAAAGATATACAGGCCTGTTATATAAGTCAGTATATTTGAAATGCTAATTAATTGTTTTTATTCACAGACATTTTCTATACTCTGGACCAATGGAAGGATCCCTTACTAGATTCCATAATTTGATCTGTAACCTTGAAGAGGACAAACTCAACCAGGATATTGACTATTAATTACAATGCTACCCAACCTCATAAAGAAATTTCCCAATCAGGATATTGACCTGTCTTTTTGAACCTGCTCTAAGATTTCTGATAATTGTATAAGTTAGGACCTAGACATTTCCAGAAGTTGACTTTGATCAATAACTAACTAGAAGAAATAAATATACTAGTAACAAGTAAATTTATGCTAAACAAGTCATGATTAGGAACCAGAGTAACAAAACTAGATAAACATCACAACTCTATTAGGGTAATTTAAAAAGAATTTCAGTTTAATTAGTTATCTTACTTCGTCAGTTTTTAAAATGCATGGAATTTCTTCTTATTATAGTATATAAGTAAAGAAGTAGTACAGTTATTTAGTTTTTTATAACAAAGTAATGCTAACATGTTTCCTACACAATTTATATTACTTTCTTAAAAGTAAGAACACTTTTTGCAAGATGTTAGGTAATGAAAATTCTTGATTTTGGGCGTTAAGGAAGGATGCCTTGTATTGCTTTGCAGAATGATTATTTTATGTCGCTGTGTTTATTATATATTAAGAACATCATGTGCTTTAAGTTGGTGTAAAATTTATTAAGATACCTTAAATATTTTTAAATAATTTTTTGAAAAAGGATGAAATTTCTAATTTTTATAAACTGACCTTGCTGAATCTGGTCTCGCTAATTACTTTCTTTATTAATTCTTTACCTGCTTATTTTATATTAACCATTAATGTCCCATTCATTCTACCAAAACTCCACCCATGACGGCCCAATGTAAGGAGCATAACTCTGTATGATCAAGTGAATAGTTTCACAAAATATTTGTTTTTGTCTAAATGAAATTGAAAATTAAGATAAAAACTACTGCTTAATGTTGGGAATAAACCTGGCTTTCCAACAGTATTAAATAGAATATATTATATTCGGTAAAAGTACAGTATAAAAATAAAAAATGTCGGAGAAAATTCAAAACAGGTCATTTTCGGTAGTCAACTTTATTTATTTTTGTCTAAACAACTATGCATCGAATTTAACAGTTAAGTATCAATTTGGTTATGTTTAACATATATAATTCATAAAATACATGCCTAGATACGTTTAGAGGCATTAATTTTTTTAATTTTTAATATTAAATCTACTAAAAATACGACAGATGAGTCGAAAATTTCGAGATAGAAAGAAACTAATATTTTTTATCTTTCAAAAGCGCCATTGAAATTAGAAGGCCGGAAAAGGATGCTGAAACCATCCGACTTCCTGTTTAGTTAAAAATTAGGATTTGTAGGCCAAATTTTAATGAAACAAATTTAATTTTTCTATGCGTATTGTAAGCGGGCGGCAGCGGGCGTTACGGGACATTAGCGGTGTCGGGCGGCAGCGGGCGTTACGGGACATTAATGGTTAACATGGTTTGAATTTCCTTTCTTAGAACATTTATATTATTGATGTGGCTTAATTAGTTGATTTTCTATGATTTTTTAAAAATGACTGTAAATTGACTTTTTGTCTCCCTTTTCGTACTTCGGTAAAATTGTGCTTTGGCTCATTTTTATGTGAATAAATTTTCCATTTATATCTGTCTGACAACCTTGAAAAAAATTGGGTTTGCTATTTGTATTACTGGCTGTGTGTGCAAGAAATTTGAGAGTTCTAACTTAGTTATTGTAGAAGTTAGTAGGGGTCTCAAATAGACCCTTTACTGTTCAAAAAGCGAACGCATTTTTTAAGTTTTAAAAAATTCATAACTTTTTTAAAAATGGACATACATCAATAAATTTGGTGTTTCTGTTCTGATGAAAACAGTCTCTATCAGGTGGAAGTGTTAAATTTTATTTAATTTCATTATAAAAATTTCATTTTGAATACCTAATTACATTTTTAAAAAATTGCTTTTTCTTTGGTGCAGGCATTAATGGTGGAAGGGGGGCCGCGCCCGCGGAAGAGAATGTCATTTTTTAAAGGTGCGTGAAAGCAACAGCCTGTGAAAGTACTGAACTTTATGTCCAGATATACTGTGCATTATTACATGTATATCAAACCACTTAGTACCTATTTCGAACAGAACACATAATAAAAAATTACAACTCTGGACTAATTTAAGAAATTTTATTTCAGAACAATCTATTCAGCATCATCTTTATCTCCTTTTGTGGCTCTTGTGTAGATCATCTGAGAACTATGCTTAGAAACTAGCCTAATCAAACCTGAAAAGAGAATGTTAAAGAGTTATTTTACCAATAGTAGCAAATGTGAGAAAAATAATTCAGTTTAAGAGAATGCATCACTACCAATAACAAAGAGGAAGACATGGTTCTTAAAACTTACCCTTTGAATGCAACTCTCTGAGAGCCTGCTTAGCAAGTGAACCTCTGACTTTTAACCTTTCAGATACAACTGAAGGTGTGATGAGCTTGTAACTGGGAACTTCTTTGTATAATTTGTCATATGTTGCCTTGTCAAACAGGATAAGATTGTTCAACTTATCACGGACTTTTCCTTTAGACCACTTCTGCAAAAGATAGGACATATCTTTATGAATTCAACTTGACAAACACACAAGTTACTAAACCAAAACTAAAATTTCTTTCTGGACAAAACATTCAAAATAAAATTGAGGTATTTTAGTAAATAATATATCTACGGGGGGGGGGGGGCATAATTTTGAGACTGGTGGTGGGGGGGGGGGGGGTGTTCAGATGGTGCAACATCACTTTTGCATTATAAAAAATGCAATGATAGAAAACAAATTTTAGACATTTTGCGTTTTAGAAAACTGTTTTAATAAATTGTAATAGGAATTGATTAAAATGCTCTATTTTGACAGTGTTCAGATGGGTAAAAATAGTCAAAAAAGCGTGACGTCATTTATGGATGACCCCTACAGTCTATAGCAAAGTGGAGCACTACTAAAGTGTTTTCTTATGCAACTTGTGGTTTTGATAACTAAATAGCTTAAAACAGCAGAGCATGACAGTATAAAAGGGTTTGGCAGCACTAAGACCTGTTAAAGAAATAAACTTCAAATATTAAAAGCACCAACCTTCTTCTTAGCTTTACCACCGGACCCTTCCTTTTTAGGTTTCCCTGCAGTTGTTTTGCTTGCCTTGGCAGCTCCCTTGGCTTCTGCCTTCTTTGCCGCCTGAAAATAAATTAATTGTTTCAACAATGGTATTTAAAATCTTTACACATTCCAGATAAAAAAAACTAATTATTTCAATGTTTCAACAATGTTATGTAGAGATTGATGGAGAACAATGTGTATCACTTAAACAGCATACATTCATCTTTTAAAAAACTATACCCTTTAATTTAGTAACTAGATCTACAATGCTGGGGAGCTTATAAGCTGGAAACAAACTCACTACCACATAATCACATAACTTTCACTTTGTTGTGGAATCACAACTCATTCATGACTGATTTATTAGCAAAGAAAATTATATAGAATCTAGCAAGTTTAAATCGTAAATTTTCTGGAAGCTTAAATATTTAAAATAATTTAACTTAGCGTCGCGAATAAATGACCGACGCTTAACAACACTGAGTAGATGTAGAGCGTAGACTTGAGAACTTGACAAGCAAACTTTCCCAGACCAGTCACATGTTTTCGACTGGGGTTTACAAGGACTACAGCAAAATACTTGTAATTTATTTGTAATCGATCTTAAAATCATTAATATAAACTTTCTAAACATTGATAATTCTTTAAATCAAATAAACGTTTACTTATACTGTGTAGAAAACTAATATATATAAATTAATATTGAGTTTAACAATGCGGCTCCTACCATGTTGGTCGACTAGGTTGAGAAAGGAGGAAGAAGAGGGCGCTGTGTCTGGTTTCAATTTTATGCAGCCTATAAAATTAAAAATGTTAATGTTGCATTGTACTACTTTGATGAAAATAGTAAAAAATATAAACGAATATTTTAAGCATTTAGTCAAAAATGTATTTCTAAAATCAATGTTATGATAAAAATCATACAAACTTTTATTTAAATTGTTAAAATGCTAAGCGACAAAAAAAAGCCTATGCCTAACATTAGGTCTAGGCCTAGATCAAGCACGGGATTTTTTTTTCCATCTTGATTGTGGTTGAGGCCCATTCGACAAGAAAAATATAACTTAAATATTTTAAATTTAATTTAAAAAATCGTCTGTTATATTTTTAAATTCTATGGGGCCTATATATAATTTCAAGATAAAGTATTAATTCGAAAAAACACCAAATGACCTACTCACTCACTAGACCCACTCCAGTAGTACTCAGAGTGTAGACCCCCCCCCCCCCCTAAAAAAAATTCCAAAGAGGGAATTATACACAGGTTTAATAATTCGTGGAGCTGGCAGGGGCAACCCCCGGAGAGTTGTGCGCAAGCAGAGTTTCTTCCAGGCATCTCTTCTTCGAGTCTACCGCCCCCCCCCCCCCCCCAACGAAATTGAATTTATATAGAAAACATACTTTTACCGGCAACCGCGCCCCCCCCCCCCCCCCGGAAAATGTTGTCCAACCCCCTCCCCCCCGGGTAAAAAAGTCTGGAAGAAACACTGTGCGCAAGGTTAACAGCTCAGACACTTTAAAAAAACACACTTTTGTGGTGAAGGCAAAGTCACTTCTGTACAAACCGACAATGGCAACTGACCCGAGCATGGAAAATGACTATTATTGGATGGCGACATACGGAATATCCCAGTTTAGCTCAACTAACACAGGAGTTTTAAAATATAGCTGCATAGATTATATCAACAAGTTTAGACATTTCTATTTATAACTATAAGATTACACCATAAACTAGGATTTGATTTGAAGTCAAAAAATGTAGCAGTCATTGAGTCAATGAGTTCCTCGGCCAGTTCCTAGTAAACCCGAAACTGAAACAATCGGAGTTCAATATGAGGAAATATGTTTAATATGACACTTAAAACGCTCAAGCCAGTAGCGTACGCAGGGGGGGAGCAGGGGGAGCGGCCGCTCCCCCTCTGGCCATTTTCAGCAAAGTGGCGCCTTTTTGGAAACTTTTTAAACTCAAAGTTTTAAACAATGATATTTGTTAAAAAAATATTTTTGTATGTATTTTTTCTATGTAAATCACAAGATTTCTTTTCATGCAACAATTAAGCATTATTGTACTAGTATAGTAGTGTCTACGTTTACAACACGTATTAATAGCTGCATCAGTTTGACATTCTAAAAATAACCATTACGATGCATTGCAATGTTTAAAAAACCTCTACGGTAGTACCACGGTAGTACCACTTGGCAAGAGGGGTGTTAAGTTTAAGGCAACTGTATAATGTATTTGCTTTCGAATAATCGAATCAGAAAATGTTATACATAAAATTTCACACATAATTACTTTATATATACAGTTTGAATAGGATGATTAATTTAAAAAAATTACAATACAGACACAAATACAACTAATGTGGCACCTCTATTTAAATTTACTTATGAGCAAACTGCGTAGTCGTGGGAAAATTTTGACAAGATCAACAACGTCATCACGATGAAGTAGTAGTATTCTTACAGTTTGGGCGATAGTGATTACGATTACAAATTATATGAAACATTTACAACCCCCCTCCCCATGGACCCCTCTGTAAAAAATATTGTCATAATACCACTGCTACTTATTTAAATCCATTTCTGTAATATATATTTGTGTAATATATATTTGTGTAATATATATGTATGTTTAGAACAGTCATCTAAAAACTGACGCTATGTTCACTCTGAGTTGATTTCCCCCCCCCCCCCTACACATACCTCACCACTTGATCTGTTAAGTACATGTAGAAAAACGCGTAATGATGTACCAAAGTACCATATCGCCAGAAAATTAGCTTTTTAAACGTAAAACTGTGAATATTGTTTTTGCAATTACCAGTAAAAAGGTGTGTGATCAATACAGTAATCTAACTCATACCTATCACTATGTTAAAAAATGATCTTTAAGAACACAAAGAAGCAGTAGTTAATTAAAATATATCATCTGAACTAAAAGACCGATATTTAGTTAAATGTGGCTGTTATTCCGTATGTTGTGCTATTTATTCGAAAAACGTGGTTTTTATATGAACTCTGATTTTAAAAACTTTCATTATTCTGTAATACTTTAGCATTTATGATGACGATATATTAAATTCTGATTATAGACAAAAACATTTTGTAAACACGAATAGTGTTAAACACTTTCATTATACTCTAAAGTAATTATTTTTTTTATTTTGACATTTATAATTAAATGTGTAGATATATACATATTTATATTAAGAGAGTGATTATTTCCCGTATTTCACTTGTCTTAAATAATTTCCCAGGAATTATTATGTAAGAATTTTTTTTTACAAGAATTACAAAACAGATTGTGTTACGCTCATTGTTTTTCTGTTGTAGAGTGTATATATATATATATATATATATATATATATATATATATATATATATATATATATATATATATATATTTGTTTAGATTGATACAATTTTTTGTTTTGTCGGCCTACATTGTGTGTTTTTTCTTATTTCTACAGAGTGCTACTTTCAATTTATTTTACATCATAGCGAAGTATTGACATACAGCTAGTAATTATATATATATATATATATATATATATATATATATATATATATATATATATATATATATATATATATATATATATATATATATATATATATATATATATATATATATATATATATATATATATATATATTTATATAATACACGTATATAGAACGTGTTAAAAATTCGGCGCCCTTTTTTGCTCTTTTCGCTCTCCCTACAACGAAAACCTGGATACGCCTCTGGCTCAAGCCCCCACTAAAGATACGAATGATCATAATTAAAGAATTCGTTTACAGCTCATTGGAAGAGCTGTGGTGAAGCGTCACGATATTAAGATTATGATTGATGATTTTAATGCCTAAATAGGGAAAGAGAAAGCTTTTATAGTTTAGACCAACAGTAAAAACATCTTAAGTGAAGAAATTGGGGATCTAGGCAAATATACTTTGCTTTGGGAAAGTGGGAGGCGCTTGAAACTTTCAGCGAGTATATATTTTCTCAATAAATTCAATTATAAGTTCAATTTCGTTACAGACGCGGACGGCGATAGACGTACTCCGGAAGCCCCCCCCCCCCCCTCCCCGAAGAAATCCCTGAATGAAACACTGACAGGATATAAGAAACTATACTGAGGGACAGATGCTGACCCAGACCACCATATAAAAGCTAGTGATAAGAATGAAGCACAATGCTCGAAATGAATAAATATACTACCAAAAGCTTTTCAAAACATCCATTAATTACAGATGCCAACAGAGCCCCCCCCCCCACCCGAAGAAAGTCTACCGCCCCCCCCCCCCAAACGAAATGAAATTTATATAGAAAATATATACTTTTAACAGTGTCCGCCCCCCCCCCCCCCCGGAGAAAAAAGTCTGGAAGAAACACTGACCACATCCCCTCCAACTATATAGCTTACATGTTGCATTTTAAATTTGGTGTCATCCCTCTCTCACTATCCATAATCCATGTCCATGGGGCAGATGAAATCCATTTTGCCTGTTTGAGTGACCACGGCTTATGAAAAGACAGGGGAGTCAGAACTATGTCTAGCCGCTGTTACTTTTCCTAAAAGAGGTGATTTGATTCCCAGAGGCGTAGCGAGGGGGGGGGGGCGGGGGGGGGGACATATGTCCCCGGGCGCCGACCTTAGGGGGGGGGGGGGGCGCCAAATTGAAAGTTTGAGGGGGGGGGTGCAAATCGAAAGTTTGAGGGGGTGGGGTGCAAATCGAAAGTTTGAGGGGGGGGGGGGTGCAAATGAAAAGTTCGAGGGGGGGGAAGCAAATCGAAAATTTGCTCCCGAGGGGGGCGCCAAATTGAAAGTATGTCCCCGGGCGCCGGGAAGGGTCGCTACGTCTCTGTTGATTCCTACGGACTTTGGGGAGAGCTTCTTTCTTCGAATGGGGGACGGGACGGGGGGTGACGCTGTAGTGTAAGTATATTTTCTAAATAAATATATATTTTCCATTATGCGGTTCATGGGGGGGGGGGGATGGGAGAGTGTTTCGTCACAGTTTCTGACCCAACCCCTCAAACCTCCTCTTCGTAAAGCAATGTCATATAAGTCACATAAGTTCGAATCTCCTTTCCTTAGGAGTGTGAGTCATATATATATATATATATATATATATATATATATATATATATATATAGGCCTATATATATATATATATATATATATATATATATATATATATATATATATATATATATATATATATATATATATAAGCTTTTCTTTGTTTCTGTATTTTTGTCTACTGACACACTGGTATTAAAATGACAACGATGTACAAGTTCGTTAGGCTAGTTGGTCTAGTCAAGTGTAGTGGGTATTTGGACACTTAATTTTAATGTAGCTTCAAAACTATGATCAGACTATCATATGAAACAAAAGATATCACAGATAAACAATACAACTGGCTTAGTTTAGAGTTTAGGCAATAGTGCGCCTTCTTCACAGTAAGTCTGCATAATTCAACTAATTGTTTGAGTGTACGAGTGTGTGTTTGTCTAAAACTTAAAAAAAACAATGAATGTAGTCAATTTGTAGTGGACTAGACTATCTATACTATACTATACTTCACTAAACAGAATCGTAGATCTAGATCTAGACTTCTAAACACTAAACTTCTATGAACATCTAGCTGAGTACTCAGTACTGTCTGAGTACTAAACTTAGACTAGACTAGATTAGAACTAGATCTAGATCTAGAATCTAGATCTAGATTATCTAGATTGTAGTACTAGAATCTAGATCCTAGTAGTACTTGCTACCATTGCTAGAACTAGAGTTGACTAGGCCCACTTCACTAGGGCCTAACCGCCAGAGTTTCTTCCAGGCATCTCTTCGCCCCCCCCCCCTGAAAAAATTCTACCCCCCCCCCAAACGAAATGAAATTTATATAATTTATATAGAAAATATATACTTTTAACAGTGTCCGCCCCCCTGAAGAAAGTCTACCCCCCCCCCCCCCCGAAAATTTCAAGTGCCCCCCCCCCCCGAGGAGAAAACAGTCTGGAAGAAACACTGGGCCTAACTAAAACTACATATGATGAAATTAATTAGGGCCTAGTCTAGTTAGTAGTTAGTTAAGTAAAAAAAGTAAATAGAATAGATCTAGATCTAGAGATCTAGACTAGATCTAATTCTAAATTCAAAACAGAACGTTAGAGAAAGGTTATTTCATTTTTAATTTCATCTAAAATTTAGATCTAATATAGAGATCTAGCCCAGGGGTTCCCAACCCTGTGCCCGTGGGCGCTATGGCGCCCGCCGAACGATTCGTATGTGCCCGCCTCTCACTATACAACAGAGACAGATTTTTTTTTCATAATTTTCATAAACATTATTGAAAGGTTGGAGGGGGATGGAAATTGAAAGTTTGAGGGGGGGGGGTGCAAATCAAAAGTTTGAGGGGGGGTGCAAATCGAAAGTTTTGGGAAGGGTCGCTACGCCTCTGGAAGGAGTTTGTCGATTTAAAATAGGTGGTGCCTGCCTCCATACCGATATTTTAGAATGTGCTCTAGAGTAAAAAAAGGTTGGGAACCCCTGATCTGGGTGTGGGGAAATTGCGAGACGCGAAAAACGAAATGGCGAGGCGGGAAAATGCAAGAAGGGCGCGAAAACGGTCAGTCACGTGACTTTTTTGTCTCGCATTTTACCACAAGCCGATACTTACGCTGGGTGGTGTTGAAATGCGAAGATTTCTGCGAAAAATTTACCACACCCGATTTTCAGTGGTATTTGGTCCAGACTTCAAAGACGTTTCGTTTACATTGTTAAAACTTCCGATTTTTCCGTCGCTAGACATACTGATGATTTGTCAACTCCCCCCATCTTTTGTGTCGACTTAGAATACCACCTTGTTCGAAACCGACGGAAATACCGCCGACGATAGATCAACTTCTGTCTTTTGTGTGGAACGCCGAGGCCGCCTGATTTACCGTCTTTGAAGATCACCGTGCCCGGATCCGCTGCCGCCGCAAACATATTTTCTATCGTTGCATAGAAATTTTGTATTATAGCCGCCGCCTACGATTTTTTTCTAGCTTTTTTTACCATTTAAATCTAAGCACAAGGAAATGCCTACATCATTTGGATACAACAAAATAAAGTGACGTCACCGATATTATCAGTTGCTCGTGCTATATCGTAAGCTATGGGCCTACTTCAAATATTTTTAAAACCAAGTTGAATTTATCTGAATTTTTTTGGTTTTGGTGGTGGTGTTATTTGGGGGTCTTCCATAAATGACGTCACACTCGTAGGGGGGGGGGGGGTCTGCAATTTTATGACGATGTGTGATGAGGGGGAGGAGGGGGGGGGGGTAGATGTGAAGTCACACTATAAAAAAGCAATGTTAGAAAAAGAATTTTAGACGTTTTTTTCGCCTTTTAGAAAACTGTTTTAATACATTGTAATACATTGTAATAGGAATTGATTGAAATACTCTATTTTGACCGAAATTAGACAAGATTTTGGGAAAATATCGATGTTTTAAAAAAACTCAACTGCTGGTGACAACAATGAGCAAGACATTGCCAAAATTACAGAAATGATAAAAAATACAAATTATAAAAAACGGAAAACAGATGTTGAGCGTGCGGATGATGATGATGAGAACATGCCAGTGTTGTTTGTGGGATGAACGAGGAGGTCAACTGTGATGAGAATGTGAAATGTTGTGAATGTGGATTGGAAGAAGTAGCAAAAGAAACATGTATAAATGGGAGTCTAATGAACTGGGTTGGGTGTACTATGTGTGATAGATGGTGTCACGAGGTGTGTTTGAGGACTGTTTCAGAAGATTTTGTTTGTAAATTTTGTTTGTAATTAAAATTATTTAATAAAAAAATAAATTGCACTTTTTAGAATTGTTTATACTTTTACACTTTTTGCAAGTACAAAAATCCATAAATAGATATTGCAAAATATCTCTCCTGCTGACAAGATTATACCAATTCACAAAGACACAGCTCACGTTTGTATAAACATGAGCGGGCTAGATTTTTAAATTAATGCCGATGGAGACGGGATTTTCCTCTCGCTAACAAGAGCGGGCGATGACAGTAGCACAGCAACGATGTTAGGACTTTTAATAGATCTAGATATAGATATAGATCTATCTATCTTCTTAGTATCTAGATAAAAAATAACAACATACAACACTCGTGTTAAAGGGTATGGCTAAATGCTTGTTTATTTTAAAACAAAAAAAAAATAATTTAAATAAATAAAGATGGAAAAAAAAGGAAAAAACTTTTTTCGCAAAAAGTGTCTCGCTATTTACCCTTAATTCCGCAGGTATGTCTCGCATTACCTTCTCGCATTTTCCCGCCTCGCCATTTCGCTTTTCGCGTCTCGCAATTTCCCCACACCCCCCTGATCTAGCCTAATCAAAATTTATTTATTTAATATTTTTTTTATTTAGGCCTGATTTAGATCATCACTAATTACTGAGCACTAGCCTAACAAACTCATGATTTGTTCTGGTAATCTGATTTTTTTTAATTTGAAGGAACTTTCCTGGCAGAAAATAAATGCTACATTTTGTCTCTAAATAAATCTAATTAGTAACTGCTACATGAGGCTGTAACCCAAACTAGCTAAACCTCTTCCCAGCAGCTTCTTATGGTTGCATTGATTGTGAGAATTTTTATGACATTTATGTCACTTTTTTGTTTGTAAATACTTGCCTTGTGTCAGTACAGTGTTATGCTGTTTTCCTGCCTTTTGTCCATTATTTAAAATTAGACCACTAGACACAATGAAATGAAAACATCTGACATTGAATATTCAAACAACTTACATTGAGTTTCTGGAGATAATAGAATGCAGTTATGATAAGAAAGAGTATTTATATTTTTATATTGTAAGCTTCTTTTTAAACTTTGGCCTAATCCAATCTTCTCTAGGGTTATGTGAGTTCTACTGGTTTAGTTGTTTTATATCCATTATCTTAGCTATATTCTGAATAGTTAAACACATATTTTGCCTTGATACATAGGCTTATTTGCATATTTTCTGTAATTTAAAAAAATAGTTTTTTTTTTTTACACTGAAAATTTTCTCTGCAGATGCTAAAGCAGCTCATTAGTGATGCTTTCTATGGAGTAAAAGATTCACTCAGTGGATGGTATGTGTGTTACAAGTGTTGGCATGATGAGGCTCATATGTTGCGAGACACACCACCACCCCCAAAACAATTTTCCTATCTTGCAAAAAGGCGCTCTGAACAGCAAAAGAAGAAAGATAAAGATGGGTAAAAATGCATTTCAAATAATTTATTTGGTTTAGTCTTAAGTTTATTGTTATAGAATCTGTAGGATATTTTGATAAAAATAACACAATTTGAGATTTATAAATTTATAAATCAGAACATTTATACTTTTATTGTTCTAAATGTTTTAAATTTAAAAAAAAATGTATTAGGCCTATAGTATAGTATGGAGGAAAAAAAAGTTTGTCATCAATTTGTTGATCTTTAAATTATGATTAAAATTCTCATTTATTTTTATTCTTAATTTTTTTTAGAACATTAGTTGATATAATAAAAACTACTGTTATAACTGCTGGAGTTGCACTTCTGGTGAGTTTGATTTTTTACAAGCTTTTATTTAACTCGCTTCCTCTGTCGTCAGTCTGTCTGTCTAGATCGAAATGCTGGAGTGAAAATTCGGACACTTCTACTTGACCGATACGATTCACAGTTGGCACGTGGGTCAAGACATGAAGACAATGCAATCTGAAATTAAATTTGACTTAATTGGATGCCTAATTAATTTTTTATGAATTAATTAAAATTTGGACCGAATCAATAGGCATGTCTATCCAACCACACCACACGCGTCATCACGTTCAATAGCTGCGCCATCACCTTCAGTAGGCGCGCCATCACGTTCAGTAGGCGCACAATGGTTTTTAGTCATGTAACTCTATTGTAAATAAAACATGTAAAGTACTGAAAAAAAAATTCATAAAAAACGTTTTAATAACAAGCTTTTATGTAATAATGCACTAAAAAGTAGAAAATAAATTATAGACTACTATTTAAATAACTATAAAGAAAAGCGTGGGTCTCTTTAGTATCTATTGGATACCTTTACAAATGTTAAGGAAGATACCCACGCTTTTCTTTATAGTTATTTAAATAGTAGTCTATAATTTATTTTCTACTTTTTAGTGCATTATTACATAAAAGCTTGTTATTAAAACGTTTTTTATGAATTTTTTTTAAACACTTATTTTCAACATCCTGACAATTCAGGATCCATTCTAGTACTTTGCTGCCATTACAGTTTTCCTAATGCATAAGTGTTTTAAAAGATTCATTCAAATGAAAGAATTATTAGATGTATATATGACAAATCCATTAGAACTTTCAAGAACTTTTGATAAGTTGAAAGATAATAAATCTAATCATTTTAGCAATAATGTTCTCTTAAAAAGCGAAGTGATTAAAATATATGATGAGCTGAACTCCCCACTGCTAAATCACATCATTTCTATTGTTTATAATAGATGTGTTAGAAAAGAAAATTTGACTTGTTCACTGCTTCTAGAAAACTACTTAAATACTCCAAAACACACATTTTGTTTGTATAACTTAATTTTAATCTGTACATTTTTCTTTTGCAAAATTTTCATTTTTTGAACTTTTCAGATCACTTTTCTTATTGATGCTGGCTGTTCATACATTGCAAGCTTTTTTGGTACCACTTTATTTAAAGTTCAAATAGTTCAATACTAATATTTTGAAAAATTATTTTACCATTATTCTGTCACAATATGAAATAATGGTAATAATTTGGAAACATTTTTTAAAACATTAACACATTAATAAATAAAATGTATTTTTTAACATAGTATACATATATTTTTTAGCTGTGTATTTATTTATTTTTTATTTGAAAAGGTGAAAACTTAAAAAAAAGTTTAGCAGCCTCAGAATACATATTTGGCATCCTGTGGTGGTTACCTAGCATGATTGTTATAAAGCTGACCAGCATCATCAACAATAATGTAAGACTGCAGTATTTTTCTTGGTTGGCATTTAAACTAATTACTAATTATAACAAACTAAAATTTGTTCATGTTTACTATATGGTTGAATTTCCTCTGTTCTAAATTGTAGTAAGTAAAAAAAAATGTTACTGATAATGATACAAAAAGTTGAGCTTTGGAGAATTCTACACTGTTTGACAATGTCTGCAGTAAAAACTTTTTAGACTTAAAAATAGATAGAATTGTGTTTATGGTTACCTTTTTTTCTGTCTGCAGGAAGTTGCTGATAAAGTATTTCTACATAAATATGGAAAACCAAAATATTCATCAATTGGTGCAACAATAAGTGAATTTATCTTCAGCAGCATTTATCAACTCATTTTTGTTATTCAGGTTGCATTTTAACTAGTAATTATTACAAATAGGCTAACATGAGTAGTGTGTTTACAATAGCCAATAGCTTCCTTTTAATTATTCCTTTTCCGTTAACATCACTTTTCATTTCTTCTTCAGGCTACCATAGTTTGTATTCTTGTTCCATGGCCATGGGTTGCTGTTCTGTTAGATTGGCTACATTATTCCCTTTTCTATGCATTGTATGCATTTGAATACAAATGGGCTTTGCTAGGTAGGTTTGTTTAATATTTGTTTTTAATGGCTTTAACAAAAAAGAATTTAAAGCCTTGTTTTTTGCTAGTATTTTTGCCATAAATAGATATGGTAACAAACATGTACATACATACATAAAACAGATAAAAAGCAATGGTATTTCAACATTTTGTATCTGCTCCTCTGAAAAACAAAACAAAAATTTTTCTCTCTCCATTACCCTTCACCCTGTTGTGAGTTTGAGTCCATAATAAATATACAAACAAAAGAGAAATCAAAGAGAAATAGAATTATAACAAAACGTTAATATTTTTCTGAGTGGGGGATGTGCTAGGTTGTGCTGCTTTCTGTTTTCTCTGTCAAAAGATCGCTATTTTTTTGATAACATGGGTCATCTAGTCATTTTACAAGCTTTTATTTAGTCAGCACTATTGCAGCCACCTAACTTTCCCCAATGTAAGCTAACAAAATTTTAAAGAATATTAATTTTATTTTCTTATTATTATAATTATATAAAAAGTTTTTTATCATGTATGTCTTTATTTATTTTTGTAATGATAATTTTTAAGTAGGCCTTAAGGGCCTTTAAAAAGAACATGGCATTTATTTAATTGATATTTCACAAGACCACAAATTAAACAAGGTCACTAATAGTCAAATAATATATATTATATATGTGTGTGCGTGTATGGGCCTATATGTATGCATATATACATGTATGTATATCTGTATAGATATGGAGGTGTTGGGCTCCAAAATATTCTGTGCCCTCAAAGGATGAGCAATGACCAAAGTTTAGAAACTGTTAATGTATAGCTTTGATGTTTAAAATAGTTTACTGCGCACTGATTACATATAAGTAGAAGTGCTCGTTTTTACTTAACAATCACAGTTAGTTGAAATTAGGTACTAAGCTAGTCTTTTTCTCTATTAATAATAATTATAATACATGATAAAATGTCCACCCTTACATTATACTATGTTAACATCATATCTGTTAATTAGAGAAATGGCATTTTTAGTCCAACAAATTAATACTTTTTTTAAAAAAAGTTTTCTGTGATAAGATTTTGATGTATACGTTTGTGTAAATAAATTGTATCTTCACTTTTTAGGTATTCCAGGCCATACACGTGTAGCTCAAATAGAAAATAATTGGCCTTATTATTTTGCATTTGGTCTCCCCATACATTTGGCTATTGGATGTTGGGAATCCTTACACACAAGGTCATTGCTAATTTTTCTTTTATCAACACTTTCAATTTTTTTATTTCATCCTGTCACCAATTAAAATGCAGCTCTTTTTTCATCATAGAATTTTTAGGTTTTTGAGACAATAATTTTATCTATAAAATTATATTACAGGCCTAAGTAAATAATGAAATACTATTACCAAATCGACAAAGAGGACATTATAATTAATCTCTATATTTTCTGCTTCAGGACAATGATTTTCACTTTGATGTTCCCATTCAGTATACTGGGAGCTACAGCTGCCAACCCACCTAGAAATCAGTTGTGAGTCATTTCTTGACGCTATTTTATTAGTGTTTAGTCTTATTATGTGATTCTTTTAAGGCAAATTACTAGTTTTATTTTTTGGCTTTTAAATTGAAAGTTATTTTTTTTTAATTCATCACATGCATTCTGAAAAGATCAAGCTGGTAACCATTTGAATCTTTGTTTTCAGTGTATTCCCAATCCATATTATGTTTCCATCTGTTTACATCACAAATGAAGTTTACAAATGGTTCAGGGGACCTAAAGTAAGTTTTTTAAAAATATAATCAAGTAAAAAATGTGTGTGCTGGTTACACTTTTTGAAAAGACAATAACGTTTACATAGCTAGAAAGAGGTAATAAACTTGGTACATACATAAAAAGGCTAACAAAAAACCTATCCATTGAGGTTTTTTAAAACATTTTTAAACACCATTCATGCACTTCTTAACAAAGCTAAACAATAAATGTCCACATGATCACCATACAAGATGTATAAAGGAGTTATTTCTGACAGTCATTTCACTTAAATTGTAATGTTCTATGGTGATCAGGTCAAAACTGTACATAGCTCTATTTCTATGTTTATGATGTTTCCATGTTAAATCTTATATTTTGTGTAATAACACTTCCACAGTTCAATTTTAGTTTATTGGTTAAGTTATTCATTTAAATTTGGAAATTGTATTAGCTATTTTAACTGCATTTCATGTCACAAAGTTATCAAAATGTCTATACTCAACCAAACGCTATTTATACAATAGATATTTTTTACAATTAGCTTCCTGAATATTATGTAGGTTCTTAAGTTAATTGTTATATGTTCATTTTCAGACTGAACAGGAGGCCAGCCATTCAAGATAATGTAAATGAAAGAATGTATTTACTAATCATCATTGTGTATTGAGTTGATTTAAATGTTGATTGGCCTGGTCTTTCATTTAAAATTATTTTTAACACTAGTCCTTACTTGCTTGTCATCGTTGTTTTTAAATCCTTCAGTTAACCACACATTCTTAGGCCATAAGTAAGTGGATGAGCATTATTTAAATAGAATGCGCTTTGTCATTGTCTTTTTGTTATATGACCTTAAAATTTGTAAACGTACATTTTTGTGTCCTTTATTAACCATACTTACTTTTATATAGATATATATGAGTATATACAAATTGTTTTATTCATACTTTCTTAAACAAATATGTATATTTATACTCCATCCTGTACATGACAATGCTCTAAGCAAATTCCTCTAAATTTAATGTATTATAAATATTTTAAAATTGCCTGCTGGTCAGTTAAAACATTGTGAGGTTTAACTATCATACTATTAGTGCGAAATATTATCAAGGTTTTAGCATATTTCCTGGCAAATTGATTTCTAAGATAAATTCATAGAATACAGCAAAGATCTTTTTTAAAAAGTTTAAAACAAAGAATAGTAACTGACAGTCAAATAAATCATTTCATTTGGTAAATCTTTCCACTTCATGATCTCATTTAACTTGGCATTTGACTAAAAATATACCAACATATTTCTTTTTGTAAATATTGTTGATGTTTCTCAACATAATTCTTGCCACTTCTCATTGTTAATCAGTTTGCTTTTTTAAAGTGCTTAAGCAGAGTACCCTTTTGTCATCATTCATCTTTACTGGTATACACTGCTCAATATAGTCCAACTTTTTATATTTTATACTGACAGTCAGCTTAAAGCTGACACTAATAAAGTACATGGTAAGAAATAATTATTATTGCAAAGATCTTGAGAACATTAAATATCCCAGTGCACCATGTTCAGATCTATGTGTGTATGTAACAACAATTGGCCTGAAACTGTTGCAATCAAAACTGACCACAGCATCCAGTGATGGGCCAGTGGTCATTGCAAACTAAGAGCAATATGATGATCTGTTTGATTAAAATGCCATGTACTCATCAACGAAAACTATTAAAAATAATAATCTATAGACAAGAGACCCTTGTTTTGTATACAATACCGTGAGTGAATAAATCAATCTGTTTTTTTGTCTTCCTGCGATGACTACGTAAGTAAAACCAATTAAACATTAACTTGTCTCAGCCCACTTATCACATTTGTTCTTCAAACAGATCAATCCATTGTATTTCTTTCACATCTCCACACATTATTTGCATTTGGAATGGTTGTATTGTAGTCGTAAAACCTTCAAAGCTTACTTTTATTTAGCATTTCTGGTTTCAATGCATAATTATTGCAATAAAATGTCTGCTATTTGTAATATACTTTTGCTTTGTTTTCTGAGTGAAGAATACAATGAAAGAAAATAATTACATTTAAAATTTCGAAATATTTAAAATGCTTAGTGCTTTCTCTTTTGTTCTTCAATAAATTACATTACACAGATTGCAACTCAGAAAACTTTAAAAATTAATGGCAAACTATTGAAATTCAAGAAATGGTAAAAAGTGAATTTGTTGCTTACTCAATTTTTACAAGTAAAAATTTATTTTATTTTGTATTACATTAGTTGGCTGTGTTTCTTACATATTACACAAAATATTATGTACAGTCAATATAATTTAGTAAAATAAAATTTGATGCTGACTTAGGGAAAAATATAAATATTAAAATAGGGTTCAGTATAATAAAGCATTGAAGTTTTATACACAAAGCACACATACACTTTCAGCTTTAAAATTGATGAATGGAATGTTAAAAGCTTAACACACCAGAACACAATTTAAAAAAAAAAAAAACAACTTAAAAATAAAAAACAAAATTACTTTTTTTTGTATAGTTGTTGTATAAACAATTACCCTTAAAATTCATTTTACTAAGAAAAAGTTTGCATCACTTTAAAGGGTTATAAAAAATTATTTAGAGAAAATTCCATTATTCATTTGTAACAAAACGTCAGAACAAAAACAGTTCCAAAATAGTTCGTTGTGCTATCTGTAATAAAAATTTAAGGTTTTAAAATGTTTAACTATGATCAGTATTTTAGTCAAAAAGAAAATGTGGTCAATATTTCAGTCTAGAAGCAATGGTACAATGTTTTAAACATGTAGAAGAACCCACTAAAAGGAAGACTGCAGCCAACACCAAGTCAGAGTTCAAGTCCACAGGCTTATATAATGCTATTTAAATTCCTGAAATTTTAAACCAAAGATTTTAAATGATAACTGGCAAATGACTGGTTGATTAGTAACATTAAAAAGAAAAACTAGGTTTGTATAGAGGTTTAAATAATTAGCAGCAGTCCTGGTATCATTTTACGCTGAAAGACAAGACATTTTAAAACATGAATACAGATAGAATACATCCATTTTACACTTTATAAATACAATAAATAATTCTCATACAAAGAAATATTAACTGACAATTAAATTTAAAATCAACTATGTTGTCACATTAATTATACATTAATTATACTGTAAACAGTTTTGTAGATATGTCAGGTTTATATTTCCTAATGCAGAAAAATCATTGCACCACCCTACAACAAAAACTAATTGAAAAAAAAACCCCAGAAAATACTTTTCAATTCTTAGACGAGAGGATATCAGTCTGTCGCAAACATCAATGGAAACCTGCCACAGCAGACAATACTTGTCAGTTGTGTATTGGAGACATTGAGGTCATTGCCACAGTCAAGTACACTCTGTGATCTGAATTGAATCTCATAGTTATTTGTTTCTTAAGTACAATGCCTAACTTGAAACCATTGAAGCTTTCTTGTTGGCACTCCATAGCTTAACCACACTTCACAGCACAGTTAAGTCAAAAACACAGGGTAAAAGAATTATATAAAAAAGGGAGGTGGATGTAAAAATTCATCTCACCATTAAATGGATACAAAATATTAATGTCAGTAAAGTGGTTAGAGAATATTAATCTGTCAGTCATGTGGTTAGAGAATATTAATCTGTCAGTCATGTGGTTAGAGAATATTAATCTGTCAGTCATGTGGTTAGAGAATATTAATCTGTCAGTCATGTGGTTAGAGAATATTAATCTGTCAGTCATGTGGTTAGAGAATATTAATCTGTCAGTCATGTGGTTAGAGAATATTAATCTGTCAGTCATGTGGTTAGAGAATATTAACCTGTCAGTCATGTAGTTAGAGAATATTAATCTGTCAGTCATAGGTTAGAGAATATTAATCTGTCAGTATCTGTTAAAAATATTGATTGACATGTTTTTAATAATTTGAGTACACAGTGTGGTGAGCAATTTCATAGAATATCAAACATTGTTAACAGCAGTGGATCAATATATGCATTAGATTTGTTTAACACAATATAAGATTTCAAACAATCAACAGCAGTAGACCAATGTACACAAAAAAACAACAACAATTTAACATGCACATGAAAAAGAGGAGTTAATTTCTTGAGAATTTTAAAACTGTTTCTCAGTTATGCTGTTTAAAATATCTAAAATAGTTCAGATATCACACAAGTGAAAACACAGGTAAAAAGATAAAAACTACATAGAATTGTCCAAATATACACTCAGATTTTTTTAGAAATTTCACTTCAACAGTTGCTTTGAAAATGCATAATACAGCTTTATATTATAGCTACAGTAAAAAACATTCAAATATAACATAAAATATTTGTTCTAAAATTAACAGAAAAAACAACAGAAGGAGATATTTGCTATGAATCTATACTGCCTTGTATCAGACAATTCTTTCGGAGTGAGAGTCCAAAGCTGCCATCTTTTATTTCTCTTTGTGTTGGAATTTCTTTCTGGCTTATCAACCCAACATTGTCCTTCATGTCACAATCATAGAGTGGGGTGCTGCAGTTGTTGGGAGAAGGCCTGTCCTTTTGTAGCCACACTCGAAATCGCCTGACGTATTTTTTAACTGCATAGTTAAGAATGCCAACAAAAAAGATCCAACCAATGAGATAAATTGACACGCCACCAACTCTGCCCCAAAAATCTGTGTCCTGTAGATAATGTGTTAAATTATGTTCAAAGGGAAAAATAAAAAACATTGTTTTAATGTCAACCCATAAATAATTCTCATCAAACCAATACAACTTAAGTATATTATGTACCCTATTGTTAAGTTATTATAAAATTAAAATACTAGCATGTAGTTTAAGCTGAGTTAGTAAAAAAAATATTTTTTTAGAAAAAAGTTCAAACAAAACCAAAGTATTTTGTAGTGCTCACATTGTTATTTTTGATTTCTAGTCACAGTGTGCAAGTGACTCTGATGCTGTAACAAACTATTCAGCATTTTGTGAACTAACCATGTATGCCTCTTATGGCTGGTAAAATGATTTTAGACATTTTAGTAACAAAAATATGGAACATTAAACTTTTCTTAATAATTTAAAAAAGAAAAACCAGCAATTCGTCTTACCTGCTGAAAATAAGAATAAAGCAGCATTGATCCCAGTATGATTCGCACAAACCCAAATAAACACATGAAGGTGATGTCCACAACATCACCCCACAATGTTTTATAACATCCTGTATTGCGCATAAACCATCTCAACTGAAGTAAAGGGTTGGTCATTTCTGCTCCACCTATAGTTGCCACGAGCTCAGTGCCATAAGCACCAGCAATCAAGCACCAAGACAAGCCAACTATACTAAGGAAATGGTGAGCTAACATTACTGGTCCTGGGATTAAAAAAAAAACATTACTTAAATGAATGTGGTAGTCAGGCATTTGTCATAGGTATTTTAAAAAAAAAAAAAACAACTTACAACTGACATCTTTACACAAAAATGAAAGAACAAACATAAAAAAATGGACAGAACACTCAAGTAAGGGTAACCCATAAAAACAACCAAGACCCTCACATCCAATTATTTTAACCTTATTTGTTAACAAGGCAACATTAATAAGGTAGTGTAAATTATATAATGGTGTACTTAAGTCAAAATAAAAACTGATTTCTCCATTACCTTCTGTTTTAAAATATAAACACCAGCCCAAGTCAAAGAGGAAATAACCAAGACATAAGCCCACTATTCTGATCTGTTCTGGAGAATTAGGACCACCTATACATAAAAATACCAAGAGGTGGTTAGAATCATGAAATGTAGAATAAGGGATGGGAGAACATGCAGAAATTATTACAAGTGATATATAACTAAGGTAAAATGTATCATTCTCAGCTAGTACAGACAAGATAATAAAAAATAAAACAAAAGGTTAAACAGCTAGACACTTTAGCAAATCATTTATACAATCAACTAACCCACAATTCTTAAGCCATACACAATTGAGATATATTGCTACCCAACTAGTCTTCTAAATCATCCCAGCTAGGGTACCCAGCCACACAATGTACCACCCAGCCACACAATGTATAACACAGCAAATATACCCAGCCACACAATATACAACCCTCAATGTATAGGTCATATTTATATTTTTAAAACAATTTATTTTACTTACCTGCATGTGTAAAAGGCCATGGTCCAATAACATACATACAGTAAAGAGCTAAAAAGGTTATCAGTACTGCATGGATAACTGTAACTGTTCTGCAATGCCATTCATAGCTACGAGTTGGATTCAGTACACATAGCAAAAAATAGAGAGTTACCCATATGGAAAAGTAAAGCAAAATTTCACTCAGATCAAAAGTATTGATTTTCAACATGATTGAGTTGATTTCCTTTATGTGTCATGTACTAACTGAAAAAAAAAGTAAAAAAATGTTAAGAAAGTTAATTTTAAATATAATAGTCTAGTAGTATTAGTTTTCAGGCTAGGATGGATGAGTTGCCCCATCAAATACACTTCTGAATGGAACTTTCTAGTATGAAATTGATAATATTTGCTAAGGCTGCTGCAATTTGTAATTCACTACAATTAGCTCTCAGAAGGCTATTCATACACTGACCAATCAGAGTGAAGCATTTTTTTTTCCTGCTATTTTAATTCTACAATTTATGCAATATGTACTGTTATGTATGACTGATGTCTTTACATTTAACCTTATCACTAATCCTGATTCCTAACCCAAAACTTATTGCCTAAACTTAAAGCTAACCTAACCGTAATCATTAACTTAACCCTAATGCAAGGAAAATAGCTGGTGACCGACAAAAGTGGAAATAGCTTTCTGTGGTGGCCCCAGACATCTTGGGCACAAAAAGGAATAGATGAACCCTAATTCCTAAAGCCTAACCCAAATGCTTAAACCTAAACCCTAACAAGAATTCCTAGAAAAGTCCAACAGTATTTAAGTAAAATAGAGAACAAAAGCAAAATAAATATGCAGATTCTTGCTGGAAACAGATACGCATGCACAATGGAGAGAAACTACTGCCTTCCTTCACGGCGATGTTTTCAATGGTATTGCACATGCATGTGTTTACAAACAAACTGCAGAACACAAACCCTATCCTTTGTGCAGCTATTAAGGTCGGTGCGCATGTGCAGTACTATTAAGCTTTGTATCTTCTGCGGACGTATCTTTTACTGAGTGGTCACATCGAAATAAAATGCTGAGCCAAAAGAAACAGAATATTTGCCACAAAAACAAGATGACTGATGCGCAATCACTTTGACCATTGGGGCGGTTAACATAAAAGCAAAAAGTTGACTGTCATGCCACGCAAGATGATAAAAAAATAAATGCGCATGCATGCGTAGGACTATAAATTTTAAAGATCCTACAATAACTGGTTTGCTGAAAATAGTGAGCTATGAATAGTGAATAGAGTTTGATGGCTATTTGAAGTAACTGGAGTAAACTAGGAATAGATACTAAGATACAAACACATTATTTCTAATTTAATTTAAACTTTTCAAGTAATTTGCTAATAATAAGAATCACACTCAATAAAGTAAACAAAGTAAACAGAATAAAAAAGCTGCCAGAACACAACTTAAATTTTGATAAAATTATCCCAGGCCAAAATTTTCTAAAATAGCAAACTACGAATAGAGTTTCTAGATCTACAATTTTTTTAAAATTTGTTTTTTAAATATTTTTAATGACAACAATTGAATTTATTCATTTAGGGTAGACTGCTCTAACTTCGACATATTCTTTTTAGTCCGAGCCGTAAATTCGCTTCTCTTCGTTATATTCTGTAAACTAATCAACAGAGGTTTCATTTTTACACCATTAAAAACATTATCCTCTGCTGATTGGTTTGGTATAAATAGTTAACCAATCATCATTAAGATAATAATTCTTATATGCTAGTCTAGACATTGACCACACTTCGTTATGTTTGGTTTTAACTTCGACCGGGTTGCTCTAACTTCCACCAGCGCCTTGCTCTAACTTCGACCACTATAAGCCTATATTATATATAAATTTTTTTTTTTCAATAAATCTATGATTTAACTTTGTCAAAATATCAGGGAATTAAAATAAATGTGTAGGACTATATTGGGGTAGGAATGCTATTTAATTATAAAATAGCTATAATAAATAATGAATAGATGGCGCAGGGTTGACTAGGGTGGAGTGGGGGCATTAATCGTTAGGTCTTTTAGTCTTTTGCATATGGCACTATTGTTTTCAGTTACATTTAGGTCTTATGAAAAATGAATGCTCTGCTGATTAAACTATGCTATAAACTATATAATTAAACTAACATAATTTATGCAAAATTATGTTTTTAGGGGTAAGTTTTTCAGTTGGTCGAAATTAGGACTATGCCAATTTTCAGTGGTTTTAACTTTGACCGATTTGTTTTTCAATATTTGTTTTTAGATTTTATTAAATTAAAAAAAACAAAAAAACTAATATACTACAACCTATTTTATAAGCGTTAAAGTTAATATAATTTTAAAATTTTTATTTTATAAATTAATTGTATTTTGAGCATTGTGAAGCACGAAACCCCTAAGACAGCAAAAACGGAATTCATCATTTTCACGTGAGAAAATTCACTGATGAGTTGTACTTAATATCTGCCGTTCAAGAGCGCGAAAACGATTAAAAATAGATAAGAACTTAAATATTCAAATGTGAAACTAAATATAAAATTTATTTTGGCCAATGCAGGGTTCGTACTACTTTTTCAAAATGAAATTCCAGACTTTTTCCAGACATTTTCCAGACTTTTTTGAAAAAATTCCAGACTTTATACAGATAATGTGTTCGCGAATAATTTATAAAATGATGCACCATTTGTACTCTCATAATTACTTGTACTAAATTGACATTTATTTTAGGCAGTTGAGATATATTTATATTGAACTTTCTTTAGCCAAATTGACAGAAAATCACTTTTCTAAGTTTGCCTACTCAACTCCACCTAAAGTTTTAACAATTAAAATAATTGATTAAAATGATACAGCTATTTTGTTTTAAACATTAGACTTATGTAATCTGTTCATGATCAAATTGCTTATGTTTTCAATTAAACTATCATTAAAATGGTATTGCATAATAGTGAGAGTTAATTACTTTAAAGAATACTAACGTAGTGTATTAATTTAGGCCTGCTCTTGTTAAGTAGCCTAATATAGGCTACTTGTAAAGAAAAAAATTGGAGCAAAAAAAAAAAAACATTCTGCAGGTTGTAACCACATCACTCACTGTTTATGCTTATACACTTATACTACTTATAGCTGAGGAACGGGTCTGCAATAAAAAAAAAAATGCCGGTATCCTCCTCCCCCCTTCCCCCCCCCCCCCCCCACACACAACCACAAGACACGGCGAAGGGGTCATTGTGAGGTCATAGTGGTCTAGGCTTCAGTATGCCTGTTTAATAAGTCATACCATGAACTGAGATGTGACTTATACCCCCCCCACCCTCCTTACCCAGCAGTACCAACTACAAATTTGGGGTCATGGTGAGTTCACACAAGTGACCGTAGTTACAAGAAGGGGCGGGGTAGTCTAGCTTTAATCGTCAGCATTGAAATCTATGCTTGTGTTTTAAAAACCATCCCAGCGTGTAAAGAAAACACGGTATTTATATCTACCCTAACATTATTGCATGAGCGTGTTGTCAAACTTTCTGAAACCCTCCTTCCGACTTTTCCGAGTGTGACGTCATTTATGGACGACTGAAGCAAACAGAAATACGGGTATGAACCCAAGGAGGCCTCGCGACTTATTAATCTTATAAATGTTAATATTAACCCAAAGTAAGTGAACGCGTGTGGAAGGGGGAGGGGGGGGGGGTGTTAAAATCCGAAATTTCTTTGGATGTCATAAACGGATGACCCTCAGAGACAAATAAATTATATCTAAACTACCATTCATACACCTCCCACATAATTTTTTTTTTATGACTGTCTGTGTGCAAACTTAATGAAAATAGCGGGTAAAATCGAGAGCCTAACAATTCTGAAGGCGATCATTCTTTCATTAAATTTAAATGACAATTTTAAATACTTGTAACACATTCACACGGTCAGTCGCAACACAAAATATCTCTTCCCTCCCTTCCCCTCCTCTTCCAATGACGTAGTATCTGAGCATCCGTTTTTTTCTGCGAACCAGCGAAAAAAGTCACAACAGTGTAAACCCGCGCGAAAGCTAAAAATAGCAATTTTTTAACTTGGAAAATATGGACTTCGGAGTTTTGTTTCTAAAACTGGATTCCAGACTTTTTCCAGACTTTTAAAAAATCCAGCCCAAAAACTAGCGATTTTCCAGACTTTTTTAAGTCTTAAATTCACTTTTCTAAATTCAAGACTTTTTCCAGACTTTCCAGACTGCGTACGAACCCTGCCAATGGTGTTTGTACAAATTTTTGATTTTTTTTCTGACCACAGTAAGAAATAGGTCGAAGTTAGAACTCTGTCAAAAGTTTGAGCAGTCTACCCTAGGCTCATAATATTAAAATTAAATTAATATTTTAGTAATCTATCGTTTTAGGTACGTAAAATTGCCCGCGGCTAGTAATGTACAAAAAAGTTAACTCATAGTCAAGGCTTTAATAGAAGTATATTGTGATATATTTGTGTCAAATGTTATAGATAAATGAATAATAAACCTAAATCAATGGCTAAATATATGGTAATCTATCGTTTTAGGTACGTAAAATCGCCCGCGACTATTAATGTGAAAAACAGGTGACTCCTTAAATTTTAATAATTATTTAACATTTTGAGGAGGATTTATGTTTTGAAAAATACTAAAATGTTTCCATGTTTCATTTATGTACCTGTTTTCAAACAATTGAATTAAAACTTTTCAATAATAAATGAAGACTAGTGATGTTTCCAACAGATGGAACCATGCTCATTTACTATAGCAGTAAACATGGTGAGGGGTGGAAGCAGGCGATGTAACTGAAATAACACTTTCTGTTTACATTGCTATTTTACTATAGCAGCCATCTTGTTTAAGTTCTTTCTTTGTTAACTTTTAGCGCGAGATTCAGGGGAAGGCAACTCTATTTTACAAATGGCTGCTGTTTATATAGGAAATCTTGCTCGCAAACACTGCTGTTTAAAGTTAATTTCTGGCCTATATTGATATATTTAGCCATTGATTTAGGTTTATTATTCATTTATCTATGATATTTGACACAAATATATCACAATATACTTCTATTAAAGCCTTGACAGTGAGGTAACTTTTTGCACATTTCTAGCCGCGGGCGATTTTACGTTCCCAAAACGATAGATTACCAAATATATCTATATCAATATGGGCAAGAAATTATCTTTAAACAGCAGTGTTTGCGAGCAGGATTTGCTATATAAAAAGCGGCCATCTGTTTTTCACATTACTAGATCTAGTCGCGGGCGATTTTACGTACCTAAAACGATAGATTACCAATATTCAATATTATTTATTTTCAAAATATTTTCAATATTAAAAATAAATTATTTTTAATAGGCCTATTGAAAATAAAGATAATCTATCTTTTTGGGTACGTAAAAGCACCCGCGGCTATTAATGTACAAAAACGTTACCTCATTGTCAAGGCTGTAATAGAAGTATATTGTGATATGCTTGTGTCAAATATTATAGATAAATGGATAATAAACCTAAATCAATGGCTAAATATATCAATATAGGCCAGAAATTAACTTTAAACAGCAGTGTCTGCAAGCAAGATTTGCTATATACTATATAAACAGCAGCCATTTGTAAAATAGAGTGACTTCCGCCTGAATCTCGCGCTATAAGTCTATAAAAATAAAACTTTAACACGATGGCTGCATCTGTTGGAAACATCGCTGGTGTTCACTCATTACTGAAAAGTTTTAATTCAATTGTTTTAAAAACAGGTACATAAAAATGAAACAAGGAAACATTTTTGTATTTTTCAAAACATAAATCCTCCTCAAAATGTGAAATAATTATTAAAATGTAAGGAGTCACCTGTTTTTCACATTACTAGTTGCGGGCGATTTTACGTACCTAAAACGATAGATTACCAAAATAAAAATTACTAGATCTAGAGGAGCTTACACTTTTCGGACACACATAGCCAAAAAACGCAACGTAAAAATTCCATGCGGTCTCATTCAGTAACCGCTTAACATAGAAAACAAAAAAAAGTATCATATCTATCCGCAACCATTCTACTTTAATAATGTGTGTGTCATTTTGTATTCATACGCATAGAACTTAAGCTATTCTTGTTATAGTGACTGGGGGGTCTTAACGTGTGTTCGAACACATGTAATACAGTTTTACATGTGTTCGGACACCTTTACCCGTCATCGGACATAGCACTTTTTGTTCATTTAGAATAATTTAAAGTCAATTTAATGAATAAAAACATATATTATATGCATATATATTGTGTTATTGATTGTTTGTGAGGTAATTTTAATAGTATAAAACCTTTTTCCCACACTCCCAAAGTTCATCCCATTCAGCCATTGCGGCTCGCGCAGTACGCTGCTAAGCCAGCCAGGTCACATGATTCCCCCTCCTCTTTCGCATTCCACTGCCTTCTTGACCTTATTTTGACCCTTTCCCTTCAATAACCAGCCCCTTTTATGCTCTAAATTCTTATTTAATAATATTTTTGTGTTGCTGTCCGGTCCCATGTAAGGCCAAATAAGTTAGCGAACACCCCTTTTTTATTGTTCAAGCACAAAAAAAACCCATTAACCTTGACATTTACGATGTTCCATACATATATAGAAGCTATTTATAGTGTAACCTTTGAGCTAAGCATTGATTGGTTCAAGTTTTGCCCCTAAGTCCAACCCTAGGTCACTTCATCCGGCTGGTGTAAAAATAGAAATGTGCGTACCATGCAACGTTAAAAAATTTCTAAAAATAATTCTTGAGAAAGGAAACGGAAGTACTTGACACGGAAGTGTTCATAAATGAACAGTTTACGTGCAGGCGCCGTGGTTTCGCATGAGACATGCTAATTAAAGTTTCTATGAGCCAAAAACCGACGAAGTGTTCGCTCCTACGTAATTTTTGGTGTGTGTCCGAAAAGTGTAAACTCCTCTAGATCTAGAGTCTAGAATCTAGATTCCGCCTGACTGATCTAGGAAATAACTTACGGATTTTATTTTATAATAGTGGGTTTGGTACAACTCTTGTAGAGCCAGTGAATAAAAATCTATTTTTAAAATGAAAAGATTCTAGATCGAAATCGCTGTAGATCTAGATCTAGATTTTCAATTTTTATATCATAATGATAACTGATAACTCATATGCTGCCAAGGAGTAAGGAGTTATCGTAGGAAGTCGCCATTTTTTGAACAGAAGAAACGGAGTCAATAGCTGATCGGCATTGCAATTTTTTCAGTTTAATAATGTTATCGGGCTTTAATTCTCTTATTGATCAGCTACTTTTATTAACTATTTTCTTTTCTTTCTAAATACGTAAAATTAAAAAAAAAACGTACATACTTTGTATTTATAATAACCATGGCAACAAGACGCTTTGTATCTAGACTTCACGATCTCTTAAAATATATAATTGAACACAAGCAACATATTTAACGAAAGTATGCACAAATGAAAAATAATTAAATAATAATTAAACCACTTTAGATAACAAATTAATATGTCAGAATTGAACTATATGACAGCATACGTTATTACAATACCAAATTTTTAAATTTACTACAATTAACATATATTTAAACAGCAAAGTTTTTAAAAATGCGCTGTTTTCGTTTTATTCCTAATCACTAAAAATGATTTTTACTACGTCATCGTAGGCGCTGTCTTGAAAAAAAGTATTTAAAAACTGAAAATCTTCAAACAGCATTTAAACATTTATATTAACGAATAGCTAGCAAATAAAAGTATATAAGTGTCACTTTGAGATAGGTAAGTTACCAATAATGTCTGACCATCAAAATTATTTAATTTTATTAATAATAATTTTACTGACGTAGATAAAGCGTTTCTTTCACACCGCGTTTACACTTGCGACATGTTATTTAATAGATCTATCGATCTAGAATCTAGTCTAGAACTAGAAAATCTAGATCTACATATCTAGAAAGTTAGAAATAAAACAACTACTCACAAACAGTAAGTAGATCTATACACGTTTCAGGAAGAAAATGTGTTGGCATTAAGTTGTTGTGAGTTTTTTTCCTTAGTATTAGGCGGATCTCTTTAAGGCAAGTGCTCACACCTCCCTTCCTCCAGAGTTTCTTCCAGGCATCTCTTCGAAAAACGTCTACCCCCCCCTCCCCGAAAGAAATGGAATTTATATAGAAAATATATACTTTTAACAGTGTCCGCCCCCCCCCCCCCCCCCCCGAAAATTTCAAGTGCACCCCCGTAGAAAAAAGTCGGAAACACTGCATGGAGCTAGTTTCTCATTTTACAGCTGTTAAATTAAGCAGAATGAAAAGGACTCTAGTGTTTATTGTAGCTTTGGCGTCAGCGACTTTTGTGCAGTGTTGGTCAATGTCGCCCAAATCATGTCAGGACTTGAAGGTATTGCCTTAGCATGGGTGCTCACATGCTAGCGGTATTGCCATTGGTCTGGATAAACTCGGTCTTTCATTAGCAGGATGCTATCACGTGGCTTCCGCCAAACAGAATGTAGTCGGCCTCACAGGTTGGCTGTGTTATAGAACTGTAGGGTAAGATTATCCAGAGGCGTAGCGAGGGGGAGGGGCGGGGGGTGCGGATCGCACCGGGTGACACCATTTAGGGGGGGGGGTGACACCAAGGCAAAAAATAGCAAAATATATAGAGAAAAACTTGAGGGTTTGTTCCCGGGAAGGGTCACTACCCCTCTGGGGGAGGGGGGGGGGTGACACCATTAAGTGCCGCACCGGGTGACACCCGACCTCGCTACGCCACTTAGGTTATCAACAAGGTCCAGCTAGTCCATCTGTAGGGTAGGGTTATCAACAAGGTCCAGCTAGTCCATCTGTAGGGTAGGGTTATCAACAAGGTCCAGCTAGTCCATCTGTAGGGTAGGGTTATCAACAAGGTCCAGCTAGTCCAACTGTTCGTACAACGTTCGTTATCTGACGTCATTACTACAGCTGCTTGCTAATCCGAAAAGTCTCGAGTTCGTATCCTCGGGTAGATGAGGCTCATTAGCTGGGGACAGCCACTCTTCTAGGAGAGAGAACTCCAAAATCAAACTACTGTTGCCTTGTAGTTTGTTCTTGGTTGGACAAATGGCTATGGAAGCAAATCTAAAAAGAAAAGCAGGACAGGCTGGAATCGGAATCAATGACCTCAATGGCGCATAACCAGTTGACACGTATCCTTAATTGTGTTGGAGGGGATCCCTTCCAACACTAAAATTAAGAACGAAGAAGAAGAAACACTACAGCTGTTCGCTCAGTGTAGGCTCCCTAACGTCATTACCACATCTATTCTTACTACGTTTTTTCACTGACGTTATTATTACAGCTGGTCCCACAACGATCGTTATCTGACGTCATTACCACAGCTATTCTTACTACGTTTTTTCACTGACGTTATTATTACAGCTGGTCCCACAACGATCGTTATCTGACGTCATTACCACAGCTATTCTTACTACATTTTTTCACTGACGTTATTATTATAGCTGGTCCTGCAATGCGGGTTCCATGACGTCACATTAGCTATCATTACATCATTTGTCCCATTTCGCCTGTATAACACAGTTTAGAAAAAAAAATCATCCATTCATTTGTAAACATCGGGTGCTCTTAAAGGGCTGACCATTTATTCTTGGCTGTAATTGTATCGGGGGGGGGGGGGGGTCTAACATCTATTTTTATAATTGATAAAATTGATAGCTTATGGTATGACGATGGTAAATCGTATAATGAAAACAGCACATAAAAAAAATGTCTGTTATTTATTAACACCCCATCCCTCCTCACCGCCCCATTTCTGTGTTACATGTACCTAGCATGTGGTAGAGAAGATTGGCCGTATCATGGAACCTGCAGACGATGTCCATGCATAGCCAGCAACATGCACACGCCCAGATCCATCCAGACAAACCCGCGCCTGTAGAAGACAAGCCCGTACAAAGTGACCAGACAGCTGTTACCAGAGATGAAGATCAGCAGAGACAGAAGCAACCACCCAAGCAGTTTACCCCCTCAGAGCGAGAGTATTGGCAACAGAAATTACCCAGTGGGTTTCAGTTCTACCTCGAGCGCCAAGCCCGTAGTATTATCAGGAACCAGCCACAAAATATTTTAACGTTTTCAGCCTCCTACTTCGAGGAGCTGCTTGTTAGTAGAAATGGTAAGTTTTTTAGTCTACTAGATGGCATTATTTAAACATTAATTTTCTAGTCGGCGATCAATCACCTTGACGTTTTAAGATAGTTAGCTGGACCTGACATATTGTACCTCACATGTTGTACCTCACATGTTGTACCTCACATGTTGTACCTCACATGTTGTACCTCACATGTTGTACCTCACTTGTTTTACCTCACATGTTGTACCTCACATGTTATACCTCATCTTTGTTTTACCTCACATGTTGTACCTCACTTGTTTTACCTCACATGTTGTACCTCACATGTTATACCTCATCTTTGTTTTACCTCACATGTTGTACCTCACTTGTTTTACCTCACATGTTGTACCTCACATGTTATACCTCATCTTTGTTTTACCTCACATGTTGTACCTCACATGTTTTACCTCACATGTTGTACCTCACATGTTGTACCTCACATGTTGTACCGCACATGTTGTACCTTACATGTTGTACCTCACATGTTGTACCTCACATGTTGTACCTCACATGTTGTACCTCACATGTTGTACCTCACATGTTGTACCTCACATGTTGTACCTCACATGTTGTACCTCACATGTTGTACCGCACATGTTGTACCTCACATGTTGTACCTCACATGTTGTACCTCACATGTTGTACCTCACATGTTTTACCTCACATGTTGTACTCACATGTTGTACCTCACATGTTGTACCGCACATGTTGTACCTCACTTGTTTTACCTCACATTGTTGTACCTCACATGATGTACCTCACATGATGTACCTCACTTGTTGTACCTCACATGTTGTACCTCACATTGTTGTACCTCATTTGTTGTACCTCACATGTTGTACCTCACATGTTGTACTTCACATGTTGTACCTCACATGTTGTACTCACATGTTGTACCTCACATGTTGTACCGCACATGTTGTACCTCACTTGTTGTACCTCACATGTTGTACCTCACAATTTGTACCGCACATGTTGTACCTCATTTGTTGTACCTCACATGTTGTACCTCACATGTTGTACCTCACATGTTTTACCTCACATTGTTGTATCTCACATTGTTGTATCTCACATGTTGTACCTCACATTGTTGTACCTCACATGTTGTACCTCACATTTTGTACCTCACATGTTGTACCTCACATGTTGTACCTCACATTGTATCTCATTGTTGTACCTCACATGTTGTGCCCAAAAGATGTTTTAATATTTTAACCCAAATGTAGGTCCGCGCCGAACATATCTTAAGAATTTTAAAAACATAAATCCAGACCATATTTCTGGAACAATATTTTTCACTAACTATCCGACACTAGAATTTCTAAAGTTGATTCAAGTGAAACGTTTTCTCCATATCATTATATCACCATAACGATCCATTTATATCTATTGGATGTTCTCGCCTAACCTCTGTACAACGTGTTCAACTACTCACAGCTGAGCTATGGAAACTCCCCACTGAATCGTATTTTATGAAACTTTACAAGAAGAAAACCAACGCTTTACCTTGGAAGCCCAACAGAAGAAAGCTACACAGAGTCATAGCTGAGTCCATTCCTCACAGTGTCGTTGTATTTCCTGATGTTGTTGCCTTAGGTAAGACTTGATCAACCCCCCCCCCAAACACACACAGTGTGGTTGTATTTCCTGATGTTGTTGCCATATGTAAGCCTTGATCTACCCCCCCCCCCCCACAAACACACACAATGTGGTTGTATTTCCTGATGTTGTTGCCATAGGTAAGACTTGATCTACCCCCCCCCCCCCCCCACAAACACACACAATGTGGTTGTATTTCCTGATGTTGTTGCCATAGGTAAGACTTGATCTACCCCTCACCCCCCCACCACACACACACACATTGTCTGATGTTGTTGCCTTAGGTAAGACTTGATCTACCCCTCACCCCCACCACACACATTGTCTGATGTTCTTGCCTTAGGTATGACTTGATCTACCCCTCACCCCCCCCCCCCCCCCACACACACACATTGTCTGATGTTGTTGCCTTAGGTAAGACTTGATCTACCCCTCACCCCCCCCCCCCCACACACATTGTCTGATGTTGTTGCCTTAGGTAAGACTTGATCTACCCCTCACCTCCCCACACACATTGTCTGATGTTCTTGCCTTAGGTAAGACTTGATCTACCCCCCCCCCCCACACACATTGTCTGATGTTGTTGCCTTAGGTAAGACTTGATCTACCCCCTCACCCCCCCACACACAGTGTGGTTGTATGTCCTGATGTTGTTGCCTTAGGTAAGATTTGATCTACCCCTCACCCCCCCCCCACACACACAGTGTGGTTGTATGTCCTGATGTTGTTGCCTTAGGTAAGACTTGATCTACCCCTCACCCCCCCCCCACACACACATTGTCTGATGTTCTTGCCTTAGGTAAGACTTGATCTACCCCTCACCCCCCCACACACACAGTGTGGTTGTATGTCCTGATGTTGTTGCCTAAGGTAAGACTTGATCTACCCCTCACCCCCCCCCCACACATTGTCTGATGTTGTTGCCTTAGGTAAGACTTGATCTACCACTCACCCCCCCCCCCCCCCCCTCCACACATTGTCTGATGTTGTTGCCTTAGGTAAGACTTGATCTACCCCTCACCCCCCCACACACACAGTGTGGTTGTATGTCCTGATGTTGTTGCCTTAGGTAAGACTTGATCTACCCCTCACCCCCCCACACACACAGTGTGGTTGTATGTCCTGATGTTGTTGCCTAAGGTAAGACTTGATCTACCCCTCACCCCCCCCCCCACACATTGTCTGATGTTGTTGCCTTAGGTAAGACTTGATCTACCCCTCACCCCCCCCCCCCCCCACACACCCATTGTCTGATGTTGTTGCCTTAGGTAAGACTTGATTTACCCCTCACCCCCCCACACCCATTGTCTGATGTTGTTGCCTTAGGTAAGACTTGATCTACCCCTCACCCCCCCCCCCCCACACACCCATTGTCTGATGTTGTTGCCTTAGGTAAGACTTGATCTACCCCTCACCCCCCCCCCCCACACCACCCATTGTCTGATGTTGTTGCCTTAGGTAAGACTTGATCTACCCCTCACCCCCCCCCCCCACACACCCATTGTCTGATGTTGTTGCCTTAGGTAAGACTTGATCTACCCCTCACCCCCCACACACCCATTGTCTGATGTTGTTGCCTTAGGTAAGACTTGATCTACCCCTCACCCCCCCCCCACACACACCCATTGTCTGATGTTGTTGCCTTAGGTAAGACTTGATCTACCCCTCACCCCCCCCACACACCCATTGTCTGATGTTGTTGCCTTAGGTAAGAATTGATCTACCCCTCACCCCCCCCCCACACACCCATTGTCTGATGTTGTTGCCTTAGGTAAGACTTGATCTACCCCTCACCCCCCCCCCACACACATTGTCTGATGTTGTTGCCTTAGGTAAGACTTGATCTACCCCTCACCCCCCCCCCCACCCCACACACCCATTGTCTGATGTTGTTGCCTTAGGTAAGACTTGATCTACCCCCCCCCCACAAAAACACACAGTGTGGTTGTATTTCCTGATGTTCTTGCCTTAGGTAAGACTTGATCTACCCCCCACCCCACACACACACACATTGTCTGATGTTGTTGCCTTAGGTAAGACTTGATCTACCCCTCACCCCCCCCCCCCTCCACACATTGTCTGATGTTGTTGCCTTAGGTAAGACTTGATCTACCCCTCACCCCCCACACACATTGTCTGATGTTGTTGCCTTAGGTAAGACTTGATCTACCCCCCACCCCACACACACACCCATTGTCTGATGTTGTTGCCTTAGGTAAGACTTGATCTACCACTCACCCCCCCTCCACACATTGTCTGATGTTGTTGCCTTAGGTAAGACTTGATCTACCACTCACCCCCCCCCCCACACACACACACATTGTCTGATGTTGTTGCCTTAGGTAAGACTTGATCTACCCCTCACCCCCCCCCACTCACCCATTGTCTGATGTTGTTGCCTTAGGTAAGACTTGATCTACCCCCCCCCCCCCCACAAAAACACACAGTGTGGTTGTATTTCCTGATGTTCTTGCCTTAGGTAAGACTTGATCTACCCCTCACCCCCCCACACACACATTGTCTGATGTTGTTGCCTTAGGTAAGACTTGATCTACCCCTCACCCCCCCCCCCCCTCCACACATTGTCTGATGTTGTTGCCTTAGGTAAGACTTGATCTACCCCCCCCCCACAAAAACACACAGTGTGGTTGTATTTCCTGATGTTCTTGCCTTAGGTAAGACTTGATCTACCCCTCACCCCCCCCCCCCCTCCACACATTGTCTGATGTTGTTGCCTTAGGTAAGACTTGATCTACCCCTCACCCCCCCACACATTGTCTGATGTTGTTGCCTTAGGTAAGACTTGATCTACCACTCACCCCCCCCCCCACACACCCATTGTCTGATGTTGTTGCCTTAGGTAAGACTTGATCTACCCCCCCCCCCACAAAAACACACAGTGTGGTTGTATTTCCTGATGTTCTTGCCTTAGGTAAGACTTGATCTACCCCTCACCCCCCCCCCCCTCCACACATTGTCTGATGTTGTTGCCTTAGGTAAGACTTGATCTACCACTCACCCCCCCCCCCCCTCCACACATTGTCTGATGTTGTTGCCTTAGGTAAGACTTGATCTACCCCTCACCCCACCCCCCCCACACACAGTGTGGTTGTATGTCCTGATGTTGTTGCCTTAGGTAAGACTTGATTTACCCCTCACCCCCCCACACACATTGTCTGATGTTGTTGCCATAGGTAAGACTTGATCTACCTCTCACCCCCCCCCCCCCACACACCCATTGTCTGATGTTGTTGCCTTAGGTAAGACTTGATCTACCCCCCCCCCCACAAAAACACACAGTGTGGTTGTATTTCCTGATGTTGTTGCCATAGGTAAGACTAGATCTACCCCTCACCCCCCCCCCCCACATTGTCTGATGTTGTTGCCATAGGTAAGACTAGATCTACCCCTCACCCCCCCACACATTGTCTGATGTTGTTGCCATAGGTAAGACTTGATCTACCCCTCACCCCCCCTCACACACACACATTGTCTGATGTTGTTGCCTTAGGTAAGACTTGATCTACCCCTCACCCCCCCCCCCACACATTGTCTGATGTTGTTGCCTTAGGTAAGACTTGATCTACCCCTCACCCCCCCCACACACATTGTCTGATGTTGTTGCCTTAGGTAAGACTTGATCTACCCCTCACCCCCCCCCCCCCCCACACACCCATTGTCTGATGTTGTTGCCTTAGGTAAGACTTGATCTACCCCTCACCCCCCCCCCCACACACACATTGTCTGATGTTGTTGCCTTAGGTAAGACTTGATCTACCCCTCACCCCCACCCCCTCCCCACACACACATTGTCTGATGTTGTTGCCTTAGGTAAGACTTGATCTACCCCTCACCCCACCCCCCTCCCCACACACACATTGTCTGATGTTGTTGCCTTAGGTAAGACTTGATTTACCCCTCACCCCCCCCCCCCACACACATTGTCTGATGTTGTTTCCTTAGGTAAGACTTGATCTACCCCTCACCCCACCCCCTCCCCACACACAGTGTGGTTGTATGTCCTGATGTTGTTGCCTTAGGTAAGACTTGATTTACCCCTCACCCCCCCCCCACACATTGTCTGATGTTGTTGCCATAGGTAAGACTTGATCTACCTCTCACCCCCCCCACCACACACACACATTGTCTGATGTTGTTGCCTTAGGTAAGACTTGATCTACCCCCCCCCCTCCCTCCACACACAGTGTTGTATTACTGATGTTTTTTGCGTTTGGTAAAACTTGATCTAACCCCCCCCCCCATATAGTGTTGTATTCCCTAATGTTTTTGCTTTTGGTAAGACTTGTTTTACAACCCCCCCCCCCCCATACACACTCACACAGTTTCTTTCATGTGTCTATTTGGGGTGGCTCGCCCCCCCCCCCCCTCCACTCTTAAACGAAATGGAATTTATATAGAAAATATATACTATACCAGTTTCCACCCCCTCGGAAAATTTAGTCCGTCCGCCCCCCCCCCCACCCCGGAGAAAAAAGTCTGAAAGAAACACTTGTATTTCCTGCTGTCGGTGCCTTAGATAAGAATTCACCCCCCCCCCCCCCCACATTCCCAGATGTTTCGAAATTATTCTTTGTTCATTCCCTTTAGAACTACGTAATAATTAATTGCATTAATCGATAGAACAAAGGTTTGTTTGACCCTGGGAGAAAATATTTTCTCAAAACTAGTTTTAGAGAATACTTTTATCGTCTTTTCTATCCTCTACAGAACACTACCCAACACAGATGATTTTTAATGGTAAGAAAAAAATGTGTATTTGTAGACAATGTTTTACAATCTGGGTCTCCAAACTACGGCCCGCGGGCCGTATGCGGCCCGCGAAGTCCTCTCATCCGGCCCGTGGAGATCTTTTTGTCCAAGGAAAAATTGTTTGTTGGTGATGATGAGGAACTTTGCGCAGAAAAATCAAAGACATGCCTGGAAGAAACTGGCCCCCGAACTGAAATTTGATAGTTAATGTGGCCCTCGGACTGAAAAGTTTGGAGACCCCTGGTCTAGACAAAAACTGCACCCAATTGTTTTAGCTGTTATGTTAACATTGTGCAAACATCTTTGTTTCAATGTCTAACTGTAAATGTCTGGTAAAACGATAGTGCAATAAAACAAATACGTTTTTCTACAAACTATGAACCTGATTATGTCTATTATAATTTCCATTATTTACCCCACGTGATGCCCTCTACAGACGAAGCTGTGAACCCAACTGTGGAGAGTGCCCCGCCAGAGCCTGAACTTAAACCTCAGGAATTTGGTGCTGTAGAACCCGTGTCTGACCCAGCTCCCATCTCGCTCGCCTTTGATTCCAGCACCAGCAGCTTCGACACGGCCGAGGACGCCACGCTCTACGTCATGGACGGTCTGCAGGCCAAGGAGAAGAGTGTGCTCCACAGTCTGAACGACAGTCTGCACAGTGACGCTGACAGCAGGAGGGCGGCAGACACGGACGACGACAGGCACACCGAGGACAGCTCCAAGTCGTCCATGGTGACCAACGTCAGCACTTTTGCTTCGGATAATACTCAAAATAACAACAAGCGGTCTGAGGACGAGGGTATGACAACCCAGGTAGAGTCGAGCGCACCTTCGGGTGGTTGCCATGACGATGAGAAGTGTGATGTGCAGAACCCAGGTGAGCCACTCCCTGATGACGTCACTCACTCCATGTTCAAAGATGCCGCCGCAGGTCATGGGGGTGACAACAATGTTCCCTGTAGGAAATCTCCAGTCTCTGATGAAAGCTTCAGCCTCAATCCTGGCCTGTCAACTGTGATGGGAAACCAAGGACAAACACACAAGGATATACTTTGCAAGGCAACGTTGTCGCAGTGTCAAATTGTGTTTCAACATGCAATAGACAATGGTGTCAAAGATATATACGTCAACACATTGAATGAGATTAACGGCACACTACACGACACGAAGTATTATCAAAACGGACCTACCCCGCCCGCCATGTACTTAAACAGCAGGTTCGTTGAGGAGAATCACCAGAACAGCTCAAGTGAAGCAAAGAGTGAAGAAAATAGTGAAGCATTAGATCACTTGTCTGGCTCGACAAGCCAGATGAAACAGGAGCTAGAAAACTGCTCCACCCCAACAGATATCCAGCCAATAGGCGCGGATCACTCAAGTTTAGCTGCTCTCGCAGACGACAGGTGTGTCATTCAACAGCTGGATAACAATTTTAGCTGCGTCGTCGACGCTCAGGACGTTGAAAGCAACGATGTGCGAATCCATGAAGTCAACAGCGGGGTCCAGCAAGACGAAGACTCAATAGAGGAAGATATCCAGGCTCGGTTTCGTGCAGAGGCCGAGATCTACTTCATACCAATACAGCTGGATGAGATCTCTGTGGAGTATGTTCAGCCAAACAAAGATGTAGACGCCGGGCCGGTGGAATCATTTGATAAGAAAACGGACTCTGTTGAGCAGCTCCCTGACAACTGCACCAATGTGGCGCTCCAAGATGTGGATGTAGGGAATCAGCTCCAAGATGTAGATGTAGGGAATCAGCTCCAAGATGTGGATGTAGGGAATCAGCTCCAAAATGTAGATGTAGGGAATCAGCTCCAAAATGTAGATGTAGGGAATCAGCTCCAAAATGTAGATGTAGGGAATCAGCTCCAAGATGTGGATGTAGGGAATCAGCTCCAAAATGTAGATGTAGGGAATCAGCTCCAAGATGTGGATGTAGGGAATCAGCTCCAAAATGTAGATGTAGGGAATCAGCTCCAAAATGTAGATGTAGGGAATCAGCTCCAAGATGTAGATGTAGTGAATCAGCTCCAAGATGGCTGCACCAATGTGGATGTAGCTCAGAACCTCCAAGATGGCAAGCCTGATGTGTGCCAGGAATATCAAAATGAGGCCAAGGTGAACCTTGGTCTAGAAGAAGCAGTTGTTACCGAACATGGCGAAAACAGCCATGAGAACGCCAGCTCTCAAACTGATACCGAAGTCGTCTGCCAACATCTAGAGGGGCTGGGGAAGGAAAGGTTTGCAACTGCTATTCAAATTGCCGAAAAATATATTTCAGAGCTGAAAAATGTGGCATCCAACATTGAGAAAATCATAGATCTCCAGAACATGAGAAAATTATCACAGGAAGAGAGTAAACGAGAGAGTAAGAAGGAGCTGACGATGAAGACTGTGGTCAAGATTAAACCGCCAGCTCAGGAGACGGACAAGACAAAACAGCTCTCGGCAGGGGAGCACCATCCCATGGTCTCCAGATCTCTGCTAGAGGAGCTGGCTAACAAGATCGTGGATCTATACGACAACACTTTAGCTGTTGGGGAAACTATGCCGGGGGAGTCACTCAAGAAGGCAAGGACAGGCGGGGTCGAGATGGTGTGTGATCAAGGCGGGTGTTTTGAGGGCAGCGAGACCAAAAAGGTGACTGAAGAAGGCATAAGTTTACCGACCCCCGGGGAAACAATCCGAGAGGTGTCTGTTGACTGTAACAACTCACATTCAGATAGAAAATATGACAAGGGAGAAAACACATGTTGGGATGTTAACACCGAAATAGATAGCACCCAGCTTCAGTATTGCAACAGAAACATCAACAACAACGGCAATGTTTTCAGCTCTAGTGATTCTAAAAATAGTAACAGACATGTTCTGGAAGCATGTGCTACGTGTAAGCTAAATACCAACTGCAACACATCAACACATAATAAAATGGGAGAGTGTGCAACGTGTAAGCAAAACACCAACTGCAACACATCAACACATAATAAAAACAAATCCAGATCCACTAAAGCCAAGCACGCATCAGCCCAAAAGAACACCACCAATAACTCGCTGGAAGTAGAGAGCAGGTACCCAAGCTTACTAAAACCCACACCCCAGTTAACGGACAAGCTGATTCGCTGGCTCCACACATGTCCGACGGCTGACGAGTTCTCACAGCCCTCCGACGTGTGTGACGTGAACCCCCCGGGCTACCCCCTGGGGAATGTTCCAACCCCAGGGTACCGCCACATCAGGAGACCCTGCATACCTTTCCCTCAGCTGGCCTCTAAAAACTTCCAGAAGTTGAGCAACTGCTCGTTCAACAGCACGACGGGGGAGGCCGGCGTGTCTGGAACTGACCAGCAGGCCAGCCCGCCAGGTACACAGAGGAAATGCAAGTCTGTCTTTTGTCGAGACAAACAACCAAGTCTGGAATCCGCGAAGAAAATCCCAAAACCACAGCACAGATTCCAAAAAAACAGTAAGGACGAGAAATGTCTAACCCAGCCAGAGAAACAAGCGGGACAGCAAGTCCCTGGTGAGAAAAGCAAGGCGCCAACATGTAAGGCTGGCGTGGTACCAGCGGTAGAAGAGAAGAAGACAGGTAACCAGGTGGCCAGTAAAGATGGCCCCACTCAGGTCAGCAAACAAGACAAGTGTACGAAAGTCAAAGCTCGCAATAGCCATGAGCACACAACCGCCAACTATGTTGACTGTCCTAAAGGAATCAGCTTAAAGAAAAAACAATCGGATCATTTAAAAAAGACCACACCCAAAAACCAGGAAACGAAACAAAAACTGTCAGAGAATGTCAACTCGTGTATAAAACAAGCAGAGCAGGAAACGAAACAAAAACTATCAGAGAATGTCAACTCGTGTATAAAACAAGCAGAGCAGGAAACGAAACAAAAACCTTCAGAGAACGTCAGCCTAAAACAAGCAGACAGGCAGCTGGCGCAGAAGAAGAAAGTTTTCCCACTGCGAGTCTATACCTTCCCAACGCTCAGCTCTACTGCACCTACCTACGTCCCGGACGTGGCGAGGCGATTGACCATCGAGTCCCCCCTGGAAAACCTAATGATTCACACCACGTACGAACGGCCTAACCCTCTCCAGCCTGAACTAAGGGGAGAGTTTGAACTCACCAGTAAGAAGCAGAGAATCTACTTGGGGGGAAAGGAAGATTACATCGATACGGAGGGTACGCGGAGGTTGGTCTGTGAAACGGAATGTTTCACGTCCAAAGACCCTTTGACTCAAAATCTGGTTTTAGAGAATGGAACTCTGCTGGTGGATGAGAAACCAAATAGCCCACACCATCTACAAAGAAGAAACGCCGCAGATGGCCCGAGCGTCAGTCCAGCGGTGATGAAGGACGTTCTCCTCAAGTTCAACGAACATCGGGACGTACAGAGGCTGAACCACACCATTCAGATGGTTGGGGATTTTATAATGATTGGTGGCAATAACTACATGCACAGTGTGGGGCAACAGTTGAATGGCAGCAATAAAAGCTCGAACGCTTTGGCGTGTGTCGACTCGAGCAGCATGATGGATGGCAGAGTTGTGCCGACAGCCCTCAGTGGTTGCGGAGATGGCTGCTCGCTGTACGATGGTGACAGACCAACACTTCATTTAAACACATGCGACAAACGAGATGGCAACATTAATAACAACGCTGACGAGGGCTCTAATCCTCAGGGGACGCAATTTCATCTCGTGGCTGAGGAGAATCCAGTTGAAAAGAAACACGAGAAGGTCTCCTATTTTAACTGCGCCCTAGAAGCCACAGAAGATCTCATCGTTGCTGGAGCTGAGTGCTGGGAATCTTTTGAAGATCCTAGCGTACAACAAGGCTCCTCTGCGGGTCTCGAATACAACCTCAACAACAACAGCACAACTAAAGTGTCTGAGATTGATGATACCACATTGCAGTCGTCTATGAAAAGTGTAAGTGCTCAAACAAACAGCTTAGCAATCCCCTGCTGTATCTTCAAAAATACGTATCACCTACTAAATGTGAAAGAATTAGAGGTACTGAACATTGACATGGAAGCAATGCAGCAGACATCGGGAGCGAGGCCGACAAATTACTGCAAGCTTCCTCGTCAAGAAAAATCGTAAGTCACGCCCGGAAAACGGACAATGTGTCTCATGGTTGTACCTCACATGTTGTAGTAGTTGTACCTCACGTTGTTGTACCTCACATGTTGTACCTCACATTGTATCTCATTGTTGTACCTCATATTGTATCTCATTGTTGTACCTAACATGTTGTACAATACATTGTTGTACCTCACATTGTACCTCACATGATGTACCACACATGTTGTACCTCACATTGTATCTCATTGTTGTACCTCATATTGTATCTCATTGTTGTACCTCACATGTTGTACATTACATTGTTGTACCTCACATGTTGTACCTCACATTGTTGTACCTCACATTGTACCTCACATGTTTTACCTCACATATTGTACCTCACATGTTGTACCTCACATGTTGTACCTCAGATGTTGTACCTCACATGTTTTACCTCACATATTGTACCACACATGGTTATACCTCACATGTTGTACCTCACATGTTGTACCTCACATGTTTTACCTCACATATTGTACCACACGTTGTTGTACCTCACATGTTGTACCACACATTGTTGTACCTCACATGATGTACCACACATGTTTTACCTCACATTGTTGTACCTCACATTATTGTACCTCAAATTGTTGTACCTCACATTGTATCTCATTGTTGTACCTTATAATATGTATCTCATTCTTGTACCTCACATGTTGTACATTACATTGTTGTACCTCACATTGTACCTCATTGTTGTACCTCAAATGTTGTACATTACATTGTTGTACCTCACATTGTACCTCATTGTTGTACCTCAAATGTTGTACATTACATTGTTGTACCTCACATTGTACCTCATTGTTGTACCTCAAATGTTGTACATTACATTGTTGTACCTCAAATGTTGTACATTACATTGTTGTACCTCACATTGTACCTCATAGTTGTACCTCACATGTTGTACCTCACATGTTGTACCTCACATTGTACCTCATTATTGTACCTCACATGTTGTACCTCACATTGTTGTACCTCACATTGTATCTCATTGTTTTACCTCAATTGTTGTACATCACGTTGTTGTACATTACATTGTTGTACCTCACATGTTGTACCTCACATGTTGTACCTCATATGTTGTACCTCACATTGTATCTCATTGTTGTACCTCATATTGTATCTCATTGTTGGACCTCATATTGTGTCTCAATGTTGTACCTCACATTTTGTACCTCAACAACAACAGCACAACTAAAGTGTCTGAGATTGATGATACCACATTGCAGTCGTCTATGAAAAGTAAAAGTACTCAAACATACAGCTTAGCAATCCCCTGCTCTATGTTCAAAAATACTTATCACATACTAGATGTGAAAGAATTAGAGGTACTGAACATTGACATGGAAGCAATGCAGCAGACATCGGGAGCGAGGCCGACAAATTACTGCAAGCTTCCTCGTCAAGAAAAATCGTAAGTCACGCCCGGAAAACGGACAATGTGTCTCATTGTTGTACCTCACATGTTGTAGTAGTTGTACCTCACGTTGTTGTACCTCACATGTTGTACCTCACATTGTATCTCATTGTTGTACCGCATATTGTATCTCATTGTTGTACCTCACATGTTGTACATTACATTGTTGTACCTCACATTGTATCTCACATGATGTACCACACATGTTGTACCTCACATTGTATCTCATTGTTGTAACTCATATTGTATCTCATTGTTGTGCCTCACATGTTGTACATTACATTGTTGTACCTCACATTGTTGTACCTCACATTGAACCTCACATGTTTTACCTCACATATTGTACCACACATTGTTGTACCTCACATGATGTACCACACATGTTTTACCTCACATTGTTGTACCTCACATTGTTGTACCTCACATTGTATCTCATTGTTGTACCTTATATTGTATCTCATTGTTGTTCCTCACATGTTGTGCATTACATTGTTGTACCTCTCATTGTATCTCATTGTTGTATCTCAGATGTTGTACCTCACATTGTTGTTCCTCACGTTGTTGTACCTCACATTGTTGTACCTCACATTGTATCTCATTGTTGTACCTCAATTGTTGTACATCACGTTATTGTACATTACATTGTTGTACCTCACATGTTGTACCTCACATGTTGTACCTCATATGTTGTACCTCACATTGTATCTCATTGTTGTACCTCATATTGTATCTCAATGTTGTACCTCACATGTTGTACCTCAGTTGTTGTACCTCACATGTTGTACCTTACATTGTATCTCATTGTTGTACCTCACATGTTGTACCTCACATTGTATCTCATTGTTGTACCTCATATTGTATCTCATTGTTGTAACTCACATTGTATCTCATTGTTGTACCTCAAATGTTGTACCTCACATTGTTGTACCTCACATTGTACCTCACATGTTGTACCTCACATGTTGTATCTCACTTGTTGTACCTCTCATTGTTGTACCTCACATGTTGTACCTCACATGTTGTATCTCACTTGTTGTACCTCTCATTGTTGTACCTCAGATGTTGTACCTCACATGTTTTACCTCACATATTGTACCACACATTGTTGTACCTCACTTGTTGTACCTCACATGTTGTACCTCACATTGTTGTACCTCACTTGTTGTACCTGTCATTGTATCTCATTTTTGTACCTCACATGTTGTACCTCACATGTTGTACCTCACATTTTTGTACCTCACATTGTTGTACCTCACTTGTTGTACCTGTCATTGTATCTCATTGTTGTACCTCACATGTTGTACCTCACATGTTTTACCTCACATATTGTACCTCACATGTTGTACCCCACATGTTGTACCTCAGATGTTGTACCTCACATGTTTTACCTCACATATTGTACCACACATTGTTGTACCTCACTTGTTGTACCTCACATGTTGTACCTCACATTGTTGTACCTCACTTGTTGTACCTGTCATTGTATCTCATTGTTGTACCTCACATGTTGTACCTCACATGTTGCACCTCACATTGTTGTACCTTACATTGTTGTACCTCACTTGTTGTACCAGTCATTGTTGTACCTCACATTGTTGTACCTCAGGAACCCGTGTCAGACCCAGCGCCCATCTCGCTCGCCACGCTCTACGTCATGGAAGGGCTGCAGGCCAAGAAAAACAGTGTCGTTCTCAGTGAACGACAGTCTGCACAGTGACGCTGACAGCACGAGGGCGGCGGACACGGACGACGACAGGCACACAGAGGACAGCACGCGCTCCAAGTTGTCCATGATGACCAACGTGAGCATTTTTGCTTCGGATAATACTCAAAATAACAACAAGCGGTCTGAAGACGAGGGTATGACAACCCAGGTAGAGTCGAGCGCACCTTCGGGTGGTTGCCATGACGATGAGAAGTGTGATGTGCAGAACCCAGGTGAGCCACTCTCTGCTGACGTCACTCACTCCATGTTCAAAGATGCCGCCGCAGGTCATGGGGGTGACAACAATGTTCCCAGTATGAAATCTCCAGTCTCTGATGAAAGCTTCAGCCTCAATCCTGACCTGTCAACTGTGATGGGAAACCAAGGACAAACACACAAGGATATACTTTGCAAGGCAACGTTGTCGCAGTGTCAAATTGTGTTTCAACATGCGATAGACAATGGTGTCAAAGATATATACGTCAACACATTGAATGAGATTAACGGCACACTGCATGACACGAAGTATTATCAACACGGACCTACCCCGCCCGCCATGTACTTAAACAGCAGGTTCGTTGAGGAGAATCACCAGAACAGCTCTGGTGAAGCAAAGAGTGAAGAAAATAGTGAAACATTAGATCACTTGTCTGGCTCGACAAGCCAGATGAAACAGGAGCTAGAAAACTGTTCCACCCCAACAGATATCCAGCCAATAGGCGCGGATCACTCAAGTTTAGGTGCTCTCGCAGAAGACAAGTGTGTCATTCAACAGCTGGATAACAATTTTAGCTGCGTCGTCGACGCTCAGGACGTTGAAAGCAACGATGTGCGAATCCATGAAGTCAACAGCGGGGTCCAGCAAGACGAAGACTCAATAGAGGAAGATATCCAGGCTCGGTTTCGTGCAGAGGCCGAGATCTACTTCATACCAATACAGCTGGATGAAATCTCTGTGGAGTATGCTCAGCCAAGCAAAGACGTAGACGCCGGGCCGGTGGAATCATTTGATAAGAAAACGGACTCTGTTGAGCAGCTCCCTGACAACTGCACCAATGTGGTGCTCCAAGATGTGGATGTAGGGAATCAGCTCCAAGATGTGGATGTAGGGAATCAGCTCCAAGATGTGGATGTAGGGAATCAGCTCCAAGATGTGGATGTAGGGAATCAGCTCCAAGATGTGGATGTAGGGAATCAGCTCCAAGATGTAGATGTAGGGAATCAGCTCCAAGATGTAGATGTAGGGAATCAGCTCCAAGATGTGGATGTAGGGAATCAGCTCCAAGATGTGGATGTAGGGAATCAGCTCCAAGATGTGGATGTAGGGAATCAGCTCCAAGATGTGGATGTAGGGAATCAGCTCCAAGATGTGGATGTAGGGAATCAGCTCCAAGATGGCTGCACCAATGTGGATGTAGCTCAGAACCTCCAAGGTGGCAAGCCTGATGTGTGCCAGGAATGTCAAAACGAGGCCAAGGTGAACCTTGGTCTAGAAGAAGCAGTTGTCACCGAACAGGGCGAAAACAGCCATGAGAACGCCAGCTCTCAAACTGATACCGAAGTCGTCTGCCAACATCTAGAGGGGCTGGGGAAGGAAAGGTTTGCAACTGCTATTCAAATTGCCGAAAAATATATTTCAGAGCTGAAAAATGTGGCATCCAACATTGAGAAAATCATAGATCACCAGAACATGAGAAAGTTATCACTGGAAGAGAGTAAACGAGAGAGTAAGAAGGAGCTGACGATGAAGACTGTGGTCAAGATTAAACCGCCAGCTCAGGAGACGGACAAGACAAAACAGCTCTCGGCAGGGGAGCACCATCCCATGGTCTCCAGATCTCTGCTAGAGGAGCTGGCCAACAAGATCGTGGATCTATACGACAACACTTTAGCTGTTGGGGAAACTATGCCGGGGGAGTCACTCAAGAAAGCAAGGACAGGCGGGGTCGAGATGGTGTGTGGTCAAGGCGGGTGTTTTGAGGGCAGCGAGACCAAAAAGGTGACTGAAGAAGGCATAAGTTTACCGACCCCCGGGGAAACAATCCGAGAGGTGCCTGTTGACTGTAACAACTCACATTCAGATAGAAAATATGACAAGGGAGAAAACACATGTTGGGATGTTAACACCGAAATAGATAGCACCCAGCTTCAGTATTGCAACAGAAACATCAACAACAACGGCAATGTTTTCAGCTCTAGTGATTCTAAAAATAGTAACAGACATGTTCTGGAAGCATGTGCTACGTGTAAGCTAAATACCAACTGCAACACATCAACACATAATAAAATGGGAGAGTGTGCAACGTGTAAGCAAAACACCAACTGCAACACATCAACACATAATAAAAACAAATCCAGATCCACTAAAGCCAAGCACGCATCAGCCCAAAAGAACACCACCAATAACTCGCTGGAAGTAGAGAGCAGGTACCCAAGCTTACTAAAACCCACACCCCAGTTAACGGACAAGCTGATTCGCTGGCTCCACACATGTCCGACGGCTGACGAGTTCTCACAGCCCTCCGACGTGTGTGACGTGAACCCCCCGGGCTACCCCCTGGGGAATGTTCCAACCCCAGGGTACCGCCACACCAGGAGACCCTGCATACCTTTCCCTCAGCTGGCCTCTAAAAACTTCCAGAAGTTGAGCAACTGCTCGTTCAACAGCACGACGGGGGAGGCCGGCGTGTCTGGAACTGACCAGCAGGCCAGCCCGCCAGGTACACAGAGGAAATGCAAGTCTGTCTTTTGTCGAGACAAACAACCAAGTCTGGAATCCGCGAAGAAAATCCCAAAACCACAGCACAGATTCCAAAAAAACAGTAAGGACGAGAAATGTCTAACCCAGCCAGAGAAACAAGCGGGACAGCAAGTCCCTGGTGAGAAAAGCAAGGCGCCAACATGTAAGGCTGGCGTGGTACCAGCGGTAGAAGAGAAGAAGACAGGTAACCAGGTGGCCAGTAAAGATGGCCCCACTCAGGTCAGCAAACAAGACAAGTGTACGAAAGTCAAAGCTCGCAATAGCCATGAGCACACAACCGCCAACTATGTTGACTGTCCTAAAGGAATCAGCTTAAAGAAAAAACAATCGGATCATTTAAAAAAGACCACACCCAAAAACCAGGAAACGAAACAAAAACTGTCAGAGAATGTCAACTCGTGTATAAAACAAGCAGAGCAGGAAACGAAACAAAAACTATCAGAGAATGTCAACTCGTGTATAAAACAAGCAGAGCAGGAAACGAAACAAAAACCTTCAGAGAACGTCAGCCTAAAACAAGCAGACAGGCAGCTGGCGCAGAAGAAGAAAGTTTTCCCACTGCGAGTCTATACCTTCCCAACGCTCAGCTCTACTGCACCTACCTACGTCCCGGACGTGGCGAGGCGATTGACCATCGAGTCCCCCCTGGAAAACCTAATGATTCACACCACGTACGAACGGCCTAACCCTCTCCAGCCTGAACTAAGGGGAGAGTTTGAACTCACCAGTAAGAAGCAGAGAATCTACTTGGGGGGAAAGGAAGATTACATCGATACGGAGGGTACGCGGAGGTTGGTCTGTGAAACGGAATGTTTCACGTCCAAAGACCCTTTGACTCAAAATCTGGTTTTAGAGAATGGAACTCTGCTGGTGGATGAGAAACCAAATAGCCCACACCATCTACAAAGAAGAAACGCCGCAGATGGCCCGAGCGTCAGTCCAGCGGTGATGAAGGACGTTCTCCTCAAGTTCAACGAACATCGGGACGTACAGAGGCTGAACCACACCATTCAGATGGTTGGGGATTTTATAATGATTGGTGGCAATAACTACATGCACAGTGTGGGGCAACAGTTGAATGGCAGCAATAAAAGCTCGAACGCTTTGGCGTGTGTCGACTCGAGCAGCATGATGGATGGCAGAGTTGTGCCGACAGCCCTCAGTGGTTGCGGAGATGGCTGCTCGCTGTACGATGGTGACAGACTAACACTTCATTTAAACACATGCGACAAACGAGATGGCAACATTAATAACAACGCTGACGAAGGCTCTAATCCTCAGGGGACGCAATTTCATCTCGTGGCTGAGGAGAATCCAGTTGAAAAGAAACACGAGAAGGTCTCTTATTTTAACTGCGCCCTAGAAGCCACAGAAGATCTCATCGTTGCTGGAACTGAGTGCTGGGAATCTTTTGAAGATCCTAGCGTACAACAAGGCTCCTCTGCGGGTCTCGAATACAACCTCAACAACAACAGCACAACTAAAGTGTCTGAGATTGATGATACCACATTGAAAGATGTCGACCAGCTTCCCACAGAGGCAACACAAGACGAGCCCAAAAGATTGTCCATGACCAAAGGTCGCAGACGATCAAAACCTTCTGGTAACAAGACAACCAAAGGTGAATGTATCGACTGCATCCCCAGTCTAGTTGGCGACGCTGACGTCAAGGTATACTCGACTGTCGAGAACCAAGTTGTGGCCACAGACATCAGCATCTGCGACGCTGCCCAGACGGGCTCGTCTCTCTCCCTGAGGACAGCCGAGCTGCCGCCCCGGGACATGGACAGAGTCAACATCAGGGGCCACAAGCTGTGGACGCCCAGCTCATGCTGCCCACCCGAGCCGAACGTACGAGGGGTGTGTGTGGACAGCGAAGTCCAGGGCAGCGTCCAGGACATTTGCCCGAGTGTCGGCTGCCAGACGGGCAAGCAGACCAAAGAATTTATCAAAGGCTACATCGTCAACTACGACCAGGTCAAGACGTGCGAGTGCTACAGGCGGACCAATTCCTGCTCGAGGAAATTTGACTTTGAGGTGCAGGTTCACTGCGGGGATATCTGCCGCACCAACCTGTCGCAGACTGGGAAGTCGATGGAGAACTTAGAACCGTTTGTCAGGAGGCAGAAACCTCGCGAGCCGGGAGATTTCCCGTTTGAGATGGTGGACTTCGAGGCGCAGGTGACGCCGTGTGACATCAACCCCTGTGACGAGGCGCAGACGGGCGCGTCACTCATGCTGACGGAGCCGTTCCCCCCGGTCAAGCCCTCGCTCAGTGACGACTCGGAGTGTAACGACATGACGTGGGGCGAACTAAGTATCTATGACATGACTCCTGAACACAGAAGCATCTCAGCATATATTAAAACAGCCGAGGAACTATTCCAACGTGAAAAAACGGACCGGACCTTATACCCTTCAAGTGCCAAAACCGCTAAGGCTCCGTCCAAAGTGCGAATGGCAGAAGCAAACCCATCATCAAACGATATGTATAGAAGCAGTCGCCAGCCGAGCCGTTATGATAACACGATGGATCAAGACGACTACAGGAACTACGTATCCACAGACTATATGCCGCCTGAGCAGACGATGGATCATGAACAAGGCGAATTCAGGTAAACTGGTTTGATGTGTAACTGTAAGGATTTAACTAATTCAGGTAAACTGGTTTGATGTGTAACTGTAAGGATTTAACTAATTCAGGTAAACTGGTTTGATGTGGTAATGTAAGGATTTAACTAATTCAGGTAAACTGGTTTGATGTGTAACTGTAAGGAATTGACGAATTCAGGTAAACTGGTTTGATGTGTAACTGTAAGGAATTGACGAATTCAGGTAAACTGGTTTGATGTGGTAATGTAAGGATTAAACGAATTCAGGTAAACTGGTTTGATGTGTAACTGTAAGGAATTGACGAATTCAGGTAAACTGGTTTGATGTGTAACTGTAAGGAATTGACGAATTCAGGTAAACTGGTTTGATGTGTAACTGTAAGGAATTGACGAATTCAGGTAAACTGGTTTGATGTGTAACTGTAAGGAATAAACGAATTCAGGTAAACTGGTTTGATGTGTAACTGTAAGGATTAAACTAATTCAGGTAAACTGGTTTGATGTGTAACTGTAAGGAATTGACGAATTCAGGTAAACTGGTTTGATGTGTAACTGTAAGAAATTAACGAATTCAGGTAAACTGGTTTGATGTGTAACTGTAAGGAATTGACGAATTCAGGTAAACTGGTTTGATGTGTAACTGTAAGAAATTAACGAAATCAGGTAAACTGGTTTGATGTGTAACTGTAAGGAATTGACGAATTCAGGTAAACTGGTTTGATGTGTAACTGTAAGAAATTGACGAATTCAGGTAAACTGGTTTGATGTGTAATTGTAAGAAACAAGGTCATTACAGATATATTAGGTCGTGAATAGGGGTTTTGAAGATATTACCTTGCTTTTACCATCCGAATCTTTTTGACTTTTACTGCTGCTGACGCAAATTCATTGGTACTGACCATAAAATTTAGTTTATATAAGTATTTGTTGGTACTGACCATAAAATATAGCTACAAAAATTACAGTGGAAAAAAGGTTTTGTTGAATATTTTAAAAAATGTATATCAATTAACAATCGGTGAAGGGGTGACGCAAAAAAAAAATCGAATAATTTACAATGAAAACGATGCTTGCTTTTTCCACATGAATTAATTGTTGGATTAATATAATGCGCGCACAAATTGATGACACCAATTCATATATATATTTCATATATATTTCATATATATTTCATATATATATATATATATATATATATATACATATATAGTCTACCGCCCCTGCCCTCCCCCCTCCCAGAACGAAATGGAATTATATAGCAAATATTTACTTTTAACAGTGTCCGCCCCCCGGAAATTTTAGTCCGACCCGCGAAAATTTAAAGTGCGCCCCCACCCCCGGAGAAAAAGTCTGGAAGAAACACTGGATTAATCCACGTATTTGGTTTCAGGTCGGTGCCGCGACGGTATGAATCGCTCACCGTCACAACTTATCAACAGGAGGAGGCCCACGGTAAACATCTACTTTCACTTTCTCTGCTAGTGCGCTGCTTTGCTATTGATAATTTTTTTTTAATGAGGGACAATTTGATTTTTTTTATTATTAGTGTTACATCTCATTTTAACTCATTGAATATCAATGTTCATATGATTTATGACAGTTTTTATGCCCCCTCATACTTTTGAATCTTGTACAGATAAGCCCCACCACTGCAAAAAGTGCACGGATGAAAAGTTAATCCCCGTCACTTTCTGCCAGCTCCAATTTAAATTTTAATGCATGCACACAACTTTGGCCTATTTCTGATGTCTGAACACTTGAAAGTTTAAACGCACGCCAAAAATAAAATAGGGATAGCGTCAGAGTTAATTTTTTTTGTTAGAGTTGGGCTAAGTTGGCTAGGGTTAGGGTTAAAAGCTAAATGTACAAGTTTCATATAATGTTTTCAAAAATCTTTTCTTTTGGTGGATGGGTTAAATTTTCGTCAGGTCTTATCTAGACAAGATCCATAATTTTTTAATGTCCCCATATTTGTTTTTATCACATAAGCAACTGACTCCGTGTTCCTATACATTTTTTGACGGTCAATGTTCCTCTATTTTTTGTTGGTCAGTTTCAACGTCCCTCTATATTTTATGTCTTTTTCAATGTTTCTATATGTCTGTTTCAATGTTCTTCAATTTTTTGATAGTCTGTTTCAATGTTCCTCTATTTTTTGTTAGTCAGTTTCAACGTCCCTCTATATTTTATGTCTGTTTCAATGTTTCTACATGTCTGTTTCAATGTTCTTCAATTTTTTGATAGTCTGTTTCAATGTTCCTCTATTTTTTGTTAGTCAGTTTCAACGTCCCTCTATATTTTATGTCTGTTTCAATGTTTCTATATGTCTGTTTCAACGTTCCTCTATTTTTTGATAGTCTGTTTCAATGTTTCTATATGTCTGTTTCAATGTTCTTCAATTTTTTTATAGTCTGTTTCTATGTTCCTCCATATTCTGTCACGGAATTGTATGTTCCCCAGGTGCTCCCGTGGCTCCCAAGAAAAGATACAACACATTTGGTGCTGGGAAAGCTCTAAAAGACATAGACGACCAAGAGGAAAGTGGCGAAGAGGAGGAGGGTGAAGTTGGAAACAAAGAACATCGGCCGTACAAAAGGAAACGAAAGCCTAACGACGGACCTAGCGTCGGCATCCAAACAGCGCATGACGAAAGGAAGAAAAGTATCCTCTACTGATTAGGTGGACTAATTAGTGACAAGAACAATGAACCAAAAAGTATTCTCTATTAATTTGGTGGCCAGAACAATGAACCAAAAAGTATTCTCTATTGATTCGGTGTCTAGAAAAATGAACTAAGAAAATCAATCTATTCTCTATTAAAAGCTTTTGGGCGTTCCTACTGAAGAAAAAATATATTTTGTGTAAAAAAAATAGAAAATGATTGCTACAAAATATGGACAGACAACATTTGTTTAAGATCTGAAATAAAAGTAACGAAACAAATAAAGTACAAAGACTTTACACCTTCAAAACATTATTTTGCTTCATTTGCAATAATGCCTTCTATTGTTTGAATCGTTTAATGAATTCAATTTGTGTCAAATTTGTTTAATTGATTGTTTTGGGTCACAATACTTTAACTAGGGGGGGGGGGTGGGGGTGGTTAAGCTATTAGCCGCATTATTATACACGCATTTTTCATTTTGTGCGCAATAGTTTTTAGTCATGCAACTATGGTAATAAAAATATTAAAGTACTGAAAAATGCATGAAACCCGTCTTAATAACAAGCTATTTTATAATTATGCACTAAAAAGGAGAAAATGATTTCCTTTAAATATAATAATATTAAATTACTAAAAATGAAAAACGCGTATCGCTTCTTAAATTCCAGTAAAAGTACTAAATACAATATTATATTTAAACAAAATATTTAGTGTTCGTTATTAAATAAAAGCTTGTTTTTATGAATTGTTTTACCTCACTATATAACAAACGACAATGTTTTCACTATGTCAGTAGGATAACTATACCGAGATCTGTTGCTAATTGTTTCTGTAAAAAAAAAATGTGTAGTGTGATCCAGTCAAATGAGGCTCGATAACTCTGTATTGTCATGCTGCCTGGTGAGGTCATTCGCTGCTTTTTATAGGCTGTATCGTGTCGGCTGTGTTGAGGGTAGACGGTACTGGCTACAGTAGCGTACGCAGGGGGGGGGGAGCAGGGGGAGCTGCCGCTCCCCCTCTGGCCATTTTCAGCAAAGTGGCGCCTTTTTGGAAACTTTTTAAACTCAAAGTTTTAAACAATGATATTTGTTAAAAAAATATTTTTGGTCGGCACATCTATGTTTTAAGCATTATTGTACTAGTCTAGTAGTGTCTACGTTTACAACACGTATTAACAGCTACATCAGTTTGTCACTCTTAAAATAACCATTACGATGCATTGGAATTTTTTAAAATCCTCTACCGCTAGTACCACTTGGCAAGAGGGGTGTTAAGTTTAAGGCAACTGTATAATGTATTTGCTTACGAATAATTGCATTAGAAAATGTTATACATAAAACTTCACACATAATTACTTTATATATACAGTTTGAATCGTGTGATTAATTTTTTGAAAATTACAATACAGAAACAAATACAACTGATGTGGCACCTCTATTTAAATTTACTTATGGGCAAGCTGCGTAGTGGTGGGGAAATTTTGGCACGGTCAACAACGTCATTGTCATCACGATGAAGTAGTAGTATTCTTACAGTTTGGGCGATAGTGATACGATTACAAATTATATGAAACTGTTACAACCCCCCTCCCCATGGACCCCTCTGTAAAAAAAAATATTGTCATAATACCACTGCTACTTATTTAAATCTATTTCTGAATCAGTATACATTTGTAATATATATGTATGTTTAGAACAGTCATCTAAAAACTGACGCTATGTTCACTCTGAGTTGGTTATCTCCCCCCCCCCCCCCACACCTCACCACCACATGTCACACCTAGGTATACACTGGGTTGGATAATTGACCTAAAATGACCGGACAGTAAATAGGTGTGTGATCTAACCCATACCTTTCACTATGTTAAAAAATGATCTTTAAGGAACACGAAGAAACTGTAGTTAATTAAAAAATATATGATCTGAACTGTATGACCCGACATTTAGTTCAATGTAGGCTGTTATTCCGAATGTTTATCTATAATACTGAAAAGCGTGGTTTTATACCAACTCTGATTTCAAAAACTTTCATTATGCTGTAATACTTTAGCATTTATGATGACGATATATTTAATTCTAATTATAGACAAAAACATTTTTGTTAACACGAATAGTTTTAAACAATTTCATTATATTCTAAAGTAATTATTTATTTGTTTTGACATTTATAATTAAATGTTTAGATATATACCTATTTATATTAAGAGAGTGATTATTTCCCCTATTTCACTTGTCTTAAATAATTTCCCAGGAATTATTATGTAAGAAATTTTTTACAAGAATTACAAAACAGATTGTGTTACGTTCATTGTTTTTGGTTGTAAAGTGTGTATATTTTGTTTGTTTTTTGTTTAGATTGATACAATTTTTGTTTTGTCGGCCTATATTGTGTGTAATGACATACAGCTAGTAAATATATATATATATATATATATATATATATATATATATATATATATATATATATATATATATATATATATATATATATATTACACGTATATAGAACGTGTTAAAAATTCGGCGCCTTTTTTGCTCTTTTCGCTCCCCCTACAACGAAAACCTGGATACGCCTCTGACTGGCTACTACATTTAACCGCAGGTGTTGATCTCTGATCAGTCGTGTAGCTAATCATTGAATTCAGACGCACACAAGGGGTAAAGCTCAGGGTTGCTAAACCGAAAAGTCTCGAGTTCGAACCCTCGGGCCGATGAGGCTCGTTAGCTGAGGAACAGCCACTCTTCTAGGAGAGACAACTCCAAAATTAAACAACTGTTGCCTTGTAGTTTGTTCTTGGTTGGACAAAGGCTATGGAAAAAAAGAAAAGCAGAATAAAATCGGAGTCAATGAATGTATCAGTTATTTGAAACATTAGTACCTTGTTTCTTCTACTTCTTCGTTCTTGAATATAAATAACTAAAATATCAGAACGAACATGGGAACGAAGACTTTTGCAAAGATGTTGGGGGAGGGATTAAAATTGAGACGTTACACTTGCGAGTAAAAAGGAAGTACTTTTAAATCAGAAATTTAGAATTTTTTGTTTAAAAAAAGGATTAATTGTGTATGCAAAATGGATCCTTAATTAGTAAATATAGTCTTATATTGATCCAGTTGCTAAAATATCTCTAAAAAATAATGTCCTTACTAAAGGGAAACTATTCAAATAATGTTTGGACAAAACATCCACGTTTAACTTTGCTACATGTAGCCAATAATTTGCATGTCTAGAAAAAAAAACGCACAGTATAACGCGGTTTAGCAGGGCAAGGAAACAAAACAAAAGGGTAGAGTGGCCTGCTTAAATGCGATGTCATTGTAGGGGGGTCTACCTTTTGGTAACGATGTCTAACCATCAGAGTTTCTTTCATGAATTTCTTCGGTCTAACCCCCCTTTCCCCCGAACGAAATATAATTTATATAGAAAATATATTTTTTTATCATTGTCTTCCTTCCCCCCCCCCCCCCTTGGAGAAAAAGGTCTGGAAGAAACACCGCTAACCATGGTGATGGTTAAAGGGGCTAAAAGCTGGCAAAAACAGCGGGACGTCGTTTACAGACGATTTTTCCCTAGAAGGTAGCAAAACTTAATCGTCCAACAATGACCTGACATATTACGTGCAACAGCTTAGCTTTAATGTCCATACTCAGAGAACTTTCCAGGTTGACACTTGATTGCAGTACGTGTGTAGTACTGTGTAGGGTTATCGCGGGAAGATCAAAACCTTTCATCTTACACGCCTTAACCAGGGGAAAACATGTGCATCTATATCGGGCACCGTTGCTGTTGGGAATTGTGTATGGTAAATCATCGAGTGGGGAAGATGCAAAGAGGAGGGGCTTCTTGTCTGATCACATGGTGACTAGCGATTTGTTACCATTTTTTTTGGGGTAATCCCGTTTTGTAAACTAGGCGTAGCGCACCAGCTTGAACTGGTCTTGTGCACACAATACGTCAATTCCGACAAAGTGCCATCGTTGCTGGTTGTCGCTTGAGTGTTTTGCTGAGGATCCATCTCGACATATCCTGTCGATCCTCTGTAAAAGACACTAGAACCAAAACCCAGCCGAACAGTAAACCCTGCTAAAGATGAGTGTTTCTTTTACCTTTAGAATTTAACACCTTACCGTTGCCAAGTCGCCACAACTTCAACCTATTACAATAGACTTACAGCGCCCTAAATCATATCAGATTTTTAAAAGATTATCTCAAGTTTAACTTGAAGTTTGAGCGGTTATTGTATATGCACAAAGCAGTTATTCCCAGTTAATCAGCATAGATTAGCACGGGATCAAACCGTTACCTTCAAGTACCAAAGTCAAACGAACAAGTCTGCTTCATTACTTTGTCCTACCTTATTCAAGTCTCCGCAATCCAACATATGAACATTTGTAATTACTTAATTAAACCAAAATTTTCCAGGAAGTCTAGCTAAGTTTAGGTGTGACTATACACGACTTACAACTAACACCCTACTTGAAAAATGCAGTCGTCTAAAAAATGTGTAAGCTCCCAAACTGACGATTTATATTTACCCTGCTCTAGCTCCCAAACTGACGATTTATATTTACCCTGCTCTATCAACCAACATATTACTCACAAAATCAATTTTTGTGAAGTATACCCAATTCTGGATGAAAAATCGTAAGTCACGCCCGGAAAACGGACAACGTGTCTCATTGTTTTACCTCACATTGTTGTACCTCACATTGTTTTACCTCTCATTGTTTTACCTCACATGTTGTACCTCACTTCTTGTACCTCACTTGTTGTACCTCACATGTTGTTCCTCACTTGTTGTACCTCACATTGTTGTACCTCACATGTTGTACCTCACATGTTGTATCTCACATTGTTGTACCTCACACGTTGTACCTCACATGTTGTACCTCACATGTTGTACCTCAAGTTGTTGTACCTCTCATGTTGTACCTCCCATGTTGTACCTCACATGTTTTACCTCACATTGTATCTCATTGTTGTACCTCATATTGTATCTCATTGTTGTACCTCATATAGTATCTCATTGTTGTACTTCACATGTTGTACATTACATTGTTGTACCTCACATGTTGTAACTCACATGTTGTACCTCACATGTTGTACCTCACATGTTGTACCTCACATGTTGTACCTCACATTGTTGTACCTCACATGATGTACCTCACTTGTTGTACCTCACATTGTTGTACCTCACATGTTGTACCTCACATGTTGTACCACACATGTTGTACCTCACATGTTGTACTTTACATCTTGTACCTCACATGTTGTACCTCACGTTGTTGTACCTCACATGTTGTACCTCACATTGTATCTCATTGTTGTACCTCATATTATATCTCATTGTTGTACCTCACATTGTATCTCATTGTTGTACTTCACATGTTGTACATTACATTGTTGTACCTCACATGTTGTACCTCACATTGTTGTACCTCACATTGTATTTCATTGATGTACCTCATATTGTATCTCATTGTTGTACCTCATATTGTATCTCATTGTTGTACCTCATATTGTATCTCAATGTTGTACCTCACATGTTGTACCTCACATTGTTGTACCTCACATGTTGTACCTCACTAGTTGTACCTCACATGTTGTACCTCACATGTTGTACCTCACATGTTGTACCTCACATGTTGTACCTCACTAGTTGTACCTCACATTGTTGTACCTTACATGTTGTACCTAACATGTTGTACCTCACATGTTGTACCTCACATGTTGTACCTCACATGTTGTACCTCACATGTTGTACCTCACATGTTGTATCTCACATGTTGTACCTCACATGTTGTACCTCACATGTTGTACCTCACATGTTGTATCTCACATGTTGTACCTCACATGTTGTACCTCACATGTTGTACCTCACATGTTGTACCTCACATGTTGTACCTCACATGTTGTACCTCACTTGTTGTACCTCACATGTTGTACCTCATATGTTGTACCACACATGTTGTACCACACATGTTGTACCTCACTTTGTTGTACCTTATGTTATATCTCATTATAGTCCCTCAAACATCAGGAATGTGGTGCTGCAGACTCCGTGTCAGACCCAGCCCCCATCTCGCTCGCCTTTGATTCCAGCAACAGCTGCTGTGGCCGAGGACGCCTCGCTCTTCGTCATGGACGGTCTGCAGGCCAAGGAGAAGAGTGTGCTCCACAGTCTGAACGACAATCTGCACAGCGACGCTGACATCAGGAGGGCGGTGGACACGGACGACGACAGGCACACCGAGGACAGCTCCAAGTCGTCCACGGTGACCAACATCAGCAGTGTTAACTAGCAGATAGGCAGCTGGCGCAGAAGAAGAAAGTTTGCCCACTGCAAGTTCATACCTTCCCAACGCTCAGCTCTACTGCACCTACCTACGTCCCGGACGTGGCGAGGCGGTTGTCCATCGAATCTCCCCTGGAAAACCTAATGACAACACGTACGAACGGCCTAATCCTCTCCAGCCTGAATTAAGGGGAGAGTTTGAACTCATCAGTAAAAAGCATAAACCCTTTGACTCAAAATCTGGTTTTAGAGAATGGAACTCTGCTGGTTGATGAGCAACCAAATAGCCCACACCACCAACAAAGAAGAAACGCCGCTGATGGCCAAAGTTTGATGTGTAAATATATTATAAGCAATAAACGAATTCAGTTAAACTGGTTTGATGTGTAAATATAAGCAATAAACGAATTCAGTTAAACTGGTTTGATGTGTAACTGTAAGGAATAAACGAATTCGGGTAAACTGGTTTGATGTGTAACTGTAAGGAATTAACGAATTCAGGTAAACTGGTTTGATGTGTAACTGTAAAGAATTAACGAAATCAGGTAAACTGGTTTGATGTGTAACTGTAAGGAATTAACGAATTCAGGTAAACTGGTTTGATGTGTAACTGTAAGGAATTAACGAATTCAGGTAAACTTGTTTAATGTGTAATTGTAAGAAACAAAGTTATTACAGATATATTAGGTCGTGAATAGGGGTTGTGAAGATATTACCTTGCTTTTACCATCCGAATCTTTTTTTACTTTTACTGCTGAAGACGCAATATCATTGGTACTGACGATAAAATTTAGTTTATATAAGTATTCAATAAGATATCAATTAACAATCGGGGCGGGGGTGACAAAATAAATCAAATAATTTACGATGAAAACGATGCTTTTTCCACATGAATTAATTGTTGGATTAATATAATGCGCACAAATTGAGGACATTAGACAAAATGGAAAGGGGTGACACCAATTCAATTTCAACTATATTATATTATTATATGTAGACCTTATATATATATATATATATATATATATATATATATATATATATATATATATATATATATATATATATATATATACAATATATATATGTATATATATATAAATATATATATATGTATATATATATATATATATATATATATATATATATATATATATATATATATATATATATATAATTATATATATATATATATACAATATATTATAGTCTTCTGCCCCCCCCCCTTTCCCAGAACGAAATGGAATTATATAGCAAATATTTACTTTTAATTGTGTTCGCCCCCCCCCCCCCCCCGGAAATTTTAGTCCGACCCGCGAAAATTTAAAGTGCGCCCCCACCCCTGGAGAAACAGTCTGGAAGAAACACTGGATTAATCCACGTATTTGGTTTCAGGTCGGTGCCGCGACGGTACGAATCGCTCACCGTCGCAACTTATCAACAGGAAGAGACCCACGGTAAACATCTACTTTCACTTTCTCTGCTGGTGCGCTGCCTTTCTATTGGTTAATTTTTAGCGCAATTTCCATTCTGGAGAATTGCGTTTATTAACCCGTCATTTCTGGATGTATGAATGTATGAATGAATGGATGTGTGTCCGCAGCTTTAAGTCGTATCTCCTCCTCAACGAAGCAATATCGAGGACTAGTTCCAAGCAATTATGTTTAAGCAAGTTACGAGGATGAACATAGGCCAAAAAAATTCCGGGTTTCTCTTATGGATTTCCCGGAAAAGCCAAAAAACCTCGAAAAAATGCAGTTTTTGGCCCATATCTCGGCAACCAGACCACTTAGCGACTTGAAACATGTACCAATCAATTTCAGTTGTAATTTAGAACAATATTGCCGAAGAAAGTTTTCAAAAATATCCTTTCGTTCGGTCACAAAAAAAGTTTTTGAATTAATTAAAATTTGGACCGAATTAGTAGGCATTTTTATCCAACCACACCACACGCGTCATCACGTTCAATAGCTGCGCCATCACGTTCAATGGCTGCGTCATCACGTTCAGTAGCTAGGCGCGCAATGGTTTTTATTCATGTAACTCTATTGTAAATAAAACATGTATTTTAACCAATGGTTTTACTAACCCTGCTCTTGATTTACGCTACGACAGAGCTATTTTTAGATAACATAAGGAAATTGCGCTAAAATTGTCACTAGACTTTTTATTAATGAGGGACAATTTTTTTAATGAGGGACAATTTGATTTTTTTATTATTATTAGTGTTAAGTGTTAAGGGTGAAAAGTTAATCCCCGCCACTTTTGCCAGCTCCAATTTAAATTTTAATGCATGCACACAACTTTGGCCTATTTCTGATTTCTGAACACTTGAAAGTTTAAACGCACGCCAAAAATAAAATAGGGATAGCGTCAGAGTTAATTTTTTTGTTAGAGTTGGGCTAAGTTGGCTAGGGTTAGGGTTAAAAGCTAAATGTACAAGTTTCATATAATGTTTTCAAAAATCTTTTCTTTTGGTGGATGGGTTAAATTTTTGTCAGGTCTTATCTAGACAAGATCCATAATTTTTTAATGTCCCCATATTTGTCTTTATCACATAAGCAACTGACTCCGTGCTCCTATACATTTTTTGACAGTCAATGTTCCTCTATTTTTTGTTAGTCAGTTTCAACGTCCCTCTATATTTTATGTCTGTTTCAATATTTCTATATGTCTGTTTCAATGTTCTTCAATTTTTTGATAGTCTGTTTCAATGTTCCTCTATTTTTTGTTAGTTTCAACGTCCCTCTATATTTTATGTCTGTTTGAATGTTTCTATATGTTTGTTTCAATGTTCTTCAATTTTTTGATAGTCTGTTTCAATGTTCCTCTATTTTTTGTTAGTCAGTTTCAACGTCCCTCTATATTTTATGTCTGTTTCAATGTTTCTACATGTCTGTTTCAATGTTCTTCAATTTTTTGATAGTCAGTTTCAACGTCCCTCTATATTTTATGTCTGTTTCAATGTTTCTATACGTCTGTTTCAACGTTCCTCTATTTTTTGATAGTCTGTTTCAAGGTTTCTATATGTCTGTTTCAATGTTCTTCAATTTTTTAAGTCTGTTTCAATGTTCCTCCATATTCCCCAGGTGTTCCCGGGGCACCCAAGAAAAGATACAACACATTTGGTGCTGGGAAAGCTCTAAAAGACATAGACGACCAAGAGGAAAGTGGCGAAGAGGAGGAGGGTGAAGCTGGAAACAAAGAACATCGGCCGTACAAAAGGAAACGAAAGCCTAACGACGGACCTAGCGTCGGCATCCAAACAGCGCATGACGAAAGGAAGAAAAGTATCCTCTACTGATTAGGTGGACTAATTAGGTGGCCAGAACAATGAACCAAAAAGTATTCTCTATTAATTTGGTGCCCAGAACAATGAACCAAAAAGTATTCTCTATTAATTTGGTGGCCAGAACAATGAACCAAAAAGTATTCTCTATTAATTTGGTGGCCAGAACAATGAACCAAAAAGTATTCTCTATTAATTTGGTGGCCAGAACAATGAACCAAAAAGTATTCTCTATTGATTCGGTGTCAAGAAAAATAAACGAAAAGGTATTCTCTAATGATTCGGTGTCTAGAAAAAAATAAAAATATTCTGTATTGATTCGGTGTCTAGAAAAATGAACTAAGAAAATCAATATATTCTCTATTAAAAGCTTTTGGGCGTTCCTACTGGAGAAAAAATATATTTTGTGTGAAAAAAATAGAAAATGATTGCCTACAAAATATGGACAGTCAACATTTGTTTAAGATCTAAAATAAAAGTAACGAAACAAATAAAGTACAAAGACTTTACACCTTCAAAACATTATTTTGCTTCATTTGCAATAATGCCTTCTATTGTTTGAATCGTCTAATGAATTCAATTTGTGTCAAATTTGTTTAATTGATTGTTTTGGGTCACAATACTTTAACTAGGGGGGGGGGGAGCTTTTAGCCGCATTATTATACACGCATTTTTCATTTTGTGCGCAATAGTTTTTAGTCATGCAACTATGGTAATAAAAATATTAAAGTACTGAAAAAAGGAATGAAACCCGTCTTAATAAGAAGCTATTTTATAATTATGCACTAAAAAGGAGAAAATAAATGATTTCCTTTAAATATAATAATGAATAACTATTTAAATTACTAAAATGAAAAACGCGGATCGCTTCTTAAATTCCAGTTAAAGTATTGAATACAATATACTATATTTAAACAAAATATTTATTGTTCATAATTAAATAAAAGCTTGTTTTTATGAATTTTTTTTTACCTCACTGTACAACAAACGACAATGTTTTCATTATATCAGTGGGATAACAATACCGAGATCTGTTGCTAATTGTTTCTGTAAAAAAAAAAAATTTGTGTAATGTGATCCAGTCAAACGAGGCCCTCCCCTCCCCCCCCCCCCACCCCCCCCCCCCCCCCGAAAAAATTGGAATTTTAATCCATTTTAAATGCTTAAACTTTTAAAAATAGAATAAAATCTCGTAGCAAAAAGAATTGCACACATGTAAACGCCAAATAAAACGTGCATAATAGTGCGGAATATTATTAGTACTTTATAAATTTACATTCGTTTTTTGAGAAATCGGAAATAGCGTAAATTAGTACTTTCAATCAACGGAAATTACTCAAAATTTGATAGCAGGTAGAGAATTAGATCTTTTACTTACATGTGAAATGTCATTTATCTATCTGAAATAGTACTCAAGTTATAGGCTTTTTAAAAATTTAGAAAAAGTACCACTTCCGGATGTGATGAAGGACTGAGGAGTAAAACGGTGAAAACTGTCAAAATTTCATGTTATTTTTGTGCACGATTACAATACTTTCTCTATACTTCGTATATACGAGAAAGTAATAATATCCTTACTAAAGGGAAACTACTCAAAAAATGTTTGGACAAAACATCCACGTTTAACTTTGCTACATGTAGCCAATAATTTGCATGTCTAGAAAAAAAACCGCACAGTATAACGCGGTGTTGCAGGGCAAGATAACATAACAAAAGGGTAGAGTGGCCTGCTTAAAAGCGATGTCATTGTAGGGGGGTCTACCTTTTGGTAACGATGTCTAACCATTAGAGTTTCTTTCATGCATTTCTTCGGTCTAACCCCCCCTTCCCCCCGAACGAAATATAATTTATATAGAAAATAAATTTTTATCATTGTCTTCGGTCTATCTCCCCCCCCCCCCTTGGAGAGAAAGGTCTAGAAGAAACACAGCTAACCATGGTGATGGTTGAAGGGGCTAAAAGCTGGCAAAAACAGCGGGACGTCGTTTATGGACGATTTTTCCCTAGAAGGTAGCAAAACTTAATCGTCCAACAATGACCTGACATATTACTTGCAACAGCTTAGCTTTAATGTCCATACTCAGAGAACTTTCCAGGTCGACACTTGATTGCAGTACGTGTGTAGGGAAGATCAAAACCTTTCATCTTACTACACGCCTTACCCAGGGGAAAACATGTGCATCTAAATCGGGCACCGTTCCTGTTGGAAATTGTGTATGGTAAATCATCTATTGGGGAGGATGCAAAGAGGAGGGGCTTCTTGTCTGATCACATGGTGACTAGCGATTTGTTACCATTTTTGTTGGGGTAATCCCGTTTTGTAAACTAGGCGTAGCGCACCACCTTGAACTGGTCTTGTGCACACAATACGTCAATTCCGACAAAGTGCCATCGTTGATGGTTGTCGCTTGAGTGTTTTGCTGAGGATCCATCTCAACATATCCTGTCGGGCCTCTGTAAAAGACACTAGAACCAAAACCCAGCCGAACAGTAAACCCTGCTTAAGATGAGTGTTTCTTGTACCTTTAAATTCTAACACCTTACCGTTGCCAAGTCGCCATCAACTTCAACCTATCAATCAACTTTTACAATAGACTTACAGCGCCCTAACTAAACCATATAAGATTTTTTAAAGATAATCTCAAGCTAAACGAGAAGATACTGATTGTTTGAGCGGTTATTGTATATGCACAAAGCAGTTATTCCCAGTTAATCAGCATAGATTAGCACGGGATAAAACCGTTACCTTCAAGTCCCAAAGTCAAACGAACAAGTCTGCTTCATTACTTTGTCCTACCTTATTCAAGTCTCCGCAATCCAACATATGAACATTTATAATTACTTAATCTTAATTAAACCCAAATTTCCCAAGAAACCTAGCTAAGTTTAGGTGTGACTATAGAAATGCAGTCGTCTATGAAAAATGAAAGCTGTCAGACAGATAACTTAGCCATCCCCTGCTCTAGCTCCCAAACTGATGATTTATATTTACCCTGCTCTAGCTCCCAAACTGATGATTTATATTTACCCTGCTCTATCCACCAACATATTACTCACAAAATAAATTTTTGTGAAGTATACACAATTCTGGATGAAAAATCGTAAGTCACGCCCGGAAAACGGACAACGTGTCTCATTGTTTTACCTCACATTGTTGTACCTCACATTGTTTTACCTCACATTGTTTTACCTCACATGTTGTACCTCACTTCTTGTACCTCACTTGTTGTACCTCACATGTTGTTCCTCACTTGTTGTACCTCACATTGTTGTACCTCACATGTTGTACCTCACATTGTTGTACCTCACATGTTGTACCTCCCATGTTGTACCTCACATGTTGTACCTTACGTTGTTGTACCTCACATGTTGTACCTCTCATGTTGTACCTCACATGTTTTACCTCACATTGTATCTCATTGTTGTACCTCATATTGTATCTCATTGTTGTACCTCATATTGTATCTCATTGTTGTACCTCATATAGTATCTCATTGTTGTACTTCACATGTTGTACATTACATTGTTGTACCTCACATGTTGTACCTCACATGTTGTACCTCACATGTTGTACCTCACATGTTGTACCTCACATGTTGTACCTCACATGTTGTACCTCACATTGTTGTACCTCACATGCTGTACCTCACTTGTTGTACCTCACATGTTGTACCTCACATGTTGTACCTCACATGTTGTACCTCACATGTTGTACCTCACATGTTGTACCTCACTTGTTTTACCTCACATTGTTGTACCTCACATGTTGTACCTCACATTGTTGTACCTCACATGTTGTACCTCACATGTTGTACCTCACATGTTATACCTCACATGTTGTACCTCACATGTTGTACCTCACATGTTGTACCTCACTTGTTTTACCTCACATTGTTGTACCTCACATGTTGTACCTCACATTGTTGTACCTCACGTTGTTGTACCTCACGTTGTTGTTCCTCACATGTTGTACCTCACATTGTTGTACCTCACATTGTTGTACCTCACATGTTGTACCACACATGTTGTACCTCACGTTGTTGTACCTAATGTTATATCTCATTGTTGTCCCTCAAACCTCAGGAATGTGGTGGTGCTGACGTCGTGTCGGACCCAGCTCCCATCTCGCTCACCTTTGATTCCAGCAACAGCAGCTGTGGTCGAGGACGCCTCGCTCTTCGTCATGGACGGTCTGCAGGCCAAGGAGAAGAGTGTGCTCCACAGTCTGAACGACAGTCTGCACAGCGACGCTGACAGCAGGAGGGCGGCAGACACGGACGACGACAGGCACACCGAGGACAGCACGCGCTCCAAGTCGTCCATGGTCACCAACGTCAGCAGTGTTAACTAGCAGACAGGCAGCTGGCGCAGAAGAAGACAGTTTTCCCACTGCAAGTTTATACCTTCCCAACGCTCAGCTCTACTGCACCTACCTACGTCCCGGACGTGGCGAGGCGATTGACCATCGAATCCCCCCTGGAAAACTTAATGATTCACACCACATACGAACGGCCTAACCCTCTCCAGCCTGAACTAAGGGGAGAGTTTGAACTCACCAGTAAAAAGCAGAGAATCTATTTGGGAGGAAAGGAAGATTACATCGATACGGAGGGTACGCGGAGGTTGGTCTGTGAAACGGAATGTTTCACGTCCAAAGACCCTTTGACTCAAAAAGACTATTGCAAAGATTTTGGGGAAGGTGTTGAAATTGAGATGTTACACTTGCGAGCAAAATAAAAGCATTTTTAAATCAGAAATTTAGAATTTTTTGTTTAAAAAAAGGATTAATTGTGTAAGAAAATTGATCCTTAATTAGTAAATATAGTCTTATATTGATCCAGTTTCTAAAATATCTCTAAAAATAATGTTTGGACAAAACATCCACGTTTAACTTTGCTACATGTAGCCAATAATTTGCATGTCTAGAAAAAAAAACCGCACAGTATAACGCGGTTTAGCAGGGCAAGGAAACAAAACAAAAGGATAGAGTGGCCTGCTTAAAAGCGATGTCATTTTAGGGGGTCTACCTTTTGGTAACGATGTCTAACCATTAGAGTTTCTTTCATGCATTTCTTCGGTCTAACCCCCCTTCCCCCGAACGAAATATAATTTATATAGAAAATATATATTTTTATCACTATCTTCTTTTTACCCCTCCCCCCCCCCCCCCCCTTCGGAGAGAAAGGTCTGGAAGAAACACCGCTAACCATGGTGATGGTTGAAGGGGCTAAAAGCTGGCAAAAACAGAGGGACGTCGTTTACAGACGATTTTTCCCTAGAAGCTAGCAAAACTTAATCGTCATACAATGACCTGACATATTACTTGCAACAGCTTAGCTTTAATGTCCATACTCAGAGAACTTTCCATGTCGACACTTGATTGCAGTACGTGTGTAGGGTTATCGCGGGAAGATCAAAACCTTTCATCTTACTACACGCCTTACCCAGGGGAAAACATGTGCATCTAAATCGGGCGCCGTTCCTGTTTGGAATTGTTTATGGTAAATCATCGAGTGGGGAAGATGCAAAGAGGAGGGGCTTCTTGTCTGATCACATGGTGACTAGCGATTTGTTACCATTTTTGTTAGGGTAATCCCGTTTTGTAAACTAGGCGTAGCGCACCAGCTTGAACTGGTCTTGTGCACACAATACGTCAAGTCCGACAAAGAGCCATCTTTGATGGTTGTCGCTTGAGTGTTTTGCTGAGGATCCATCTCGACATATCCTGTCGGGCCTCTGTAAAAGACACTAGAACCAAAACCCAGCCGAACAGTAAACTCTGCTAAAGATGAGTGTTTCTTTTACCTTTAAAATTTTATTTTAACACCTTACCGTTGCCAAGTTGCCATCAACTTCAACCTATCAATCAACCATTTTACAATAGACTTACAGCGCCCTAAGCCCTAAACTAGATCTATATCAGATTTTTGAAAGATAATCTCAAGCTAAACGAGAAGATACCGATTGTTTGAGCGGTTATTGTATATGCACAAAGCTGTTATTCCCAGTTAATCAGCACAGATTAGCACGGGATCAAACCGTTACCTTCACGTCCCAAAGTCAAACGGACAAGATTAATTACTTTGACCTACCTTATTCAAGTCTCCGCTATCCAACATATGAACATTTATAATTACTTATTTAAACCCAAATTTCCCAGGAAGTCTAGCTAAGTTTAGGTGTGACTATACACGACTTACAACTAACACCCTACTTGAAAAATGCAGTCGTCTATGAAATATGGGAAGTCAAATCGCAAAAGGACTGAGTCACCTAAAAAAACAAGAATTTCCATATGTGATCCAGAAATCGTCGCTCCCCGCCCACCAAGTGACCCCTGCCCCGATGACACGAAACATGGGTGCATGAATAAAAGTATATTTAACTCCTGCTCAGAACCGAGAAGACCGCTTGTCGGCGATAACGTTCAAAAAGAGGACTTCTATACCCAAGTGATGGCATCAGACATTACCCGCCCAGACGGCACGCAGACAGGTTCCTCGCTCCGACTGAGAAATCCCGAACTACCAACACGATGTGGCGACCGGTCGAGGCACAAAGCCGGCAGAAAAAACTGGGATGTCTACGCTGGCTGTGAATGCCCAAAGAAGTCCCATTTCGAGGGGGAGGAAGACTTTGGTCTACAGGTTGACGCGCGAGACCTTGGGACCAGCGAGTCGGTGCAGACGGGCTCGTCCCTAGCAGACAATGTCCCGGGTAGACATGACACGCTCAGGTGTGGCAAGTGGCCCAAAGACGGTGATGTGTGCGACTGTCCCAAACAGTTTGTACCCAGCGTTCCGTGTCGTGAGAACATGTAAGTTTGAGATTCTAGTCTAGTGTGAGCGGGTGCAAGGGCTTTGGGTGGCACTTTAAAAACTACATGGGGCGGTGTTTATTGTCCGCGAATTTTGTATCCCGGAATGTTGCTCCCTGGGTTTAGTAAACGGTATTGCTTTTTCTCTACGTGTTTTTACTTGTACAATTAGATTCTTGCTTTTAAATGACCTCGTGCCCCAAACAGGGAGGGGAGGGCATCGGACTTTGTGAAGCGTGTGAAGTGTTGAAGCTTTTAAGTTGTCCTATTAAGCTTCTTTTATCATATTGTTCTAGTTATTACACCTAATAATACAAAACATTTTTGACTCAATTTACTGTATACCACATGTGCTAATAAATACATTCCCCGTGTAGGGATGGCTGCATAGGATTCAAACAACAGGTGATAGCCTCAGATATACAGGTAACCAATGGTGTACAGACAGGCTGTTCACTAACCATGCTGATTCGGTGCCCAGAATACTGCAAAGAAGGTCAAGTGATTCTCTTTGGCTGCGCCAACCGACCTCCAGGCTGCAGACCCAGCAGAGTGTACATCAGCAGTGAGCAGTTCCAGCAGTGTGAATGTCCAGGTCAAGCACAGCCCAAGGGTCCCAGCAAACATCACAGCACACAGGTCAAGGCCACGGATATATCACCAAGCCAGGGTGTCCAAACAGACAAGTGCCTGTACCTCCCCTGCATCAGCGCACAAATATTCAAGAGCAGGGATTGGGAGGAGTGTAAGGTGTGTCAGCGCACATCCAATGGCTCCATGCCACAGCAGGATGTTTCCCTACAAGTTTACACACTGGAAATCAGTACCTGCGATGACACACAAACCTACGAACATGATGTTGATAAATGTATGCCACGAAAACGACAAGTCTGTAAGAAAAATGGTCAGAAGATTGAACTCACAGGAAAAGCCAAGAAATTTAGTGCTGATAACTGTTCTAAACCACACCCACAGTCCAACGGCCCATTAGTGGATAATGAAACCCAAGTCAAAGCAAATGACATCAAATCTACTTCAGGCCAATAAATACTAGCTCACAATACCATTTCACAGTTCCAAGATCTGGCAAGTTTTAAATAACATTTCTATTGAGACCTGTATTTAAAAACTGAACAATTCAAATGTGTGTTAAAACAGTTATATTTTTTATTGAGGGGCAATGATGTATCAGTGTTGTATGTACAGTTGAATCTTAAAATAATAGAAGTGAAATAACAGATGAATATATTACAAACACTATTATGGCTGACACTCTGCTTATATTACAGTATGATACAGAAGCTTACCTTCCCCACACAGTGATGAAAAACTCTCATTATCATCATAAACTGGCTAAACAGTGTAACAATAATCATGAGATCAGAGCACTTTTTACTAGGTGAAAACAAATAAATCACTTAAATGTCACAAATTAAATCCTAATGAAATCAATCTTCACTATGAAAGGATCGAATAAAAATGTAGTTGTAAACACTCTATTAACAAGTCAAAAGTGGGAAAAAAAACTTTTTTCCTGCAGCATAAATATCATCTATCTTAAGTCTATCTGATAACATTTAAAACTGAATATGAATTAATGTTTACTTTCAATAGAAGATAATTGTGGCTAAAAAGTACACAACAAAAACTTAAAAAAAAAAACAACAAACAACCAAACATTGCTGGCTGGTTTTACAATTTAAAAATATAGCAAACTTTTAAACTGAAAGTTCAACTAAATAAAACAAGAAATTTGTTGAACCAAATATAAAAATGTAGTGTTGATTAAATGATTTATAAATTGAATATAGCAAGTATGGAAAAACTTACAATAAAGACCCAGTAGATGTTAGAATGTCTTTCTATGAACATGAATTAAACTATAAAGAAACACATTTCTATTTTTTTTTCAAACCTGCAGCGTTTACCAAAAAAAAAAAAAAAAACCAGTTATTTTTTCTGATCAGAGGGGTAATCTTGTGTAGTTTATTGTTTATTTAGAACGTGACCAGAAACACAGAAAGTCAAAATATTCACTGGTAATACCCCTCTTTTAGTCATTTCATCTCATTGTTTGCAATTTTAAATATTTGTTTAGAATCAAAACTTGTATAATTTTGAGTTGTTATAAGGGTCTGTTAAATTTTTTCTGACTTCATAATTGTAATAATTCTCTATGATTGACTGCTGTGTTGTGTCTAAAAATATAAAGCAGGGTAATGCTGGATTTCTATCAAATAAAGAGATGAATATAGAAATATAGACAGTATTTCTTATTTAAGACTTATTTAAGAAGAAGACTTAATTCCTGTTGAACACACAAGCCAACTACCTCTGCTGGCCCACTACAACTGACACACATGAGAAACTACTTGATATTTTTTCCTGAGATAATGAAATATACAGTGCTCTTAAAAATTACCTTAAAATTACATCATATATGTGAAATGATTAAAATAATGGGATTGCCCTCACTTAACTGAACAGTCAGTATCACAATATTCACAATCTTGCCTATTTTGAATTTAGTATCTATTTGGCTGAGATTCTAAACTATTTTCCCCTGCTATATATTTATGAATTAGTTTCTCATCTTTCAATAAACTTTGTATGTTTAAGGTGAAAACTATCCAATGTTGCAAGCAATAATACAGCTGATTGTTTACACAAGGGCATATCTGACCAGTTTGTTTTTCTCAATGTTATTAGCACCTATATCTAGATAAGCATTTACATATTTTGTTCGAACTTAAAAAAAAATAATGAAGAGGATGTACAAAAGACACCTGCATGGAACTTTCTAAACAGAAATAAAAAATAAAACTAGAAGTTTTAATGGAAAAAAAAACCCCATCATCCATAATAAAACTATGTTGCTAAATAGAGAAACCAATTCTAGAAACGGTTTTATTTAAAAGTTTGATGTTCAATAAAAAAAAAATCTTGCTGATATTTTTTTGGAGATGGTGGAAATAAATGCCCATAGATCGATAGTGTATGAGTCAATGTTATTTAGATGGTGCTATTTTACAAAGCTCTATTATTTCTTTGCTATTGAAAAGTAACATTTTTAATACAGAATTTCAAAATACAAATCTAAATAGTCTCACTCACCCTAAGTAATTCATTAGATAAGAACAGTAGAATGGACAAATACAAACATTCACTGTTTACTGTGACATTAGAAAAATGAAATCCTAGTTGACAAAAAAACAATACCCTATTTATTCATATAACGTAACTGTTGTGGATTAAACATGATGAAATAATTTAACATGTGATTTTTTTTCCGAGTTTTGAATAGAATATTGAATCCTAGTGCATGTTTACAAGGTGTTCTTTCCTGTACACTACAATACATCTTACACTATGTACATATTTTTAACATACTAGGAAGTTGATACTGGAAAATTGGTACTGAATGTGCCACATCCTAATTATTCATCTTCAATTATAAACTAAGTCATTTAGGATAAATTAACAGAATAAAAATTTCTACTTAGCTATAGTAAATTGATCAATTGTACAGTATATAAAGACGCATGGTGATTGAAGGAAAATTCAACTATGAATTTGATGTAACAACAAAAATTTATCAGTTGTACTGATAAAGTTCCATAATTATTTATAAAACTGCATCACAGATGATGAAAACATATATTTACAGTCATATTTACCAGTGACAACACACACTTGTAACAGATGGGTTACAGTGTTATATCCTCAAAATTAAACAACCTTCAAATGCATTTACAACTACTTATTCTTTGATAGACTTGTCTATTTCCCTCAAATCTAAATAGTGCAAATCAAATGTAGCAGGTTTTAAAAAGCTACAAAACTTTAAATACTGAAAGCTAACACTAACAGTGTTTTTCCTAAAATTAAAAACAAATGAACCACTGCATAGCATGTTATCAATAATCTAAAAGAACAATATACACTGGCCATGTATTATATACAGTAACTTATTTCATTAACAATTTGCTAACATTTATGCAAAATAACCTTTTTATTCATCTGCTATTTATTAAAACTCTATATAAAACATTAAAAAGGTGATGTAGTAGTTTTTAAAACAAAACATTAAAGTGTTGCTTTTAGAGTAAAAATCTTTTTGAAAAAAAAAATGCTTCAATTATCTCTCCCTATCTAAAGCCTTAAATTGTTGAAAACTTAATTCAAAATTAAAACAGGACACTACAGTTTTACTGATTTAAACCTCTCAATATCAGCAGTATTTGTGTGATTATCAACAGGCTACTGTTTAGCCACTGGCCCTTTGACTATAAAGGTGATAAGCTCCAATTTCAAAAGGCACCTTTCTGAACAGTTTTATTTTCCAGACTATAATAACTACATCTTGTTGTTTTCAACCTGGGTCAAATAAGATGTGAAACAAAAATTAAAACCAAATTTGAACCCACATTTAAAACAGTTACATGTAATTGAATTATGCCAAAGTGATTAATCTTTAGAATCTAAACTGGAACAATTTAATCTGTTTAATACATGTAAATATTATGCAGGAAGGAAGCCTTTAGAATTATATTTTTAAGATTTTTAAAATTCACAATATAGTTTTCTATTATTAGAATTAAAATATTTGAAAGGAGATTAAAATAATTTTTTTTCTAAAGTCCAATTTAAAAAAAAATGATATACAATATTTTACTAAGTTAAAAATTATGCAACATGACAAGTACCTACTGAACAGCTTTAACCAGATTTTTACAACTAATACTTCCATACTAAACATGCTCTTATTTTGTTTTACAAGGTTAATTTCTTTTTATGAAAAAAAACAACAACAAAAAAACAGTTTTTATAGTGTGTATTGTAGTTAGAATTTAAGTTTTTCTTTTTACTTTGAATGTAAAAAATACCAACAGATAATCAAACCCATAAACAAATAAGTGTTCAGAAAATTCACTAAGTTAATTTCAAAATTAGTTTGCATAAAGGAGTTAAGAAGCAAGAAGAATGAATGATGTAAACTGCTTGAAATGTATTCATCAGAAAAAAAAGCCAAATTAAAATTGAATCCATTGTTGCCATTAAATAAGTGCATCTCACTACCACACTCTCATATAACCTTTAAGTACAGTAAAAAAAACTATGTTTTTTAAAATGAAATATGTCAACTTAATGAATCACAGCAAGAGATCAATATATCCTTGTGATGAAATCCATTTTCCATGTCAGGTGACAGGAAGGTAGGTATATATTGATTTGTGTAAATATACACTAGTCTGTAGCTAATGAATAAAAATGATACAAAGTGCGCTTTGGTTTTATCCATAATGACTTGGGGATGTTGCACATGACCAATTAGAGAAATCATCAGAACTATGAAATGGAAAAACACATTGTTTCAATAACTATGTCCATGGTAATAATAAATACTTTGGCTAAAGATGCATGGGCTTAAAATACCATATTTAAACTTTTCCAAACTTGAGCAAAACACATTACAAATTTTTTAAATAAAAATCTTCCCAATAATATACACTTTTTAAAGAAATTACTTATATTTAATGGTCACACGTGTTAAGAGTAAGAACTTCCATGGTGTTTCCGTAATAAAGGACTAGTGGCCATATCTTTTTAAAAATCAACTTAGAACTTACAATCTTTTTTTTAAAAATATCGCAGAATGAAATGCCTGCATTCATGCATCATGAAGGAATGGTATGTCAGCCTTTTGTATCCACAAGACTGGAAGCCTACATTTACAATTTGCGCAGGCATAAATTTTTATGTAGTCAGTTCATGGTAATCCACTCTTAGTTTGCATCGTCATTTGATCTAGTATCTTGATATTTCAGAAAGAAAGAATTAACTACCTCACTCCATAAAAGCCAGTAAACACAAGAGTACTATGAATGAAATGTTACATCAGTGGCTAGCAACTGGACTTTGTTGTATGCAGACACCAACCATAGGCGACTCATCTCCTCTATCTGAGGCACTGTGAGTTCTTTGGACACTACTATTGTCATGTCCTATAGGTGTTGCAGTGGTGAAAGAAAACGGTCCACCAGTAGGTGACTGTTGCCAGCCCTGTTGAGGGAAGCTGTACTGGGTTGAATAACCTAGTGATGTACTCAGCGGTTGTGAGTTGGCTGTGATAAGATCAGTTGCTTGGGCAATTGGTAGCCCAGTTGATGGTCCAACTAGCAGAGTAGGGCTAGTGACAAGTGTTTGTTGTGGAACATTCTGCGCCTGAGGGTGGTGGAGGTGTTGCTGGCTAGGTATCGAGAAGTCCACAGGTAGGTTGGAAGACGAAAGAGATGATGATGAGGATGATAGTAAAACTTGTTGTGATTCATAGTGCCCCAATGTCCTATGGATTGTTAAGGGAACCGCTGATGTATCATAAACTACACTGCCAAGTATAACTGCAGAGGTAGGAGATACCAAACCTGTGTGATGCAAAGAAGAAGAGGATGTTGAAGAGGATGATGGTTGTTGATTTCTTGCCAAAAACGAATGACCAGATGGCTGAGTGAAAATCACACTACTCAGTGCAACACCTGAATTGATTGGTTGGGGACCAGATCCTAAATGACGTGCTGATCCAGGGTCTCCTACACCCCAGCTATGCATATGACTCAACTGACTGGTTTGCAACTGTTGAGGCTGGTAATGTGGATGTGGAGCTTGTTGATGGTGATGAACTAGCTGTTGGTGGGAACTGTGGCGATTGACACCACTTAACTGCATGCCTGATCCACTACTCCTATGCTGATGAGCAGGAGGAGGTCTAGACTGGTTCACTGCAGACGGACTCTCACACTCCATAGAAGTGTAATGCGTTGGGACAAGCCCTAATGAATTGCTGTCTTCATGAAGTAGAGATGGTTGGTGAAGTTGTAGTCCCTGAATCCCCGAGACTGCAGTAGTATTGCTGCTACCAGACACCCCAGCAGCCCCAAGCTGAGCATGTGATGACAGCATTTGGCTGTGGTGCTGATGGGTTGGGTCAGATCGAGCTCGTCCATTAGACTGACCAGCTACTGGTAAAAAAAAAAAAATGTTAGTCTACATGAAGTTTTGGGTATTTTAAATGTTATTAGCTAATTCTGTTTTAATATAAACCATTCTAAAATAGTTAATTCTTAAATGACAAAATTCCATGAAAATACACATTTTGTAACACATTTATTACATAATGTGTTTGAATATATATATATATATATATCCACAAACCAAAAATTGATTTCAAACAATCAACAGAAATGTAAAAAAAAACCCTCAAGCAATCATTCAGGAAAGATAGAAATAAATTTAAATATGAAATAAAGAAAAAGTTGTCGAAAAGTAATGAAAAAAGATGTCATGAAAAAACTCAATATTTGCCAACCATAGTAAACAATCTAGCATCTTAAATTTAATAAATGTTTTGAAAAATTTAAATGTTGACATGGTGCAGTTTGTAATTAGCTAATTTACAGAAAATATAAGAATACAGCTTGAAAGTTTTAAAATTCTTCTTAGTCACTGCTGTATATTTGTACTCTATTTTATATTTCTTAATTAAAAAAACCAAATTGTGAGATTTACTTTACAAAAAAATAATTCTTAACACAATATGGTTTAAAAAACAGATTGCAAACAAGCAACTAGCCACCCGTTCTGATTTTTAAAATAAATTATGCATGATACAAAACTATGAGTCAAGAAAATTTTTCTGCTCAAATGGCAAATATTTGCTAGATGATCTACAGCGTTCCCAGATTAGGGTTAGTAGTCAAAATATGTAGTTAGTTCAAATAAGAACAAGTAACAAGCCCCAAAGTATATTAGCTAGAAACACCAAATATCCCATAGAACTATAAATCTGGGAACCCTGATGTTAGAGTACTATTTTCGGATTACCTACATTTGACAGCTATAGGCCAAGTCCCCCCTATTGAGCGCGGTGTCTAGAGAACGAGTCGCTTTGTCTCGGGGGTTGAGGTGGGTGAAACAACGTATCTATAAATAAACAAAGAGATAGAGGTGGTGTTATGGGGTGAGTTGACTCATTGAGGAGCCAACACATTTACACAGCCTTTCCTGCTTCATTTTGAAATGCATAAAGCAGCAAATTCTTTTTTTTAAACAAGTTTTAAAAATTATTTACCTTTCTTAAAACAACTTTCAATTGGAGATTTAAAATGATCACCAACACATTAGAGACAAAGCGTAACCCATGACCTATTTCATAGCCTACCAGGTCTAGTTATTTCTCTTTGAACTATTTCATAGCCTACCAGGTCTAGTTATTTCTCTTTGAATTATTTCATAGCCTACCAGGTTTAGTTATTTCTCTGTGAACTATTTCATAGCCTACCAGGTTTAGTTATTTCTCTTTGAACTATTTCATAGCCTACCAGGTTTAGTTATTTTTCCTTTATTTAATTTTAATATGTCTTAACTCATTTTAATGATACAGATAGTCACATTATATTTTTTATTCCATATTAGTTGCAAAAATAATCAAGATAACTAAGTCATCTATCACAGTCAAAATAATGGTAGAATATATGGGCAACCATCAGAAAGAAATAAAAATGTTCAAAATGTTTTAACTTTTTTTTCAAGAACAAGAAAATAAATATCAAAAAGAAAAAGTCAAATAAAATATAAAAATACCATAAAAAAAACTTGTTGATATTGGCAGCTACAAGGAATTATGAAATTTGACAACAGGTTGTGTTGTTTCTGGAATAATTTTGATGAATCAAGTACAGTTAAAGGAAATAAGTAGTAACTCACACTTTTATTTTGCTTTAATTATAATCAAGGATGCATTTTTTAATAAACTTTCTGCTTACTAAAGAAAAAACAATTTTATTCTGGCACAGTGTCAAAGCATGAAAAAAAACTAACTTAGTTTAAAAGCATTGATGATTTGTTATTGTGAATAATATGACTAGGGTATTAGATACATTTATATCATTTGTGCTTTTAAGTCTTCCATTATAAGAACATATTTTCTTATTAGATAAAGAGTGACTCATAATGTTAATAAAGCAGTTTTTAAATTTCAAAGCAAATTTAATTTCAGTCAATAGTTCCCCCCCCCCAATACACTGCATCTATATATTAATATATTTTTTAAAAAGCAAGAAAAAGGTACAATATATCTTTTTTTAAAACATGAGAAAAGTTCCAGCAAACACTCATTTAATTATCTCCTAAATGTGTTTTTAAATATATACTGCTGATAAGTCTTTTCTGTTTAAATACGAAGCCTGATCTACACACAGAATAGGAAGTTCAAGTTTTAAAGGCATATACATACAAAGGAATTCAGCAGTACAAAACTGACTTCCAAATAACGGTCAAGTCATAATTGTATTACATTTTCTTCTTTAAAAATACAATGTTAGTTTCTTATAATTACTATTACATGTTAAGCGTACTTGGCTAAAACTTGCTGCACTATTTTTAGAAAATACCTATCATCTAACATTTACCTGTAGGACTGCCAGTGTTTGTCTCCATTGCAGGACTAGTTGAGGTACTGTTACTAGTATTGGTGCTCTCATCCGAAGTCTTTTTAAAAAAGTTGTGTTGGAGGGCATAGTATGGTGTTATCCTTGTCTTTGGATCATACTCCAACATGCGAAGAATGAGATCTTTAAATTTGAGGTAATCAGCAACACCATGGCCTACCTCTCCTACTCGTCTACCCCCAGGGCCTCCAGTCTCTGCTCCAATAACTTCATGCAGTTTTCTTGAATGTGGTGTTTTATACTGCAAAATAGATAAATACGGTTACCTTTCACTATTCAGAAATAAGGTCTAGTTTAAAATGTAGTTTAATATTCAAAGAATTTAAATAGAATTTTTGGCTAAATCAAAGTAGTTTACTTGGAGGCTTAAGTTTTTACAAACATACTAGTTGAAAACATTGGTTGTCACATAATTTAATACACATGACTCAATTTTTATGTTAAACACTTAATGTCTTATAATTAATATTTGAAACAACTTGTATTTCGCCAAATAAAGTTTTCAGGTTTTTTTTCTATACCTTAGTGGTTTTATTTCATGATTTTGAACATCTGATTGAAAATATTTAAATACTTCAGTTGTAACCTTACCACATTGTGTGGTTTTTAAATTTAGAAACTGTTTACCTTTTTGTTATCTTTAGACTTTCTTGGAACATATGAACCATCAGGTAACTGGTCAAAATATTTGCGTGTTTTCTGTGCCTGGTCCAATAAATGTTTTGGAGGCATACCAAGAACTTCTACTATTTTCATCATTTGATCAAACTACAGAGAAAAAAACATATGGAGATTTTAGGTAATTACAAGTAAATAGTTGAAAAAATCAGTGACTTATTTTCTTTTCTACCTTTTCATCCTAGATTGATTGTAGTTTGATTAAAATTACCTCATTGGATCCAGCAAAAAGAGGCTCTCCTGTATGCATTTCAACCAATATACAACCTAAACTCCACATATCTATTGCTAGATCATAAGGAATTCCCAAAAGAACTTCCGGAGACCGATAGAAACGTGACTGGATATATTGATAAATCTGTAAAATAATCACAAGTTCAAAATGTTTATTATACATTAGTATCAAATATATATGAAACAATTATAAAATTCTGGGAAGTTTCATAGGCAAATCAATCAATACAAGGTTTTATTTCAAGGCATGCACAAGAAATATTTTAGTACTGCCATATAAAACTTTAAACAAAACAACACTTAAAACTGCAGCTTGAAAAATAGGTAAGTATAAGTTATGAAATAGTGAAAACTGAATACAACTTACCCTTTGTCCTATTTGACAAGAGCTCCCAAAGTCAACTATTTTAATAGCACTACGTTTGGGATTGCACAGAAGAATATTTTCTGGCTTTAGATCACAGTGAATGATATTAAGTTCTGGAGTGGCAAGATAGAGCAGTGCTGTACACAACTGCTGTGCAAACTTTCTGGTTAAGTTAAGGGAAACACCCCTAAAGTTAGTGTTTCGTAGCAAATCATACAAATTGTAGGACAGCAGCTCAAACACAAGGCACAGGTGGTTGCGAAACATGAAGTTTCTCTTCAGACGGACTGAAATGGAATGAACTTATTGTGAAAATTGGTTCTTAAAAACAAATGCAGAAAAACAGTAATCGAAATTATTTTATTTTAAAAAAAATAATAATATTAAGTTATTTCGCTGAACAAAAATACTTAAGCTGGTTTCAAAATAATTTATTTAAAAACTAAAAAACATTTATTTACCTATGTAGTATTTATTTTCTCTGTCATTTGAATTCATTAATTCTAAGAGCTTGACTTCAATCTGCGCCTGATTCAAAAAAGGTTTCTTGTTTTTGATAATTTTTATAGCAACATGTTCTTGGTCAATATGGTCAAAAGCCTTCACCACCTAAAATAAAACAAAAATATCTCATGAATTTTTAAAAAAAAAAAGAAAAAAAAAAAAGAAAGTATCCTATAAAAAAATTATAGATAATATTAATATAGATGTTAAATATAAAGAAATGAATTTACAATAGTCATTCATATAAAAAAAAAAACCTCAGAAATTTTTAAACTTCTAATTTAAAAAAAAAAATAAACAATGTATGCTTCAAAATAAAGCTAGAAACCAGCAATGGATACTTTCATAAATGTATTTTATAGAAATGTTTCAATAATATAACATTAACATAATTAATATAAAGTTAATATAGTGGTAGTACACATAATACTAGAAAAAGCACAAATGTACTTGAAACTTGAATGCAATTTACCTCATTACCATATACTACCAGATATTTCATAATACTAAATATAATGTAGAAAATATTATTCTCAACGTATGTGCTAATGTTAAATATTGTATGACATTGTATTTAATTTGAAATGTGAGCTATGGTGCAAAATTGAAAAGAAATGTCTTATTTTTATTAGTAAGTTAATAGAGCCATCATAAATTTCATAAAGAGGTTTCTAATTCACCTAAGTTTGTAATAAAAAGCAAATAATTAAAAGCTTAAGAGTACATTTCCTATTTACTGAGTGGTATTCTAATAACATAATTAAAATGTCAAATTTAATTTGCTAGCTAATTTATTCCCAGACATATACATTAATTGTAAAGAATATCAAAATAAATACTCAGATAGATGCAAGTTTTTTGGGAATAGTGATGTTAATCATTTTCAAAACTGCACACTAACCTGTCCAAAAGATCCTTTCCCAATTAAGGAATCAATCTCATATCTGTCCATCCATTTCTCTCCAGGGTTGACAATATAATCATGATTAGAGTCATCATAGCCATCATTGTAAATATGTGCATTGACCTTGCCCTTCTTTGTGCCAGTTTCATCACCCTGAGCTGCTCCAACAGCTCTCCGTTTCTTTTTGGCATAATACACCTACAAAAACAGTCAGTTAATTATAGGTGTCATCCTGCTAAGACAAGGAAACTATTTAAATAAAAGTATTGAGAAAAAAATATATACATGCATTCGATTTTTACACTGAAGTGAAGTCAAAATGTATACACAGACAAACAATACATTTTAGTGGAAATTATTAAAAGTACTGAAGAGTGTAGTTTTTAAATTTCAAATTAAAAATTCACTTCACTTACTTCATTGATGTGCTTGTAGGTTTTAATCAAATCAACACTAAGTTTTCTCAGTGGTGCTGAAGATGAATCTCTAAAAGTGTTGGGAATTTTTGTTTGCATGGCAACCACATCCACCATCTGCTGTTGCCCGTGATGATGATGATGGTGGTGGTGATGGGGGTCTGACATATCTGAGCCACCCCCAGGGGCCCCTTCTACTACACTACACAAAGAGGTGGTAGTACCAACAGCATGGTGTGTGCGGCCTAACTGACCTGCAAATAAAATATCAAACATATAAACTTTCACAAGGCAGGTTTAACTAGGCTCATTTGAAGTCATCCATGTATGACTACAACAAACCAAAAATGAAATTTCAGGACCCCCCCTCCCCCTTTGGACATCAACAAATAGTATTCCCAAAGATTACTTCCAATATTGTTCTATTTAAATACCTTGCAATGTTTTTATGCAGAATTCTATTTATTTATTTATTCTGATCGGGAATGCATGTTATCAATTATTTAAAGTCGAATGTAGAATATTTTTAGAAAATAAATAGTGTTTAAAAATAATTTATGATGAACGATAGTATTATTTTTAAAGATTTTCTTCTAAATAAACCAAAAACTGACATGGAGTTGTTTTTTTTTATATTTTCCAGAACGAAAAATTTAGAAAGCAGTATTTTCTATAATCTCACGAAGTATTATAACCAGAAGTAATGTCGCATCTGGTTGTTAACCCTATCCCCACCCCCATTACATGATTGCCGGCATTGTTTATTGCGAACAGGCCTATCTCAGGTGACGATAATTCAACCCGTAACATGATGCATCTATCATTACTTGCAATACCAACTAGGCCTATGGTAAGAATCCATAGAAACAAGTCGGTTAAAAACGAAACAAGATTCTTTTATTAAATACCTTGCCAAAAACGAAACAAAAAATACAAATAGCCTAAACTAGAAACTAAAAAAATATATTAGGCCCGATGCCTAGAACTAAAATATTAAAATATGCATTTTTATTCAAATGTTGAAAATGATCCTGACCCCTTATTGCTAACACATTTTAATAACATTTACACTTATACAACTTTAAAGCTTGAGAGAAAACAAGTATATAGTAGGGTTAGTAATGTTCAGTACTGAAAGAGTTGAACTAAGCCGACCATCACCTATCGGTAAACTTACGAGTTTTGTCGCATCAATACCTATTATCGATAACTACCACAAGATTGACACTTATGACGCGTAGCGTACTAATTAATATTGGAATAACAGACGGTAATAGTGAAATAAGTAAATATTGTCGAGAATTCCCTTTAAACCCGGATTAAATAACACGATGTTACCCAAGAGACAAGGACGTGACCGGGTCAGGGGCCGTGCCCCATCAGCCAGGCAGGCCTCAACACGGCCAACTCCCACTAACTGGCTTGCACACTAAACATCAGTGATATAGAAATAATCTCAAGGAAAACGAAACTATAACAGTCCGGATGAATGTGTCAAGCTCAACTACAATGATGGAACAGATAACATTTATCAGTAACCACAAATAATTATGACCAACATACAAAGACGTTTCAACGGTTAGGTGTGAAAAAATACAACAAACATTTTCTTTATAACGACCAGACTTCTTTGGTAGATGGTATCGCTACTAGAAATCTATAACTCGGCATCTGATTACACCCTTCCCCTTTAAAAACAGTCCCGTGAATTAGGCCTACCTCTTACAATAAAATAATATTTTATAGTGGTAAGAATACCCATAATTTTGTAGCTAGATCTATATAGATCTAGATCTATATATTTCTTGTATGATTGAAAATACCGATAATAGACTCTTCCAAAAATAGGTGTTAGGTTATTAGTAGTATTGTAATCTCGACTAGATTCTAGCTTTATGGTTAGAAATCAGAGTTAGGCTATGGTAGGACTAGGGTTAGTGTTGGCATTAGCAAATCCATGTTCACTAACACACCCTTTTTTAAAAAAAGATGATTCTATTATCGGACACTGGTGTGAAATTTACTGCCATTTCTTTAGTCTGAATAGTTATAGATCTAGATCTAGTTTATAAAAAAGATTATCTTCAGTTCTTCACGTTATTTTGATAAGTTAAGCCTTGACTACGGACCTCTCAGACATTTAACAACTGTGATAACAACATAACACAGGCACTGCACTCCTTACTGCTATAGAATCTAGATCTAGATTCTAGATCTAGATCTAGTATAGTATTCTATGCAGGGTTGACATGTATAAACAAGATCAGTCGCGTTTTCCCAAACTACCTTTCCTTATATTTAAACCCCTCGGTCACTAATACAACAAATAATTTTTTAAAAGTTGTAGATCTAGTTATCGGCTTAATTAATAGAATTTAAGTGTCACAGAAATAGATATATTACAATATTAACAGTTCTGTTAAAACTCAACCAGGTGATCATGTTTAGACCTAGATCTATGAATCCTCCTGTCTTAACTGAAAGTTTAACTTTAATTTTAGATCTAGATCTAGATTTATAGTATTTTATAGCCTGTCCTTAAGTAGATCTAGATCCCTAGATTCTATTCTAGATCTAGATCTAGATTCTATAGCCTAACTCAAGAATTCGATATGTCGTGTTTGTAGAGTAGACGTTTGGTTATTTTTTCAACGTTGTTGTTAATAAAATAAAAAAAAGTCGATTGGGCAAACTGTTAAAATAATTCAATCGATAACAATAAATACAGTATTAACAGATTACTTATAGCAAATTATGATTTATAATATAGAATCTATAATGTATTATAATTTATACTAACTTACTTAGGTTTGAAACAATGATAGACGTCTAGATTCTAGTAATCCGGTGTCCAAGATTAAAATAAACGCGTAAAATAAAAGTCACATCTTGTAAATAATGAAAGTTATAGATCTAAATGACTTCTCGAAATTAAAAAATTAACACTGTAACAATAAGGATTAGACTAATTTATGTAAGAATCCGAATTGAGGCAAGACAAGGCACGAGTGGCTGTTTGATTTTATTTTTAAAAAGTATTTTTAAAAATACACACGACCGACTTGACCCAGCGAAAAAGCACAGTCCAACACAGGGGTTTTCCAGTTAATTAGGTCAAAACGCCGTGCGCATGCGTGAAACAAATGGCTACAACGTTTCTTATTAAGGTTTTCTAAATTTAAAATGATGGTGAAAATTTTAACTGATCAGTCGAAAAATGTGTTTGAAAGTACCATCTCTAAAAATAATGAAACTTACTATAAGCATTTGGTTTATTCTCGGTAATTATCACTTTCTAACTCCAAAGACGTACCTGAATAGGCTGAATTATCCAACCGGAATCCGCCTACCAGGACAGGCATTCCATGGATGTAGTTTGCAACATTCGTAAATGTTATCAAAACACTCAGCAGAAACAATACATTGCTTCACAAATACGGACATGCATTAACATAAAAAGTATGGATAAAATCAAACTAGAATCTACATACACTATTAAAAACGTATTAAGACCATTGAATACACGTGAGATCCAGGTGGCAATGTTTATGTCACATGACTATCATGATTCAGCTTGCAACGCCCTTGACACTTAATGTTAACAGCCAATCAACGGCCGTAACTCCAGGTCATGAAGGTTGTTGCTGGGGCGCGTTGCTAAAAATACAATAGGCGGAAGCAGAGGCCGATGGAGACTGCGGAGCGGTTGCAACACGCGAGCCAGACAGACGCAGCAAAACTGTGGTGCGATATATTGAAGCAAAGCAAAGCTAAACACAGTCGGCCATGGGCTATGTCATATAGATCTAGATACTGATGTCCACTAACAGATAACAATAGACAAGCCAGCAATTTGGCTTGTGCGCATCTGGCGTAATCCCCTTTGCGTAACAAGGAAATATCGATCGTTAGACATTCTGCGTCGTGCCCCAGTTTCCTCAGTTCCTCGTCATCGTCATCAAATGTCGGGAGGGAAGGGTGATAGCGTTGCTTTGCTCAGCTTGGTATGGTGTTGTGTAAAAAAAATTTATAAAAATGTGAATACTTCAATCTATAATATGTCGCATTTTTATATGAGATTACCGCAAAATAAGCATGATTCAAGTAGAATATTTGTTTGACGGCCCCATGCTAGGCCTACTGTTTAAAAAAAAATGGACTTGGGTAAGCACATTTAAACGAGGAAAGGTCAATGATTTTTATTGATGAACGAAAAATTTCACAAGAGTCATAAAAAAGTGTAACATAACTAATCAATTTACGATCATAGTCAGTCAGAAATATGAAAACTGCTTTATTTCTAAAAATTAATCTATTCTAAAGGAGCGAGGTATTTTAGTACTGACTGCATTACAATTTACATTGCAGTATTGCAGCATCTTCCATAGTGTTATCAAATTTAAAATATGAAAAATTTCAACAAAGGTGTAAATGTGCATATATATATATATATATATATATATATATATATATATATATATATATATATATATATATATATATATATATATATATATATAAATTATACACACACTGAAAACAATTTGTCAATTTTTTTATATACTTCGCATAATGCTATTACAAACAATTTAGATTTAGAGTAAATTAGAGTAGCAGGATTTGAAAAAAAAAACCAACGCAATTTTTAAAGAGTGTGCACGGCACCAGTCCGATAATCTTTTTTTGCCTTGTCCTACAGCACATTTAAAAATAATCGCAACGTCATGATAAAAACGATAAACACGTAATCGACCTCAACTGCTTGAGCAGTGAACACAGATCTATAAATAGCGAATCCGCCCAGCAACAGAACAATGGATGCTCATGTTAAAGCGTTCCGACACAGTGTTCCGAAGTAGAAACTAAGCACTGTGTGTATACACGATGCGCTATTTCCTCAATTAAAAAGCTTTATATTATAATTTAAAAATGTAAATGATAACTAGATCTATAGTATTAAAATTTATTATTATTAAAACACTGGAAATTAAGAAAGAGTAGACTGCATGGCAAATTTTTAAAGCCAAATAGATTATAGTTTTTTTTTTTTTAAATACACTAAAAAGTAATTAAAGGATTTATTTTCAATTAACTAGATAAATCTAGAGGCCTACATGTAAATCTGTGTATATAGTCTTTAACCGCGGAAACTGCACCGGTGTGTGACCTGATTCCTGTCTGCTTAGTTCACAGTGGTGGAATTCGGGTCAACATTTGACGTCATAATTGCTCAAAAGGATGAACAGAGAACTAAATAACGCTATAATGAATAACTAGCAAATGAAAATAATTGCGTACTTAATTATACTTGTAGTTTTAAAGTTACAAACGGATTCTACGTCTAATAAATACGGATTTTTATTCACATGCCTACTAATCTGATCACTACCCCTATGCGTAAAAAATGACAATGTAAGTCGTATTGAAGGTATTCTTTAACAATGCTGAAAAAAGTAGTGAGCTAACCAGATAAATCTTTCCAAGAAACTAAATTTAAGATATTTTAATAAGTTAAGTGTATCACCATATGCATCTCAATGCTATTTTATATTGATACCGACTAAACACGTATAGCATTATGGTGTGTTGGTTGATGATTATTAATATCGAATAGAATCATTATTTTTAAAGTAACTAACCCATACATAAAATGCTATTGAAAAATATTGCTATGGTAATTTGTGGTGGGCCTAATGTTCAAGTCATATTCAGCAGTAGGGAAAGCGACACACAAGACAGGTTCTCTTCCCATCATCATTTCACCCCTCCCCTTCCCAGTTATAAGCCGGGGGAAAAAAACCACGCCGTCACACCGACTTTCATTCTGTGCAGCAACCGAACTGGCTGCGTGGTTGGCTCAAATCAGCTTGTGACCTTTGATCCCCACGTCAGCATCCAACCAATGGGCGCAGCTCTTACATACCGACTGGGGTCATACGGACAAAACATGTTTGGATGGTGGGTGGGTGGAAGCATAGAGGGAAAGGGGTGAAGAGAAGAAAGGAAGAAAAACAAAACAAGATGCCCAATATCCGAACTATCAAGAAAATAGAATGATCAAAGTGATTCAATGCAGCAGTATGTTAGAAAATGTAACTATAATAAATAAAAAATTATTTATTCAACCATATTAACAAGCTAACTGGAATGAAAAAAAAAAATGCTTAAAAATGGTTTTGGATTTCACTATAGTCTATACATTTTTTTAACGCCTAAAACAGCCGTGTAATTTTAATGAATACGAATTTCAACGCACATAAATATATTAAATATAAATAAAGTATTGTTGTAGCTCTAAGTATGTATTAATCACTAGTGAAACTACAACCAGCAATGTTGTGAATATTTAGTATATGTTCTGGACACAAGATTGTAAATCACATTTAGATATCTACATTTTAATCAGAACTAAGAAATAAATGCATTTCAAGAGAGGTGATTATAATCACGAGAGAAATAATGACTAGAGTCTAGATCTAAATCTGGGTTAAAACTGAAGTCACGGCATTAGAGTATAAATCAACATTGTAAAATTGAAAAATATACTGTAATTTTGCTTACTTCATATTTATGCTTACTTAATATTACAGTTACAAAAGGCACTAAGTATAAGCAAATTTGTATTACATTTAAAAAAATATTGTTATAAGGTAGAATTCTTCTTTATAAGTCTTTCTTCAAACAAGGCCATCAGCTAATAATAACTGAATAGCAGTCTCCAATTCAGCAAGTGCCCATACCATTTTCTTGGGGGTTTTCATAAAATAGACAAATACTGTATTGTTTATAGTAATAAACTATGTCTTACCAATATTTGAATTTTTCATGTTAAGACTATTTAATATCTTAGGCCTATATAGCCTCACATAAATATAGGTTATAGGCCTGATTACAACTTAACTCTTAACCAATAATTATATTATATTGCTTAGTGGCTGCATATAAAAGATTACTAAGATGCACCAAGTTAAAAAAAATATACTAGAAAAATCACTAATAAAACTTGCATTTATTTCCCAATATAACTAGATCTAGAGAGAATCCAGGTCTAGATTTAAGTACGCTACAGAAAAAAAAACGAAAATGATTTTACAAACAGCATGAAGAACTTAGATCTAGATCTCTAGAATCTAGATCTATTAGTTAGCAAATAGATTCCTGACTAGATCTAGATTTTAGTAGTAACTAAAAACTAGATTTGTGCCTGAATATTCTTTGAATAATAAAGCATCTAGATCTAGCATTTTTATATCTAGATTTTAGTAGGCCTATTACTATATTATTATGTTATAGCTACTGCTCTACTAGGCCCCAATAAATCACAAAATAAAGTTTGATCTTAATAAATATATCAAGCTCTCTAATCTCTATTCCAATTAAATAGTTAAAAGATTAAATAATATTTCTTAGTCCTAATTTAATTAGAGATTCTTTGCATCAATCTAAAATCTTAACTTGTTACTTTAGATCTAGATTTCTAGATCTAGAATCTAGATCTAATTCTAATCTTATCTAGATCTAGTCTAGATCCTAGACTTGAGGTAGATCTAGATCTAGATCTATTGTAGCCTAGAATCTAAATGTCAAAGTGTTTGAAAATAGTATCTAGGCCTAGACTCTCTAAATCTTAAATCTAATTCTAGATCTAAGTGAGTTGGACCAAGCCAAGACTCTAGATACTCTAGATCTAGACTAGATACTATAAATCTAGACTAGAATCTAGATCTCTAGATCTAGATCTAGAGTCTAGATCTAGAATCTAGAAACCGGAGGCGGAGTACACCGCCCTACCTACACGGAATAGGGCACTGTTTTGTTAGTCTCGATCTAGATCTCTAGATCTAGATTTAGATACAAAACAAAAACAATTTTAATTGCAGTAATATTACAAAATAAAATACAATTTGATGTAGATTCTAGATCTAGAATCAATAGTCTTGTTCTAAAAGAGATTCTAAAATAGTAAAAATACGTACCACAAAAAACTGGAATTATCGCTCGTGGCTTAGGAACAGTGAAGTTTAGTTTTCACACATCTGATAGAGGTTTGAAGTTTTGAACTGAACATGAATGGTTTTCAAACAAAACCACGAGTTGACCTGATTTGTGCGACGGCCGGCAGACGGTTCACAATACAAATTTCCTTTTGAATGAATATACTCAAATACTGTTATTAAACTTTGAAAAATTTAAAACGAAATTGCCACAAAGGTCAAAAGTTCACAGTAACAGGAAAATAAACAAATGCAATCGCTTAGGTGATGCCCAGACTGTTTTTCCGGACATGCCCAGATTCCAACATGGCGCCTTCGTTTCAAAAACGAGGCTACTGTAAATCTATTCATAGCGTATCTTGTCTTGACAGGATGTCTTTTCGTATGTAACCTGAACTAAAGTTAAAACTTACTAATATTTTGGTTTTTGATGGGAACTTGAATATATATCACCATATGTCGTCTTATGGACTTTTTGAGACATTTTTTGTTTAAAACCCAGTTACAATTAGATTCTACTACACTTCCATAATTTTAAAATGTTTAGAAAGTAAATTAGCGTTGTGAAAAGCAGTGCTGATTTGGGTAAACCCGATTTTCTGGTAAACTAGTAGTATGTGTAATAAAATGTCTTCTACTTCTACAAGGGTGCAGTCCACCTTACTTTTTGATTTAGTGAACTATTATAGTAGCCCATCGTATCAATAGTGTATCACAAGGTTTAAAACCAACTTAGGCGCCATAGTGCTGATGGCGGGAGCCCTATGGCACCAAATAGCAAGCACTCTGCCAAGTTACCGCCTCTCCGAAATTTAAATATTCTTTAGCAGAGTTTCTTCCAGGCATCTCTTCGAACAAAGAGAACGAAATGAAATTTCTATAATTTATAAAAAAAAAATATATACTTTTAACAGTGTCCGCCCCCCCCCCCCCCGAAAATTTCAACTGCCCCCCCCCCCCCCCCGGAGAAAAAAGTCTGGAAGAAACACTGTTCTTTAGCAGAAACTTCCCCAGGAGTATTCTCATAAATTACCCAAAGTTTCATGGTAATCGGATGAAAAGATAGATCTATGCATAACAGAATAAACAAACATACTTTTTTAAAAATTGGGTAGGAAAGGGGGGGGGGGGTGTAATCAGTACCGATGTGCAATTCTTACCACCATTATTTCGCTTAACATCACCGATAGAAAATCGCGGGAACAGGTTGAATTTATTCTGGATGATGCAATCTATGTGTTAGACAGTAGATTTACTTTTAATTGATCAAATTAATGTTCAGAATCAGCGTCTTCGCGTTGTATATATATATATATATATATATATATATATATATATATATATATATATATATATATATATATATATATATATATATATATATATATATATATATATATATATATATATTATATATATATATATATATATATATATATATATATATATATATATATATAAAAATATCTACAATCGACAATAACGGCAGTTTATAAAGTTTATTTGGCCCAAGTCATCGTCGCTAAATGAAAACAGCTACTGTTCAAGATAGTATAGGTTATAGAATACGAAGTTCGAGCTTAATTTCCGGACATCGGTCAAATTTAAGTGTAGGCATATAGAAAAAATCTTTACACCCGGATTCATATTTGAGATACTGAATTTCTCCGACCTATCGTGAATGATTAACCCCAGGTCCATCGTAGACAGTGTTTCTTCCAGACTTATTTCTCCGGGGGGGGGGGGGGGGGGCACTTGAAATTTTCGGGGGGGGGGGGGCGGACAGGACACAGAGGCGTAGCTAGGGGAGGGCGGGGAGGGCGGCCGCCCCGGGCGCCGACCCTAGGGGGGCGCCAAAAGGGGTAGAAAATTTTTATTAAAGTTCATTTTAAGCTGCAGTTTTGAACTATAAACAGTCAGAGTAAAGAAATGTAACGGCTGAGAGCCCTTGCATACTGATTTAACTGTTTTCTACCTTGATTGTGTAACTGTAAAACGTATATCCTTAAGAAATAGTGACCGGAAAAACCGCTTTCCAGCTTTCCTAGATGGGGGGGGGGGGCGCTTTTTCGAAGACTAAAATCGGAAAAATTCACACCGGATCAAGGAATAAATAACCGATATCACTCAGAAAAGAAACCCATTGAACTAAAGCGTATTTTACGATTGTGTAACATAAAAAAAGTGTTAGTGACGTTTAAAATCCACTCTACCATTTGTTAGCAAGATGGTGGGGCACCTTTTTCACCAAAAAAAAAATCACAGGATATGTACTGGATCGGTGACTAGATAACTCTTTTAACACTTAGAAAAGAAATCAATTGTATTAACACTTAATGTACGATTTCACTACCCAGGTTTGATAAGTAATAACGCGACTAGTTCTTTGTACGATTCTTACGATTCTCACAACTTCATCGAGAGAGATCTGATACTTTTACTTGAATGCATTACATCTTGCCTGGATCACTGCATTAAAGAGAAATAAATATCACGGATTCTGGTATTGCTATCCGATCAGTAAAATAGCAGACTGTCGGAGCGAGTGGGTGTGAAGCGACACTCTTTGCCAAAACGAATCAGCACCGCTACGATTTTAATTTTTTCTGACATTACAAATCATCATTTTTAAAGGATAATTCATCTTAACGGGAATTTTATTGGCGTCGAGTGAAGTTTTAGGGAACGACAATCAGCGTAATTGTTAACTTTTTTTCCAGACTGTCGCACACACATACACACACACACGTATATATATATATATATATATATATATCTATATTATATATATATATATATATATATATATATAATATATATTATATATATATATATATATATATATATATATATATATATATATGGGGGGGCGCCAAACTGATAGTTCGCCCCGGGCGCCCGGAGGGGTCGCTACGCCTCTGACAGGACACTGTTAAAAGTATATATTTTCAATATAAATAGCATTTCGTTTGGGGGGGGGGGGGGGGAGCCCCCATAAGAGATGCCTGGAAGAAACCCTGATCGTTGATGTTTGACCCCAGGCCCATCGTGAATGGTCGACCACAGGCTCATAATTGTGGATGGTCGACCCAGGTCAATGCTTATCTCTAATACGGACGATGGTAACAATATTATGGTGTTAAAATAACTTAATCGAGTAAAAAAATGTAGGGATAGATGCATCCCATCCAACCCAAAATAAAAATCCAACGAATAATTATTAATACAGCTCCATCATTTAAAACGGGCAGGCTGAATTAAGATTTAACGTTGTGTAGTTTCATTTCCTATTTAGACACTGACATAATTAGAATATGGTCCAATTAACCAAACTGTGCTGATTGAAAGATGAAATAAAGATGATGTGGGGAACATGAGTGTATGTGTATTGTGTATGGTTGTGTGTGTGGGGTGTAGAGGGAGTAAGTATTCGCTATGGAAATGCCGAGAGCCGCTTAACGTAAGCATTCAGGCAAGAAAATTTTAAGGGTAGTTAAAATCTTTCTGACAAATAAAGAAAATTAACTTCTTACGTTCTGATAGTGTGCTCTCCATTATTCTACCCCTTTAAGTATTCGATACATTAGTTTAAATTAAGATAAAGGATCAGTGGCGTAGCGAGATCGGGTGTTACCCGGTGCGGCACTTAATGGTGTCACCCCCCCGTAATATATATATATATATATATATATATATATATATATATATATATATATATATATATATATATATTATATATATATATATATATATTATATATATATACACATATATATATATACATATATATATATATATACATACATACATATATATATATATATATATATATATATATATATATATATATATATATATATATATATATATATATAATATATTCCATATACTTTTGTAAGTTGTAAGTATGTGTATACGCATGTGTATATGTATTTACATATATTTTCTTCTGGATGTTTTTTTACCCCCCCCCCCCCCCATACATGGATTAACACATAAGTTATTACGAT